ACGGGTTTACTGATAAAAGCTTTCTTTAATCGTTCGAAAGCTTCTTGGCATTTTGCAGTCCAGTTCCATTTCTCGTCCTTTTTGGTAAGGTCGTGTAGGGGGCGCGCGATGAGTGAGAATTTGTCGATGAAGCGCCTGTAAAAATTCCCTAGGCCCAAGAAGGAGCGAATGTCGCGGACTGTGCGTGGGATTGGCCAATCTTTTATTGCGTCCACCTTTGAGTCCTCCATGGCGACATGGTCTTTTGAAATTGTATATCCCAGATATTGGAGCTTTTCCTTGTAAAACTCACATTTTTCGGGTTTCAAATATAGATCGTTGTCGCGTAGGATTTGGAAAACTTGGTTTAGGATTTTAACATGTTCCGCCATGGTTTTGGAGAAGACGAGGATGTCGTCCATATATACGGTTATCTTCCGGGCTGTGATGAGCTCCCTGAAGATCATGTTCATCATAGCTTGGAAGGTGGCTGGCGAGTTGGTTAGGCCGAAGAACATCACCGTAGGCTCGTAAGAACCTAACGGGGTAATGAAGCTCGCCTTCCACTCATCTCCTTCTTTGATGCGTATATTGTTGTATCCCCATCGCACGTCCAATTTGCTAAAAATGATGGCCCCTTTTATCACATCCAGTAGTTCCTGAATTAGTGGAAGGGGGCACACATTCGGGATGGTGTGCGAATTTAAGTGGCGATAGTCCTGTACCGGGCGTAGTTTTCCATCCTTTTTTCCTATAAAGAAAAATGGGGCTGCTGTTTGCGAGGTGGATCGACGGATGGTTCCTCTCTCCAGATGTTCCTTGATGAATTTTCCTAATTCGTCGTGTTTCTCTGGGCTCAGGGCGTAGATTTTGGGCACTTGAGGTTTGAAGGTTGGTTTCAAGTCGATGGCATGGTCCCAGTAAGTGTGTTCTGGGAGTCGCTGCGACTTTCGTTCGCTAAAGATGTCCAAAAATTCGTGATGCGCCTTGGGAACTCTTTCCTTTAGATTGGTGACAATAATTTCGTCTTCCAGGTCTTGGTCGAAACTGGCAAATCCTGACGGTTCGGGGGCCAGTTTCCGAATAACTGGGTCCCGGGTGGCCTGTTTTCCTGAGGGTTTGTCTGGGAGATCAGGTTCTCCCCCGTTTGGTGAAAGAGATGGCTTGTCTTGAGCCTTTCGTTTCTCTTCTGCGTATTTCCTTATGTCCTTTAGGAGCCATTTCCTTTTGAGGTATGCTCGTAGTCGGACGCCAAACGTTCCGCTGTGATCGCGGAGTCCTACATCTTCCGATAGTCTTCGGAGGTGTTCGAGGCGCTGTTTTTCGCGCTCATTGATGCGTGGTTTGTGCCGTGGCTCCACGTCTGATAACTGCCTGCTGTATGGCGGTTCTTCCCTTGCCCTAGTGAACCCATATGGTTGCTGGCATTTCTGGGGGCACCGATCAAAGTGCACTTCACGTCGCCTCCATTCGATGGAGGGATCGTGGTATTTCAACCAATCTGTTCCCAGGATAAGGTCGTCTTTCCCTAGATTGGAGATAAACATCTGGACGCGCTCGGTATGCGTTCGTCCACTGATGTCCCGAATGGTGAGGTTCACATCCAAGGCGGATCGGATGAGACCTGCTTTGTTAATGGTGTCATCGACGTTCCGGACGCGGATGGGGTTGTTGAGTGTATAGGTGGGGAAACGATGTCTCTTGACCCAAGTTTCGTTTACTATAACCCCTTCGCAGGCCGAGTCGATGGTTGCCTTTGCTCCAGCGTTTTGACTCCTATTTGATACTTTCACGTTCAGGCGTATGGGGGTGATGATACGGTCGTTCATTGCTCCGATACGAATACAAGTGCGGGCATCAAACTCGGGTTGTCCTTGACCTCTCTCCTTCGCTGGTGAGGGAGAGGTCAGGAAAAACGCTCCGCGTGTCCCAAGATTACTTCTCTTGCTTCATCTTCCCCTAATTCTCCGAGTACTGCTCCGATTCGAGCAGAATGACTGACGCTTCCGTCTCCCCGTCGTCCGTTAGGTAACATAGCGCGTTGCCCATGGTTCGTTTGGGGTCGTCCGGATGGGGTAGAGTGAGGACGTTCCATCGAAGGACCAGGTTGTGGTACCCGCTGGTCGTTGCGAGGGACGTCCTCTGTCTCCATTCCTCGATATATTCCCGCTTGGTTTCCCATAGCGGGTGCGTCGTCTTCTCCCTCCAAATCAACCGCGCGGTTTCCTCTCCCTGTCGTACCCAGGCGTCTTTTCGAGTTTCCTCGAACTGGGCGAACGCCTCTGCGTGGTGACCAACAGTTAGCGCTAGAGTGCCCTGGCTTTCCGCAGTTGGGACAGGAGGTGGTTCGCTTGCCGTCAAATTTTCTCTTTTGACTTTCGGCGTTACGCTTTCTGGTAGCGTCAATATCCATGTCAACCACCTGGTTGTTCATTCTGCGAGGGGCGTTTGTGGAATTGTAGCGGGGAGAGATTTGGTTATGAAAACGATTCAGATAATCGCTTCGAAAGGAGGTGGAGTTGGCGAGGATGGCTTTTTGAGCTGTTCTGGCTCGAAGTCGTCCATCTATTTCGCAGGCTGTATTGATCCAGTCCTGAATCGTATCCTTTGGTTGAACTTCCTTGTCGTATATTTTGTCCATGACGCGCGGGTCTAACCCGCATTGGAAGTAAGGGACTTGCTCTTTATCGGAGATGTCGGCGTCGGCGGCGATGAGAATGAATTGGTTGGAGTATTCATCAACCGTCATTCGTCCTTGGGAGGAGGCCATAAGTGCGCTTCGTGCTTTGTCGGTCTTGCCCGTCTCCCTGAACTGTAATTTGAACTTGGCTAAAAAGTCCTTCCAGGTGCCTAGATCGGTAGGTGGATCCGCTCCTACTGATTTGAGGAGGAAGTTCTCTGCCCAAGCTCCCGCCGTGCCGTATCTCATGCATGAGAGCACAAGGGATATTTTGTCTTGATCGGTCTTGTACCGATCGGATTCTGCTGCGAAAAGAAGGAGGCATTGGAGCATGAATTTCTGGGATTCAATGCGGTCGCCTGTGTAATTGTCTGGGAGTTTGACTTTTCCTCTTCCGGGTTGTACTGTTGCGGAAGGGGTGTTTGTAGAAGTCGAAGCTTGTCCCGACATTTTGGCGAGTGGTTCGTTTCGGGTGTTGATCGGTGTTTGGTCTGGTGAGTCGGAGTCTGATTCCGAGGTTGTTTCCTCTTGCTCCGAGTCTTCGGGGATTACCGGCGCCGGTTCCCTGTATGGTGGGGCTAGTTCCCACTGAGCTTCTATTTCGTTCCAAATATCCTCTTCTTCTGTTCCGTCTTCAAGTGTGAAGTAATAACGCCCGTTTCGGTATGAGCAGTTATCGTAATTCGGAGGGGCAGTTCTGTTATTGTCTTCGTAGACCCAGAAATCCCCTTCGCGCCGGATAGGGCGATTGTTGTGACGGAGTTGGTTATTGATACGTCTAGTGCCGGGTGGGTATTCCTGGCCTAGGTCTTGCTCCAGAGTGTGTGCAGTAACGCTTTCTCAATGGGGGTCTATATCCCCACTGAGCAAGGTTATGAGAGAGGGTGTGGCAGCAAGCTGGTGCGAGCAAGGTAGGGGCAGAAGAGTCTATTCTAGTGTTACGACTGCTCGTCGGTAACCCCAAGAGTAGGAGGTTCTTCCCTAGGTCACTCGTGGAGGATGTGTGGAACGGTGGTCTCGACTGTACGTGTAGCACAGGAGCCAGAAGTGTATTGCGATGTAGCAATGAGAGTAGACAGTATGAAGACTGCCTAAGAACGAAGGAGTACTGTAGGAAGACAGTACTGAACGAAGATCCCTGTATGTGAAGATACAGGGGAACGAAGTACTGTGGTAGGAAGACCACAGTGAACGAAGAGAATAGACTGAAGATCCTCAGCCTATTCTATGGGCCTTTTATACTACTTCAGGAAGTAGGGCGTGAGAATACCGAATATGTATCTGTAGGTATTCTCTAAGTCGTCTCTCTCAATAACGACTACTCTTGTGCTTCTCCGTTGGTCTCCTTCCGGCCAGGAGAGACTAGGAGGTTCATGCCCTGCGTGTGAGTAATTTATAAGGCGGCGTTCCATGCCCGCTAATACAATAGGCCCGTGATACTCGACCAACGATAAGGTGATCCGTTGGGAGTGGATGACCAAGGTTAATATCTGTACCTTGGTGTACGCCTCAACCTGTGAGGCCGCGTGATATTTGTGATGATCGTATCGGTATAGACCGCCGTGTAGGCCCGATAGAACGTGATCATAACACCCATAACCTGTTGGAATATGGGCTAGAAGTATTACTCAGCGTCTGTGTAGATCACTGTATATTTAATTGGTAAGTACCTAGAAGTATTACTACGTGATAGAAGCATAAGTAAAAGTGACATCTATGTCTTAAGAAGAAGCGGGCTCACCTCAGCGTCTGTGTAGATCACTGAGGGAAGCCCGACACTGAAGGCGTCAGTAACTACAAGTGCAGTGGCTGAGAGCTGTATAGTACTTCGGCAATCTCCGAGCTCATCAAGTAAGTACGCAATAAGTAAATCATAAGAAAGAGATGACGAAGGCAATTTGCCTCAGTCCAACAATTAGACAGCTTCAGATGCTATTAACACTTTTAGATACTTTTAGACACTATTAGATATAATCCAGAGCTAATACAAGGGGATGGTTTCCCAGATGCCTGTCATTCATGTCAATCTAATTCTGCTGCATTTGGACAACTCACTCAGCATTGAACTAGCACACACTGGCTAGTTCTCAACACCACACTCCTAGAATGACTGAGCTTGTAGATGTACCATCCACTTATCTACAAGTCCACTGTCTACAGGTCTAATAGACAACCTCAGCGGTTAGCCGTTCCCGGGCCAGTTGAGATAAAGCACGACTGGTCACAACTGTGACTCTGCATCGTCACAAAGTCACGTAGCAATGGACACGTCTACACCGTTTGGATTTAGACTGCAATCTAGCTCCCTGCACTGCAGAGAACGAACAGAAATTTATCCGCCATGGTGCGCTATTGTGTCGTGAATACGACAGTGCTACTTTTCTGACGTGCTATAGCCGCCTGCGGACCCATTACCGATCGAAACGGCTCATGAGGACATGATCGTAGGTCTTTCTTGAATTACTGTAAGCGCAACGGTTCTGGCAGTCTGACAATATGTTCTTCGCCCGAGAATAGCATGATGCTCAGCTGGATTACTACGGCAAGCGTCTGGCAACATGCTCCTCGGACCGAACAGTGAAGGTGTTCGACATCGTGGACGGAGAGCAGCAGCGGGGTACTGGACAGACTCTCAAAGGGTATGAATCTATCTGTCGCCCTGTCGTATTTGTTCTCGCTCACACAATGTTGCCCTTTGGTTGCAGACATACTGGTCCAGTATGGCAGGTCGCATGGGCACATCCTAAGTATGGGCACATCCTGGCGTCATGCTCGTACGATGGAAAGGTGCTTATTTGGAAGGAGCAGCAGTCGAACGCGGAGGGATGGGCTAAGATCAAGGAGCACTCATTGCATGCGGCTTCAGGTGCACGCTCTCTCGATCCATGCATTTCGCTCTACTCATGCTGGGATAGTGAACTCGGTTTCATGGGCCCCACACGAGCTCGGCGCCATCCTCGCTTGTGCATCCTCTGATGGAAAGATATCTGTGCTCACTTTTAAAAGTAGCCGCATTCTCACATGATATGTGGAGACAACCACTGACCTGGATATCTTAGACGATGGCCAATGGGGCGCGGACGTTTTCGAGGCACATGCAATTGGCTGCAATGCCGTTTCCTGGGCCCCCGCCACACGCCCTGGCGCGTTGCTTGCTCCCGCGTCTACCGCCCCTGGTCAGCCATCCAGTGCTCCCGTGAAGCGTTTTGTGAGCGCCGGATGCGACAACCTCGTAAAGATTTGGGCGTATAGCGAGGAGACGCAGACTTGGACGGAGGAGGATGTGTTGGAAGGGCACACGGACTGGGTTCGTGATGTTGCATGGGCACCCAATATTGGGCTGCCGAGGAGCTACATCGCCACGGCTTCACAGGTGCGTCTGCCTTCAAATGTGACTATGACGATCTTTGACTAACTCGCTTATAGGATAAAACCGTTCTGATTTGGACCAAAGACACACCTACTTCACATTGGACCAGGACCGCACTAGACCCAACAAGCATTTCGCCCACCGGAGCTCCACCCGCTGCTCCAGGGAAATTCCCGGATGTCGTGTGGCGTGTTTCGTGGAGTCTCGCGGGGAACATCCTTGCCGTCAGTTGCGGCGACGGTAAGGTTACACTTTGGAAAGAGAGCCTGAAAGGTGGCTGGGAGTGTGTTAGTGACATGACTAGCTAGAGGTGTGTTTTGTTATGGAGTTCAATTTTCATCTGTGATACGCTCTTTCTTGAGAGTCCTCAAGAATTCGATCTAAGTACAACATCAGTCGTAAGTAGAGACAATGCCAAGATTCTTCTGCAGGCGATTGCTACCGTTCACCCCAATTTTCATCGGCCGTCTTATGCAGTTTCAAAGATTGTTCGTGGTATCTTCCTCTGAAAATACAAGTGCCCAGTCTCGGCTAATGCATGCGATTTTTTCGTTCCCATTGGATACCAGCTTCCCTTGAATAGCGTGCCCCATCTCCCTCAGTCGAAGGCAGCGGGATCTTCAAGTGCTGGGTCAAAGCAGCCATCCCTGACACGAGCAATTTCACTATTTAAACGTATGTAGTTTACACTAATGCCGCTACGAGTCATTGACACCATAATAAATAGATTAGCTCGAGTAATAAACAGACCGAGACCAAACGAAACAAGAGAAGCGGAGATGAAAGCAAATGTTAGCAAAATGAAACCCCTATGCCACCTCTACAAAAAACATGATGTGCGTTTGCGATGAATCATTTGGCCTTGTTGCGCCGAAGGAGGCTCCGCTTTTTGCGTTCCGTGCCACCGTTCTTGTTGCTGCTCCCGTCGGCGTTCGCGCGGTCCTCGCCGTCGAGGCTTGTCGTGCTCGCAGATGCGGCATGACCAAATTTGGACGCACCCACGACTTTCATGATGCCCCTATCCCATGTATAGCAAGTATCAACAGGAAGTTGACGTCAGTGCGAGGATGGCGCGCGTACCGTTGTGTAGCGTCGATGTAGTCTTCGCGGTCCAACCGCTTGGAAGTGCGCACAGAGACACCCTGGTTAGACACGGTCCAGCCTTTTTCTTGCAACCTGTTCGAGTTTGAGGTGAGAAAAGAAGAAATCGGTGGATGGAGCGATGATACGTACGACGCCTTCGTCGCGTTGACGAACTCGCTGATACGTCGCACAAAGAGTACGATACCAGCTATTGCCCCGAGGAAGAAAGTTATTGTCTGCGCATGAGTTTTTTTTTTTGATGAAAATTGAGTGATAGTGCCGAAGAGACAGGAGTGTAAACGGCCGGGCTCGGTATAGGGAGACTGAGAAAACGCACCAGCACAAGCGAGAACAGGTCAATCCTAGAATATCGGCGGACAGTATGGAGAAACGACGGCCACGGGGATAAACGGGCGAGGGCGAGATATAAGTACGGCTCCATTCAAGAAAGCTTCCTGATTGAGGCGATGGGGATGCATAGATTAAACATACCACTTTGCCATATTCGCTATATGAACTCAAAAGGTGACGTATTGGGTTCTGCTCGTAGCACAGTGATTCTTCTAGGAAAGTTCTGACTGTGTGAAATCTGTTTTTAGCTGTAGCTCCCTATAGGGATACGCAGAGTTCCCGATGAAAGCACAGCCGAACAACGAACAAACCAACATTCAGCCATCAAAACGCGACTCTCACATGACATAGTACTTGCACTCACCGACACTGTTCTCTAAACCAGAAATCTGTTTCTTTCTTGTCGATGCCGCCGCTCGAGAAAATACCAAAAAATCTAGGAGCGGGTAATGCGCTCGTTGCGGGAAGATGAGTGAAAGGAGAAGATGCTGTAACGCGGAGACGCTGCGGCAACAAATACATCGCAGGAATACACAGCCAAGACATACGTCATGATGGTCCGCGGACAATCCGTGCTTACCAATATGAGCACTATCACCGAGCTCATTAAGTCCTTTCGCCCGCCCGCCCAAGCCACTTTGGGAGGTGTAATGCCTTTTTGAGGCTCTTGTGCAGATTCGTCGTCGGACATAAGCAGCGGCCAACATCAACTTTTTGTATAGATATATATGGACACATTACTGGCTACTGTCGAGTCAACCGTTGTATTCGACAGGCAAGAGCATACGAATAGCATACGTGACGACGTCGTAAACCGAGAGGTATATGCAAAGCCGGAGCCAAGAACAAACAGGCTCAGCGTGATGTGTACTCGACAGTCAATATGGGGTGTGGCGGGATGAACAAGTATGTCGTCCGAGAGCACAGATCTCAGAGCGGGCGAAGGTGATAAATAGCTATACTAACTAAAGTACGTCGTGGATTAAGAAAGGAGCGAGTTCGTCAGCCCAGTCTGGTCCAGTCTAGAAGTCCGTCCATGCAGGCGGGGCGCATCAGCAGACGGTCTGTCAGGTGTGGGACAGTAGAGGTAAGTTTCAGAGCACGAGGCTCGCAAGCAGCCCCGCGCCAGCGACGATGGCCCAGTGCGCGCTAAGCAAGGGTGTAGAGGGTAGGGCGGCAGACTTGCTGCCCTGCGCCGAACCGCCAGACGTGTCACTGTGGGACGATGAGGAGCTACTCGAAGCACTGCTGGACGAGCTAGTGGACGAGCTGCCCGTAGATGAGGAGCCATTGGAGGTGGAGGTCCCTGCAATGTCTGTTTATATCGCCGTGTTAGCCAAGCTATTGATGTGATAATAGCTGAAAGCGTTTGAAGGAAGCGGGATAGGAAACTTACACTGTGCGAACGACGGCATGGAGTAGTTACTCTCCACGTAGGGCTGCGTTTTGTTCAGCGCGACACCTACAGGAACGATATGCTGCCGTAGTAAAGAGCTTGATCAACTTTATTGATTACGACGAGCAACGAGCAAACTTACCGCAAACGCGCTCGAGAGCATGGGATAGTATTTCATGGCCTCCGACATCGTGAAGTTATTCAGCTCATGCGTGAGCATGATGCCACCTTGCTGTTGCGACACCGAACTGTCGTCAATAAATTGTTCATACGGTATAGCGAGCAAGAATGTACAGTGTTGAAGGTGCCGCTCGTGGCGTTGTTGATGAACGACTGATAGTCGTTGTCAACGTCCTGGGCAGTGACACCGCCGACGCCGGCCCGCCAATCATTCGAGTCGTACTTCCACAGGATCGTCTGTAGCCCGAGGCCGTTGGCGATCGCCCGGATGCGGTCCTACAATGTCATTCAGGGAATGGTTACACGGTTAGCTTGTGCAATGATGCAAGCAGAACTACAGGCGCTCACATCGACATCACCAAATGGAGGCTGGCATGTGGAGCAACGGTCAGTTTGGGATAAGTGGACAGAGAGAGGGAAGGCGCACCCGCCAGCAGGTTGGCGTAACGCCAGTGACGGCTTTGATTGCTTGCATCTGTGGCGCATATTAGCGGCCGAGTTCCACGATATATCGGTAGAACATACCGTGTACCAAAGTTCTGCGAATGCGTCTGGGCTCGAAAACGAAGTCACTAATTTAAAGAGGCGCGTTAGCATCCATTTTGTCCGGTTTGGAAGATAACACTCACTATATCGATGTGACCATGTGTCTGACCCGCCAACAACCACGCAGACAGATCCCATCACGTCAGAGATTTGCCAAGCCAGCCACGTTCAGATATAACTGATCAACTTACGGACACAGATCTCATGGCCGTCGGTCAACGCACGCTGCGCCTCAAGAGGCCAGTCCATAACGTTGCTCCCGATGAAGTACATCGTCGCCTTTTGGTTCTTGGACTGTAGGTAGTCGTAGAATGCGTTATGCGAGCAGTTAGGGCCGTCGTCGAATCCGTACCCGATCGTCTTGGGCTCCGGGACACTCGACACATCGGGCTGGAGACCGGCAAGCTTGGGCGTCGTGCATTTGGCTGCGGTCCACCCTGTAAAGAGGTAGAGTTCAGGAACGCAATCTAGCAACCAACAAAGATATGTCCATATGCAAAATCATGAGAGAGCGAAACGTGCGGCGCGTCGTGACGGACGTGCTCATGTCGGTCAGAAAGTTTCAAGCGCAACACATAAGAATGGAACAAAATCCATAGAACAGCGCTCAAACTGATCGGCATCTCACAAATCGATACCGCCCACCACGCAAACCGAATCATTCGACCCTTGACAAACCGATCAAACGCCGCGACCCTCGCGACAGCACCTCTAACTTGATAAGGGTGGCGTAGAACAGGGCTCGGCGGCTTCTGGAATCTCCGAATAGATGTTGAACTTCGAACTTCAAGCGCCCTCGACGACGCTCACGAAGCACGATGCCGAAATAGCACGACCGCGCTGGGAAGAAACAAAACCAACGACGAAGAAAGATACTCACAACAGGCGGGGTCGTTGACGGTGTCGTAGGTCACGTTGGAAAAGTCGCCCATGGCGGTGCCGCGAGGTTGGATGTTAGTGGGGACGCTACTGGAAATGCTCGCCCATTTCGCCTGCGCGGCGGTGTCGGTGGGGAGGATGGTCGCGGGCTGCCAGATAGTTGGAAAGTTGTGAATATAATTGGCCGACGGCGCGTAGTAATACGGCGTGCACTCCTGCGTAGGGTCTGTGGGCCACACGATGGTAAGCCATCAATTCTGTCCGCAATGACCGAGGTCGAAAGGGAGATAGCGACAGTGGCGTTGGAGGACGGGGCAACGTACCGGTTATAGAGGCCTCGGCCTTCTCCGTCGTGCGGTCCTGTGCGGACGCAGCGAGGGCAAGGGATACGAGGAGGAGAACATGTGCTTGCGCAGACGCGCGGGTATCTGTAAAGAATGTTTGAAACCGCATTTCGAACGGTTATGTTTTGACTGGTGCGAGTTGCGAACGGAGAACCGAGTCGACGTGGGGCGGAAAATTCAGGAAAAGACGTGTCCGACGAGCAACGCGATGTAGGCGCTGGTCGTCGAGTTGGCGGACGTCGGCGGGGGGAGTGATGGAGAGAGGGAGGAGGGGCGGAGGATGGGCAGCATGGCCGGTGATTTATAGGCTCTGACATTTGCTCCATGATGCCAAAACGCCTGCAGCGGTCCCGTGTGCCGTGCTTACTATGAATAGATCAGCGCCAAAAATAAACCGGGGTAGAACCTTGTCACAGCTCGCCGCACCCATACCGCACGACACATCCTCGCCACTCGTTCTTCCCCTTCACGGCATGGCAATGCTTGATGATGCATCATTGATAGGTGAGCAGTTGATAAAAGTGTTCCAATATCGTCCCCCGAGGCAATGTTTGCCGGTCCCAACGGGGTAGACGAACAGGCGTTGCCTTACTAGCGTGCCGGCGCCTGTCGGAGGACTCGGTCACGTAATGGTTCTGGCCGTGCCGCCGGCCGCTTTTTGCCTCGGTCAGTGGCGCTCAGCGACGAGACGGCTATGATCTGCCTTGATCTACGTTGCCTTGTTCACTGATGATCGATGATCCACAGGAGGCCCATGGGGAGAGAGTAAGAAAGTTTCTCGAGTCTCAGTGTACGTCACCTGGACTTTTACAGGCAGGTCAACGCGCTGGGCGTCGAATTAGGCACGCTGTTTTTTCGATCGGGTCATTGTATTGTAGAGATAGTGTTAAAATACGCTGCAATTGAATAAGGTTTGGAATGCTTGACGCAGGTGCGGAGGAAAGAGGCCTACGTGAGTCCCTCAAAGACGTAGCGACGAGGAAGGACGTCTGGTTACTTACATCTTGCAACTGGATCATGATGTGGAGCTGGTTATTTCCCTCAGCCGATGCCATTCCCGAGTCCGAGTCTCCTAAACTCACCGATCTCCGTCGAGAGGCTACCGACTACTATTCGTCGAAAAAGGTGAGCGCAAAATCACGTTTGCTTTTTCTCAGCGTAAATTCGGCGTAATCAATGCCCTACTTCTACCGTTGCGATTCAATCTCCAAGAGTGCGCAGTCTACTCTGGAGCAGATCCATTCGCGAATCCGACAGTATTGAAGCTGTACGGGGTGGAGCGCTATTTCGGCAAGTCAAGTGAGCGCCGATCAGCAGATCCTTACTGTAAGCTCGAGCTTAGCTACGGACGACTGACAAAATATTATCAACTTGCAACAACAGCCAAGTATCCACTCACTCATGATGTGTGTTATAAGAGAAGATGAATTCTTGCAGGATATTGGGGCTGTGCGGAGAGTCGGCGGTCAAGCATTCACATTGCAGACTACCGAGATGGAAAGGCCTTGAACGAGGGCCAGTCAACAGTCTCCATTTGACGACGACACAGTACTAGCGGAACACATCGTCAAAGTCGAGCAACATGGATCCTGGATTGGTCAGGTGGATAGTAAGCCAGAGTAATCCCCGCAAAGACCGAGATCAGTATACAGCACAAGGCAGTACAACCCATGAGTAGCTTCAGCGCTTTGAGGACGCTTGATACGCTCCGGAATGGCATTGCCATATCTTGAAAGTCTCTTGTCTCTGGGTCGCTCATGTCGTTGCTGAGAGATTCATGATGAAGTTGTTGCTGTTAACAACGTGGGCCTGCTTACTGTATTGCGGAGATTGAAATCCAGATGAGATGTCGGCTATTCATGAATAACCGGGAGAGCATCTGAGGGCATTCACGAACACGATATCTCTTATTCGATGTCCGATGACCCTCTAGGTGCATGTTGCTCAACATGCCTTATCGCTTGCCTCGACGTGTGCACGGGCATCTGTGTTGACTGGACTACTGTCCGTGCGTCACTTACACCCTCATATAGGAGCGAAGCAATACTGAATTCATCGCCTATAGGCCATGAATGCACACAACATCTCTGCTCGTGTCGGTGCTTTTCAGGCCAGTGCGGCTGCGATCGTGGGGCGGATCGGCAAGCAAGTACCCCCCCAGACGCTGATAACGAAACAGCGCCGCTTCTCAAAACTGAGCAACCGGTGGGACGAGCACCGATGACGTCTGCTCGCGGAGGTAGTTCGTGACGATTACCTGGGTGAGCGCGGTACGTCTCGCCATCCACTCCCATGCACTTGTGATACTGAGCTTGCTTTAATGCGGACCAGTATCAGGATCATGTCTCTTTGATTGTAGCCCCATATTGTACGATCTTATTGTAAGCATAGTCTTTTCTCTTCGCGTGGGCACACAGGCATCACAACTCCTCGACCGTCGTACTCGATATTCGAGAGAGTCATGCTACTGGTACGGACCGTTCAATCGCTGCTGCGCTCTGTAAGTAGAACAGGAGACGCCGGAACTCCACTCTGGCGCCTCTGCGTCTCCCATTATTTCATCCACGAAGTGAGAAATGATGCTGACCCTAGAATGAACATGTCATGAACATGTATGGAGTCTTGAGCTGCAGTCGGCTCCTCATCAGGTCATGGCGCTGCCATGTATGAGCGCTCACCAGTCTGACAGTTGCTTACGATCTTTCATAATATTTGGAGTCCAGCAAGGTAAAACTATCCGCTGAAGGTCGAAGCCGGTCAATTTTACATGCACGTTACAGCGGAGTTGGTCCCAGAGGATGATGACAATGGTGAGTACGAGCACGGTGATGGCACCCGAGATGACGCGCTGCTGTTACATCCTGCGGGCGCGTCGCGCGCGGCGGGTGGATTGGGCGGGGTCAGAAGCGACTATCAGGATGCAGGCCTCGCCGCGGACGCGGGATAGGGGTGGGCGCACGTACCGTCAGATCATCTGCTCCAGTGTCCCACTCGTGTGGCCGATACACCGATCAATGAAACGACAACGTCCCAGTGCCACCAACCCAAGAACAAACACGAGTGCAAAGAACGCACCGTGTCCTGCGTGTTCTCGATATGATCGCGCTAGCTGCGCATGCCCACGCCCTGCTCCTCCGTCTTGCATGATCTGCTGACTCTCCTCCAGCCGCCGTGTCCCCTCTTGGTAATGCAAAATCTCAAAGCAAAAGGCGGTAATCTAAACCAACTAAATGAGGCTCGTGTCTACAATATTATAGGGGATCTGTGAGGTTCGGTATAGCTCTCGAGATCTCAGACATGAATGCATGAACAGGGAAGTACGACTCCTTCAGATTGTTAGATATGGATGACAACGCCGACAAATAGCTCAAAAAGCGCGTTCAGCTCTCGATTATCTGTATATAATTGACTTTTTAGAATTTTTGGTGTCGGGCAAATGGCACAGTGGTAGCGCGCACGCTTCGCAAAAAATGGTAGCATAACCATTAATTACGTAATTGCGTGAGGTCTGGAGTTCAATCCTCCATTTGTCCACTTTTTGCGGACTCTACAAGACTATCTTTTGCTCCCTTCTTGTGTAGATTCCCCTGATCGTGCGCTATCAATTATTTCACGATATATAGAGGAGTATTTGTGACGAGAGAAGGAAAGAGGCCGCCGAAAGTTCGACCCGTCAGAACGCACGTGTGCTGGGCCGGGCACTCGGTGCAGTCCCGGACGACATCCTTTGAGGGTTGAAGAATAGTGCCTCCAGCAATGAATGGGGGACGCGACAATGACGTTCAGTTCGGTATATGTACATTACACTCATACATTCGATGATTTCCTTATCGCTCACTGGAAGAACCCACTCCGGTCCCATATGCCCAGTTCCTTACCTTCATTCGCCCAACCCATCCGCTCCTGTACCAAGCCCGCGACGCGCACAAAGAGAGTTCCATCAAGTGCTTCCGCTCCATCCAGCCCTGAAGCGTAGTAGCCTGCCTCGCGATCGCCGTATCTTTGCGCAAAGTACGCAAGGGCACGCTGCAGCTTGCACAGGTGCTCGTTCGGGTGGACCAGCGTGTCCTGCAGGATTCTCATCCACGGGTTCGGTCCGGAAAGCACGACTTCACCAGGCCAGGCGGCGGGAGGGCGCTCGGTGGTGGGAACCGTGGTCTTGCGCTCGGGAGGGACGGGGGCGCTCAAGTGGGAGGTGGTCGAGATATAAAAGGAGGCTATCGGAAGGGAAGGACGGCCCCGCGCGATGTACCAGACTGTGGACGTCGCGAGGAAGCTTCGCAAGAGCAGAAGCCGGTGAGGGAGTGAGAGACGTGGGGATTGTGAAGACGAAGCGGGGAGAACGTAGATTGGTAGGAAAAGGGCAGAGGTCACAAGATGCATGCTAGACATTTGGGCGGTGGTGAGTGAGTGGACGTAGAGTGATGAATATGAAAGTGACGTACAGGAAAAAGTCGGCGTTGATCTCTTTCCCTGCGCCATTTTTTCCACGCCCTGCCCACCCACCGACGCCAAACCACAGTACGTTTCCGATAATGACCTCCTCAAGCATCGACTCAAGCCTCCTCTCAACCTCGGCCTCGCTTTCTGCGCCCTTCAACCAATTATCGTACCATGCCGAGACGAGATCATAGACATGCTTGCCCTTATTTTTGAGTACACGTGAATATGCGGAAGTGATGTCTACGGAGGCCTCTGGGGCAAGCGAAGGATCTTCGACAATCTGACGCCAAAATGCGAACGATGGTCTCAGTGGCGTGGCAGTACTGGCTTGGGGAGGAGAGAGAGAAAGACGCGAAGCTATGTTACTCAAGAGCGAGTCGGTGTCTGCAAGAGATGCGCTGAAGATTGAGTCAGGGAAAATTGGCGTCTGATCGGAAGCATGGATTGCGGATTGAGCAAGTCCTACCAGAGTATTCAGCAATGAGCACCATAGAGTATTCGAGGGGGACTGGCCGTAGGCCAGGCATGATGATGTCTGCCCACTGGTCATCACCTCTCACCTTCAGCAACTTGGCCAAGGACTCCGAACTCCAAACCATAACCCAAATGAATCAAAGGATGCAGGAGACCAGAGTGAAAGCGATCCAACATTGCAGGCTGACTCTGCCCCTCCTTCAGACCGGGGTTATAATTAAACTGAGGCAAGAAGATGAAACGTTCAATCGCTTGAGTGGGGGTGTGCGTGCTGAGATAGCTGGAGAAGAAGGCAAGATATGATGCGTAGAATCTGGACTCAGATGGTTGATTAGTGTAGATCAAGGGTATAGAAATTAACAATTTCATTCACGTGTGGTCACCAAGGTGGTCGACGAAGTTGTCTTCAGTGATAGGTTCCGGTCCTTTGAAGGCTGGGATCTGGTACTGGTGCGTCTTGTTCACAGCTTCAATTAGAGAGGGAGGAGCTCCCAGATCATATATGGCGTATAGATGGTGCGTTAAATGGCTGCGAAGTGATATCAGCACCGTGTCTATTTTTTTTTTCAACTGAGCAACAATGCAACATACTTGTGGAACCCGCGGATATCGAAGTAAACATGCCATTTCTCGTAGTCTTCCCTGACTAGCTCGAGAAGTTTCTTTGAACTCTGGTGAGAGATTCCAGGCAGCGCAATGCTACCCTTAGCAAGAGGTAGCGAGAACAGTTTGTCAAGCGAGTTATTCGTGGCTTGAGACGGTGACGATGCCATGATTGCGATAGTTAAGAACGACCTAGACTATGACAAGGAATGCTCTTGTTTATATAGAACTGAACGTCATGGCCTCCAGAGAAAATGCGCCAAGGGATGACATTCAATAGGGGGTTGACGGCGGGCTGCCGAAGAGGCGACGTCACTTTCCACTCACCTGATCTGGTCTCCCCTGAACAACGTCCGACTCGTCCGACGAACATCACCTGCCCAAGTCCATTCATCGCACTCACCAATCCGAGCACCTTAATACGTTTCCTTGTGTCCAGGCTCGGGCGGACCATGATCCAGTCATGATCCGGGCTTCCCTGTAATGCCTAGATGCAAGAGCTTGGGGCGCTGAATCTACAGCTGGCTAAACAGATGACCGATGGCCCGACGTTGATTGGGAGGTTGAACGTAGTTTGAGGTGAGATCTGATGCGGTTTGCAAATATGAGGTATTCTTGGCGCATTAGACCTCTAAGCATTCTCACAAGAACAGCGGGTGCGGTTCGGGAGAAAATGGCTTCGCTCGTTACCACTATGTTTGTGTCATCCTTGATCAGCTAAGTACGTGACTGTCGTTGGTAGCCGGAGCTCGCATGGTCATCAAAGACAGATGCCGCATGGCGTCGTCACCTACACCATGGTATGACCGAGCAGATGCAAATACCACATGGGCATGCCAAGGGCAAAAGAGATGCTTCCGATCAGTCATGAAGGAGAATATAAGTTGTTCGTTTTAAACATAGAACCCGAAGGCTTACTGAGGAGTTGACGCTCTGAACAAGGTCCGTTATGATGAGTTTACCATCATATGCAGTTGCCTCCGCATACTTCAGTCTCATCGCACGACATGCATTGGCCTTTCTGATCAGTAACGAATTTATTGTCCAACATTAGTGCATTATAACAGTTTCAAAATATATATGCGTGGGAGTGTATGATCTGATGTGAATGTAAAGGCTAGAGAACCTAACGAAAGAACTACTTGATCAGCCATAGGATCCCAGACGAAGCGGGAAGAGGACACAAGTTACCGGATTGCGATTGGCTGAGAAATTGATGGTAACGTACGCGCCATGACAAAAAGTGAGCTTCACCTCTACTCAGCCCCGGCACCGACAGCAAGTGCTTCTTGGACGCTCTCGCAAGCAGACATAATCCCAATCTCCGACTGTCCTGGGTAGAACCACGCTGCAGTAGCCTGAGAATCAATCAACCCAACGTGGACCGGAGTCAGTTCATGAACAGTACAAGGCACATGAGACGCTCACGATCATCAGATATAACGACATCATGATGATGCCTTCGACCCAGTTTGTCTTCGCATCTGCAGTGACATAGTTTACCAGGAAGCACGACCCAATGAGGACCGCCACCTCGAAAAGATCTGGTCCCCCAATTAGCAGCCGATACTCGAAAGTGAACACAACATGTACCGAATAGAATTGTCAGGGGTTTTCCCGTCCACCAGCCGATCAGGACAAACAACGGCATCCAAAATAGGGTGAACTGTATACTGAGGTCGATCGCCTTGGCTTCGGCGATGGATTCTGGTGGTGGTGGCGCCTTGAAGAAGTATTTTAGACTAGAGCGGACGAAGTAGACGATGGCCACCATCGCGTCCGCGGAGAACGAAATGGCGGGCAAAAGGATGAGTCCAAACCATCTGTGGGGGTTCTATCAATCCGACGAACGTCATGAGATGATAAGCGTATACCCACTCATCCTGTATATGCCCTTTTTCTCTGACTGGTTCGATACTTTCGACAAGCTATTGATCATGAGAGAGACGATCGATATCGAAGCTCAAGCAATCGACATACAAATTCAGCGGTGACAGCCATGACCGCAACCGTGATGATGAGCAAGAGAGTGCACGTCCAAGGGTTGACTTCTGGTTCTGCCTTCGCAAGTTCTTGGGATCTCTCGATGGCTTCCTTCGGTGCATCAGCAGGGAGACGGAGAGCATTGTCATCACCAGGAGGATCGTGCAAATAGAAGCGAGAGCAAATATATCTGTATCCTTTCACTTAAAAAAATGGTTGTGATTAGGTTTTTGATGAGCTCACACGACAAGGAGAATAACAGCGAAGCCTCGACTGATGCGCATGAATTCGTTACGGATATGGTCGTTGATGAGCTGTGATTCTGACCCCTCTGCGCCGGAGGCGCTACGATCAAGTGCTGCAAAAAACGAGGCAGGGATCACTAGTGCAAGTACTCTATGAAAGTTGCCGGCGATGAATGGTGAATAATCGTCGAACAACACAGTTGATGGTGCCATACCCGAGCGTTAGGAGCGTGTGATTCAATTGGGTCCGCTGTGGATGTAGCTCTTGTTCTAAGATCCGCACCCCTCCAGTCAGAAAGGCGGTGCCTGGGATAAGAAGTAAGTGTAATAGAATGACGCCTAGAAATTTTGTGGTCAAGTCAGATGAGGATCCCGAAGCGATGACGAGCTAAACCGCACCGGCAATAGTGGATTGCAAGAGCTTGAGTCTACATTTTTGAACGTCAGAAAGGGAAGCGCGTTTCATTCTCATGACAGACTTACTCGCATTTCAATAGCAGAATGATTGCTAGAGTAGCTTCAACTGCGCTGCCTCAGCCGTCAAACGACGCATTGAATATATCAACCACCAACTCACTTGCTCAGTGTGATGATGACAAGGTCACCAAGATCCTCGCCGCAGTACATGGCCAACTGTTCACCACCCCAGTCAAAGATCTTTACGAGAGGCATGATCCCGAGAAAGGCGACTTTATGAAAAGTGCAATTGAGGTTTATGCTACATCACGAAGAGGGAGCGACTGACACACGAAGGCAGCCACATGGCCCCATGAGGTATGAAAACGAGCCACCCACGCAAATGGAATGAATATTATGAATACATTGAGCCCTACGATAGCACAGTCAGCGCGGGTAGATATGAAAAGAGCCTGCGTACATGAGGACGTAACAATAGCATATAGACTCTGTCGCCAACCAACCCTTCTGCGATCTTTTCCTCTGAACTGCGCCCAGAACCGTTGTCTGGTGTCGTTGTTGCGCGGTCTGGCAGGAGTTTGGGGACGCCAGTTGTCGTTGCTAACGGCTGGATCAACGGGGTGTCCGTCAACGTGAGACGTCAGCGCCTGTCGTTCTGAGTTCTGAGACTGACGATGGAGGCCCAGCTCTGTGTCCAGCGAAAGCGACCTCCTATCTGAATCAACCATGAAAACCTCCGACTTGTGTCACTGGAATTTGGGTCTTGCGCCCGAGAAATGGGAGGAAAGAGAAGAAGATGATATGTTCAGGGTGCAATCAAGCGCATCATCGAAAGGCTCACCTTTATAGAAGAATCATGGTCGGCAACAGCCTCGCGTGAAGGGTCATGATGTCCAAACGCGGGGCGGCAGAGACAGCCTGAAGCTATTCACAGAAGCCTTCGCAAGTCTGCCATTGATCGGGGTAATTTGAGGCAACTTCCTTGGCCCTGTTAGTGCATTGGACGTGATGCCTCAGGGTTGGGTAGTGCACCTCGCTGTGCACTGACGCCGTCATGTTAGACGCCTGGGCGTCACTTATGCTGTGAGTTGATGATCAGAGATACCGGCGGTGCCAAGCGGCCCAGAAGTGTGCGCCTTGAGCGGCCTGGCGGTGAATGAGCTGTTGTGCTGCCTCAATCCGAGCATATCTGAGAGGATGGCGCTGACAAGGCGAAGCACGTCGCGCGACGACTTCAAAAGGCGCGCAGTCAGGTGAGGGGATCGCGTGATTACTAATCATGCTTCGACTCCGCGACTCTTGCCCATCGGTTCGGAGCTCGCAAGCGCTCGCCGCTCGCAAGCGCTCGCCGCTCGCAAGCCTTCGCGAGTCGTCCCATCCAATTTGATCAAAAAGCGACCCTAGTACTTCAGACTGTCATGACGCGGCCCATCAAGGAGACGTTCGACGCGCAGGGGTTCGTTATCATACCCAACCTCGTTCCCTCCGATCTGCGTGTTGAGCTCGAACAAGCCTCGGAGAATGTCATTTCCAAGACTCGATCGGGAGCCTGGCAGCACAGACGCGTTGTTGGGAAGCAGTTCCCACCTTACGGGAATGACGGTGTCGATTCGTGGGGAGTGCAGCATGTCATGCACCCTGATCTCGGAGAACCGGCGTTTGCGAACTGGTATTCATCGCACAAATTGAGGGAAGCAGTAAAGGAACTGTTGGGTTGTTCAGACGACGACCTCCAGATGGGTATGCGCGGATTGTATGGATATCCAGATCAAAGTGCTGATCAGGGCCGACACCCGATTATCAGAGTTGTTCAATCTACTCATCAACCCCGAATCTCACGAGTTCGCCTTGCGATGGCATCGAGATGATGTCAAAGCAACAGCTTCTGAAGAGGAAGAGCGCGAAGCTCTCGCTGTTTGGCATCATGGAGTGAGTTCGATCCTATATGAGACGATGAAGCACGAATCTAAGTAGCTTGCGACTTGCCTCACGTCTCGTTGAGATCCAATGGAATACGTGCGTGTATCACATGTGTGTTTAATGATCGAGCCGTTCTTCACGCAGCTTCCAAGGGCGCTCTATGAGGACTCATGTCTTTTCGTTGTCCCAGAATCGCACAAGTCTCCGAGAACAAATGAGCAGAGATCTCAGTCTAGCACACCAGATCCACCTGTCGATCCTTTGACAATGCCCAACGCAATCCGGGTCACGTTGCAGCGTGCGTGTGTTCAAGTGCAGGCATTCATGTGTTGTTTTCTTACGTGACTTTCAAGCCGGAGAGACCGTTTTCTATAATAACAATATTCTTCACTGCGCAACATACAACTCCCAGGCCAAACGAGCCACATTGCATGCATCGATGGGTGACACGCGTGGTGGTGCCGCCCGTGCACGCAATATACTCCAGCATGGCCTCACGTGGATGAAAGAGGAATCTTTCAAGAATACGTTGGATAAAGACGGGCGGGCGATGTTGGAGAGGCTTCTGACAATGCAAGAACGCGTGGGTGACGACGTCGGCTACTCTCAGGATTGATGCAGCCAAAGGTAGAAATGGATAGAGATGAACATGGACTGGATACAAATTCAATAAAATGGTGCACTGAAACTGTGCAAACAACGACAGCGATACGAGAAGCCACGACAAACAATACAACAGAGAATAATAGGGCAACACCTACCAAGCCCAGAGGGAGTCCAAGGGGACGGAGAGAAGTACAATCAAGAAAGGCAACTTATGCTGGCGCCTCGGCCTGCACGCCTGTAACTGTGATGGGCTCGATGACCGCTGCGGCGGGAGCACCATTGGCACCTGAAGAGAGAAGGAAGGAGTCAAAGAAGATGGAAATGGGTCCTATTAGTTAACTGATCATCAACTCCCGCGAGTGATGCCTACGGACCCGGCAGGTCAACTTCAGCCTCTGCATCCGCGTCCTCCTCACCCGTCGCATCTGCGTCCTGCCTCTCGGGTGAGCTCGCGCTCGCATCACCCTGATCCCCGTTCTCCTCCTCCCCCTTATCGATCGCCTTTTTTGTTGACTTCGGTGCGGCGCGTCGCGCACGTTTGCCTGGCAGGGCGACGCTATCAAAGGTCTTTTTGGCCCCGCGTTTGGGTGCGGGCTCTTTGGGGGCAGCGATGGCCCTCCTCTTAGGCCTCCCCTCTGGCACGTCGGCATCGCCAGATCGCGTCCTCTTGCTGGACCGTGTAGGCGCTGGCCGTTCGGCTGCAGCTTGAGTCTTCGTCCTTTCCCTTGGCTTCTCTTTTTCCTTTTCTTTCTCTTCGGTCTCAAGCTCTGCAAGAGCAGCATCAACTAGGGAGGCGATAAGTATGAGAGATGAAGAGATAGGTTGAGTACTCACGACCGCGTTTTTCAACCTTGTTCAGAAAGCCAATCATATCGTCCCTCTTGCGCTTGCCAGGGGTTGCGCCCAAGTCGCGGCACACCAAACGCAGCGTATCAGCTTTGAGCTGGTCCCATGGTATTCCTCCTGCCATGCGAGATAGACTGTGCGAGAAGCGTCTTTTAAACTTAGGTGGGATGGGGGATTAGGAAGTCAACACAACACCCACGCTAAACGCGATTGGTCTGGGGAATCACGTGAGCGTCCTCTTACAGCACATGATGGAGAACACGTCAAGTCCGCGCTCTGTTGGTCGATGTCCTCGCTAAGCCTGTAGTCTCATACCAAGACCACTCATGTATTTTGGCTGCACACGGTAATTCTGAACCTCAGAATGTATCATGTGGGGAATGAACACTTATGGCCATACTGGCTTTCTGGCCTGACACCCTGATAGCGCTCATGAGACGATTACAGCTGTTTGCAAATCGATAGTCCTCCCGAATCCAAACGCACAGCGCTGCGGATGGTTGTATATATCGATTTTTGCACAGCCATTGGAGTCTAGACAAGGCTAGTCACCTCGGACCTTATGCACTCCTACCATGGCTGTCGGTGGGACTCAACGGCACGTATCCTTGATTCCTCTCCACAGAAAGAGCTTGTGGTTTATAATGGCTATATGACTGCTGTATGAACAAACATGAGCACCAACTAGGTCTCTGACACTACAGGCTTTCATGTTCAGACTGTGCAGGTCATTTTCACGACGCTTTGTCAGGCCTATGAGCAGTACTCAATATCTGTGAATGTCTCAGTCCATTTTTTGCATCACTTGAGCAACATAAGAGCCCTACACAACTGTGGGGGATATCTAGACATGTGAGTAGTGTAAAAAACATAGAGCCTGATTAAGGCAAGTTCTAGGCATGTCACAATATCAGCATCAACTCGCGGACACATGTTCCAGTTCGAGAGGACTATCGTTTTGCAAACAGCTGTAACACGAGCACCGCACAAGTTGTTACTACCTCAGAGGGTAAGCATTTCTCCTCTTGTCATGTTTTATGTTGATACTATGTTGCCGACACGCCAGTCATCAACTCTGAGTTGTCCTGGTCATCAATTTCCCCAGGGCGCTCCTTGCAAGGGGCTGTACTTCTCAGTGCAGTGTCTGTTCGCTTCTCCGTTGATAGTTGAAGAAGAGTTGCATCCGGTCCCCCTCCTTCACAGAATACAGTAGTTTGAGGCCTATGGCGGCTTGAATTCGAGGCATAGGTGAAGGTACTAGGACCAACGGATCCAAGCTTGGCCCTTCGCCCTCTGTGGGTTGATGCTGTGTAGGTGATGCCGGGAAGGCTGTGATCTTCAGAGACAACGAGTCCTACCTGGCAAAGGAAAGCATTAGTCCGAATTATTTATATGAAGAGAAGTTAGGACCAAAACATAGAATGATTCCCTTTTGGGCATGTTTAGGGCAAAACGCAGGCTTCTCAACATTTCCTAAACAGAGCATGTCGCGTCTGTGGCTACCTCTCGCTCATAAATAATGGACATTTTGAAAGCTCTCAAAATCTACATAAAAAAGTCCACCCACTCCGAAGAGGATCATGAGCAGATATGTAGTGAGTGCGCATCTACCCTGTACTCCTTGTAGTTTATCCGATTCAGGTGAACAACTCACATCAAGTCTCTAGTGTCGCTCAATGTCCCACCAGATGCAGCTCCCCCTTTAGAGGTTCTCACTTATGCGATATACAACATCCTTCGTCCTACATTCCTTCTTGACCAGACTCCAGAGCTGCTCGACCTCATTGCACAAGTCGAGTTAATCCGACAATTGGCCACCGAGAACGCGAAGAAAGCGATGGCGTGGAATCGATGGTACTCCCAACCCAACGAGAAGCTGGACACTATCCTCCTTGACGGCCATGAGGTGAAGACACTATCACAGCTTGTGGATAAAACCGAGATATTTCGAATTCTATACTGTGGGATGATCGATAGATGTGTCCGACTCGTACGTCGCATCAATGTCATTATGGCTTTTATTGACATTCTATGCAGCACATCCTTCACATATGGACGAGTGACCGAGCACATCATCTTCCGCGATTCATGAAACTATACTATCCAGCCTTCCATATCTCTGGATCAGCACATTTACACGCATCATATCAACGTTGTCTTTTCCATGATGGGTTATCAGACGAGGAACAGGCAGAATTCTACCACAATGGTTTAAAATGTATTCATTTTCTCTGCGAAGCGGGTCAATGGGAGGAGAATATCCGCAGTCAGCATGCAACGTGAGCCACACGAATTTCATGGATGTTTCCACCGAACTAAATACATTAACGCTTGCAGGGTGACTGTAGAAGACTACGAGACAGCAGAATTTCTGGGCTTCAGGGAAAGCCTCACCGAGGGTTACGAGGCTGATAAGACTATTGAGATGATCGGAGGGTACTTGCGTAAAGTAGAGCAATATATTGGCGACCTACGCAGGATATTTCCCGACGATACAGATGACCCCGGTAAGCGAGCATCACCGCGCCGATAACCATAGCAAGCTTAGGGGATGCAATCCCTCCAGATATCGCACCATGAGCATTTCCTTCCATACTCTTTCACCGGAGGTACAAAAACGAGTACGGTTTGATGAAGAAGATTCAAGGGCTCTGCCCTGTCACTCATCCATCTCATCCTTGCGATTTCCCCAGGCCTCCTTTCAGGGTTGCGTCACCTATATTTATGGGTTCGTGCGACCGTGGCATATGTTCTTCCTGTGTAGACTAGCGCTCATCTTTTCTAGAATTGGATCACGAGCGCGCAATGATTTGCGCGTGTATACTTTGAACAGTTGTTGTATGTTAGTGAGTTGTCGAATATATGTCCGGTCCTGGTTGTGATCCGCCGAGGACAGGAGATATATGCGAGGAATGATGCCCGTTTATAGTGCATATTTTCCAGCGCAGAGTACGTCCACTTTTTTCTCTGGATAATTTGCTCGTTTCAACAAAGATGGATTGCAGAACGTCAAAACCGGGGAAGGTCTGTGTCACATGACTGCGACGTGTTGTTTGGCCATTATTTGTGAGCGAGCCAAACACCCCCGCGTGATTACGTCGCCGTTTGATGAGTACCGTTGCTTGAGCGCTTTGATATGCCCTCGACGCGGCCAAGGGCACAAGGAAACCCTCGCTCTCCAGCCAAACCTACATCTCCATTCATCGCTGCATCATCCACCCCCACTTTTCTGCCACCATCTCATTATGCAGCGGCCGCAGGAATATCATACCAAACAGTCCGCGATCATGCTCCGTCGCAGGACTCGTACTACAGCAGAGCACAATCATCTCGCTCCTCCGTGGCAACTTCCGGCGGATCCACATATATCCCCATAACGATGCCTTCGCCCCCGCCGGAACTCATTTCCTTCTCTCCAGATCATGGACAGTCCAAGCGATCCTTTCTGAAGAGGCGGCCGAGTAGGACAGATAACACGATGAGTCGGAACTCGTCCAACCGCCAGAGTCAGCTTGGGGACCTCCCGATGGTAGAAGCACAGCTGCTCCCATCGCTACGTGACACTATCGACAAAATGACAAATACGTCGAAGACTACAGGCGATCCAGGTTCTCCCAATAGTCTCCCTCCCCACAGAGACTCACCCACAAATCGACTCAGCTTCATCCATGCATCATCTCCTTCACCCTCCAGGCCTCTTTGCAACTCACTGCGTCGACCTGGTGTCACCCCAAAGTCCACCCCAATCCCTCCGATGCCCACGACCCCCAAACCCGCTTCTGGTCTGAATGCCGGGCGGTCTCCTCGCATTCCTGTAGCGACCTCAAAAGTCAAGCCGAAGCCGATTTTAAAGTCCGTCTTCTCGGGATCATCTTCCACGACCATGGCTGGATCCAGCAAGGTTCCAGAACCCCCTTCTCCTTTAAAACTATCACAACCAAAACCGTCCAGGCTAGTGAAAAGTGTATTAGGGAAGAAGCAAGCTCGAGGGACGCCAGAGACATCGTCGGTTAGTACAACACACAAGGTGCGTTTCTGGACTTTCGACTGCATTATATAGTCTTACTTTGACGCGCCTCAGACATCAGGCTCTATCGCATCTTTCCCTTTTCGTGATCATGGGCGTTCTCGCACCGATCCCGGTAGCACTTCTAAAATTCCTTCACGGAGTCCTCATCTCTCCCGCACTCCGCAGGCTATTAGCTCATATTCCTCCAGTCATGCTCATCCAATGCCGGCGAATTCTAGCCAAAGGAATGTCAGGCACCTCGGGGCTTCCAGCGGAGAATCTGGGCCAGAGTTGGAGCTTCGAAGCGAACGTGGAAGAGCATTGGTCGTCACAAATGCAGATGTCATAGCCTCAAGCTCCGAGTCAAGCTCTGAAACAGATGGTGATCAGGTAGCAGACGATATTCCTCCAGACATCCAGCCGGCATGGATGAGGCCCATCGAACCCGCGACAAGAAGCGCTTATAATATGTCTCGTCCTAGAGCGTCTCAATTACCTGATGGAATCGGGCTGGGTTTGGGCGTTCCAGAGTCTCATATACGCGAATCTTATGATGCTCGCCGTGGAAACAGGCGATCGAGCACCAATTGCTCGCGAGGAGAGGATGAGACGAGCGTATATCTCGACGAAGAGGCATGGGAGACGGTGGATGTGTCTATGAATTCTGCCCCATATTCTGGCGCCAAAAACAAGTTTCCCCGAGAACGTACTGGGGCTTATGCAGATCGTTCTTCTAGCAATGCACTGCCAAACCCTTGGGAAGCGGGCGACGGCATGTTAGAGGACAGTGAACGCAGGCGCCACGACGCGCTCATGGGAATCGTGAACGAACTCGAAATTGGCCTTTCCACAAACAACGGAAAGCGCGACTCCGAGGACTCGTTTGAGAGCGAGTATATGGGGCAAGAGGGATTGGCTATCAGCGGATCGACGGATTTACAATCTCAGCCCATCTCGAGTGGTGAGAGCTTTGGCGCCCACCACGGGAGGCAGCGATCAATCGCTCGTCCCTCACCACAGGCCAGGCAGCGGTCGTATGTTCACTCTCCGAACGTGCATGTCGTCGATGCTAAGAGTCCCAGCACTCACTATGGTACACCCCGCTGGAGCCACTATCCAAATAGCCAAGGCAACGCGCTTGATACACTGGCGACAACAAATCATGAAGACTCAGGGCAGGATGACGAGATCTCTGCTTCCGAGTACGCATCAGAGGATGGCGAGGATGACGGTTTCCACTTCGAAGAGGTCACTCCGACAATCTCGGGTTCTTTGCGCCAGTCGCGGCCTTTTTCTGCTGCTAGTCGAAGTCGTACATCTACGGAATCGCCTAGTCGTCTGGTTCAACCATCCAGGGCGAATAGCCACGCACTCTCTCCACTGACTACCTCGTTACATCCTTCTCGACGTTCCGTCATCAACAGCAGAGCAGCCACTGCGAGTAAGAGCCTAGCCAATGACCGCCATCAACGCGACTCCGTCTCCACACTCAAGAGACAGTCTCGACACAATGATGACGGTTCATATATCCCTTCAGACGCTTCTATTTATTCGACTGGAGAACGATTCATCTCCGAGACGTACAGTCACCATCAAAGCATGAACTTTGTCGAGGCTCGCGAACGAGAAGCATTTGGATTGCCTCCATCGGTCTCGAATGACAGTGACATACTTTCACACGCTCAGAGCGCATCTTCGCTCGATATTCGTAGATGTCAAGACGAAGGCGATGAATTCAGCTCAGGCGCGGAAGCCATTTTCAAGAAACTGAGCTATGAGACCGATCCACACTTCCTGAAGGAGACGCCAGGCTTCCGGGGCGACGGCGAAGGTCATGTTCAAGGCACACACGATTACGAAGATGAACCAATGTCTGGAGAAGACAGCATCGTCAACGTCCACCCATCGCAAACGCAGACGACGTTGTCGAGAAGCTCTAGTGCAAACTCAATATACGAAGATTGCATTCCTACTCGATCGTGGCAGCAGCAGCAGCAGCAGGACCCACACATTCTGGACCGAAATCCTGAAAGTCGTACTTGGCGTTCGACACTCCCTTCATCGGCACATCGCTCGCTGCTTGAGCGTTATGGTGAGATGGAAATGGAGCGTCAAGAAATCATTTGGGAGATCTGCGAGTCCGAAGAGGCCTTTGTCAAGCGATTGCGCGTCGTCGTCGAACTCTTTATTCGCCCCCTCCGATTACAAAATAGCAGATCATGGATATCCGGCGTCCCTCCAGATATTGCGCGATTGTTTGATTGGCTCGAAGACATCGTCAATTTGCACTCCCAGCTCTTCTCCGCATTGCGCGTGGCCAGAGCGGGTCAGTATCCTCTCGTCATGCGCATCGCGGAAGTGCTGCGGGGCTTCGTGCCCCGCCTCGAGGTGCATCAGCCCTACCTCGTCAGAATCGATGAAGTTGTGGCGATGATCAAGATGATGACTGGGGAGAACGGAGATGACTTTGGAGAGTTTATACGCATCCAGGAGGAACGTGCGTGTCAAGGGTGGAGTTTAGAGACAGTCTTGCTTGAGCCAGTGAGTCGGTTGTCGCAGTACCCCATGCGTTTCAAGGTACGCGACATCGAGCTCCCTTCCTTCGTATTAGAGGACAGCGTTCATCATTGACATGGCAGCGCCTTTGGGATGCGACTCCGCAAACACACCTAGACCATATCTCGACCTTCTCTCTGCTGCATTCGAGTGAAACTATGATCAGAGTCATGCGGGAGGTAAGAATACGGGAGGAAGAATACGACCTTGTGAAGGATATCATGAACAGGATCGAAGGGCTTCCATCCTCCGTCCAATTGGCTAGTCGTGAGCGGAGGTTGCTAGCCCGCGGCCGGCTCTTGCGAATTTCTGGTAACGGTGGGACCAGAGGTGCTAACCCTGTCTATCCCTCTTTTGCTGGCACGCCAGCATCGACGAGAGACAGATCTGTTCAACGGCAAAGCAGACTCCTCAACGCGCTCCAAGGGTGGAAGGCCTCACCTAGTGCCCGTTCGGACTCTCTGCGATCTATGACATCCTCGAACTTCTCTGCTGATTCTGGGCTGACGGTCGCTTCCTCGACTCCACCGATTACCCCCATGAGCCTTGGGCACGACGTTGCATCTATCTCTAGATCAGGTAAGTGGAGCGGGAGCAGCCCCGATACTTCTCGCCGATACGATCTATCCACGGGCTCGGCTTCTCCCTGGAACGACCCCGCTAAGCATTCTCCCATACATGTCTTTGTGTTCACGGACCTTGTCGTACTTGCTTCGCCGACCCAAAGTGCTTCGCGAGCTCGAGCGGCGAATAGAACATTGAGCCTGACTGCTGACAACGGGGGTGAGAGGGAAACTTGGAGGCTTTTGAAGGATATTGGCATCTGCAGGATCTTGGGCATCACTAGGGAAGAGCTGAACATCGCCCTGGACTTGCTGCCGATGGACACTGAAGATCTGGAGACGGGAGTCGTACCCGACAGCGTTCCCGTTGCTTCTGTCACCCTGACCATCCCTCCGTCGTCGTCCTCCGGAAAGGTCTTCGATTCTGCGTCCCTGGAGGACATCGCGGCGAAGTGGCTGTCCGCGTTCCAGCAGTGCTTTCAGTACACGCTGCGCTCGCTGTCGTTCCCGTCGCACTCTGGGAAGTATCTGGCGCAAGGGCCGAACGTCGACCTCGACGTCGATTCGCGGCAGTCGGTCATGGCGATCTTGGCCTCGGGCCTCCCCCTTCCCAAGAGTCCGTCCATACAGATCGAGGAGACGATGCTGGGGATAGCGGGGAGCATCGAGCAGCAGGAGCGCGAGGAGCGCGGGTGGTGGTCGTTGCGGTTCCAACAGGTGCTGAAAGAGATGCGGAGGAACGAGCTCTCCTTCGCCGGAGCCCCTGGGAGCCTCGCGTCTAGGTCGACGCCCCGCGCTGGACCCTCGAGATCGCCGTCGAGTGTCTCTCGGCCGCGACGGCTCAAGCTGCCGTCCATGGCGTCCTTGGAGTCCGTCGCGATGAGCACCCCGGTCGCGCCGAATCGCAGCCGTCTTAGATAGTTTTCGATTTGTTTGCGAGGCTTTCTACGCCGTCGATGGCGATGTGGTGGTGGTGGTGGTGTTGTCGCTCGGTTGAACATGATTTTAGCTCTGCACGCTGAGATAGAACATCGTGCTAACTGGGGAACGGCGGAATTGACGTCTATCTACGTCTGAGTAGTATCGCTCGTCAATCGCCGCTTCAGATCGTTGATTTTGCCGATGGATACTTGTGATTACGGTGGTACCTGGGTCGCAGTGAATTTGACCGGCCTCGTATCGCGCGCGCGCGCGCGACTTATCTCTCCGCGCCGATAAGTAAGTTAGTTCGAGCGTTGTTCAGTCGAGAGGCTCGAGCGAGGGCTTGTTTGGAAATTTGCGGCGATGAGTCCGTCCGCACCTGGCGGCCGCGATTGCAACGGCGGTTTGCTCTCCCAGTGTTTTTTTTTTTTTTTCTGGCTGCTGAGTGGCTGTCGTCGCGATCGGAGGCGCCCTCGACCTGGGAGCGGCCGTTCAGGGACGGGGCGATTCAGGGACGGGCTCTAGCACCGACTCAATACAGTGGCTCTCAATAGTAGCTCTCAACAAGCGAAACCAGCGGAGCCCCGCGGATTGGGCCGCAAAGCGGGCCCGAACGGGGGCAGAGAGGGCGCGAAAGGGCGGGGCGCGCAAATAGTTTTTTAATGGTTTCCTGGATGGAGCGGGGGGCGAGCGTCGGGCGTGCTCTCGCGAGGGTTTATTGGTTTATCTTGTTGACTTACTTATCGGCCGCTCCATGTTTCTGGCCGTCCGCGCTGCGTCGATAACGCCGCGTCCTTGCCTCGCTTGCGTTTGCTTTCTCCGCTCATAGGAGCAGCTATCGCATACGCCGCGTCTCTGCGTCTGTATCTGGGCTTCGACCTTGACCTTGACCTCGACCTTGATCTTGACTTCCTTGTCTCTCGCGTCTGCGCAGCGGAGAACGACCAGAGTCTACGCCAGACTTCGCTGGAGGACGGTATGCAGAGCCAGAGTAGCGTGCAGGGAGAAGAGGCTGGAGAGCGCGAGAGGCCACAGGGGCTGGAGGCGGGCTTCGCGACGCCGCGCGATATCGCCACCGCGCGCCAGATGACGCCGGCTTTGCGTGCGCACGCCAACGCCAACGGCCTCGGGGTGCCTGGCACGGTGAGGAGCTATGTGGCGAGCTACAGCGGCTCGTTCGTGAGTCGTGCAGGGTGAGTCTCTCCCTCCGCTCCCTAATTTCGCTTTCTCTTGCTTTCCCCAATCATATCCCGCGCCCCGCGCCTCGTGCGTCGTTCTCGTTCTCGTTCTCATTCTGGCCTCCGTTCCCTGTGGGTTGCGCTCCACCGCCTGCTTCGCTTCGTTTCCATTCTCGTTGATCCTGCTGGATCCGACCACTATACGCCCTGTGACTTGCTCTCCCCCGTCTATGCCCTTCTTTTTTCTCCTTTACGTCCGTCGCGAGCTGGGCGCTGACCGGCCACCGCCCCTCTTTTCCCGCTCCGCGCCCCGTGACCGCCCTGCGCCGTGCTCCGCGCTCCCACCTGCACGTCTTCGCCCCTCGCCCCGCGTTCTCGACCGCGAACCGACGTCCCCTCCTGGCGCGTCGACATCGCCCCGCGGTCTCGCCCCATCACGCGTGCTCCCCGCGTACATGCATGTATGCGTGTATGCGTGCGACACCCACCCACCCCGATCACGAACCCCCTCGAACAATCCCCGCTCGCGATCGCGCACCCTCGCGCGCGCGCTCGTGCTCATCCGCACGCCATCCGCTCACACACCTCCCCACGTACGCACACGTACACATGCAAATGCACGCCTTCTGCCGCGCCCATATACGCATATAACGCGTCATGACACATGCCATATGGCGCGACCGCGACGTCCGCCGCCAACAGCCTCCTCCAGCCCCGCACCCTCGCCTCGCCCCCCGTCCCCGCCCCTGCTGCCCACCCCACCACCACCACCACCACCACCACCACCACCACCAATCCTCCCGCCGCCACGACGACGGCGACGACGACGACAAGCTTCGCGATACACACCGCCACGACCGCATTCTCCGCCGCCGCCGCCGCCGCCGCCGCCTCCTTCTCTACCCCCACGCACGCGCACGCGCACGCGCACACAACCGCGCTGCTCACCCCCGCCTTCGGCGCCCCGCAGAGCGCGTCTCCGCACGCCCCCTCCGCGATCCGCAACAGCACGATGCAGCTCTCCAACCTCGTCCTCGTGCCCCCGCCTCCTCCGCTGCCGCCAGCACCGCACCGCACCTTGGCCCTGGGGAGACGCGACGCCGCCGACGCCGACGCCGACGCCGACGCGTTCATATTTCCACAGCCCCCGCGCTACCTCGGCGCACTCCCGCTCCCGTTCTCGACCGCGAATGCGAATGCGAATGCGACCTCCGCGCGCGCGTCGGTCCCGTTCTCCACGTCGATGGTCACCGCCTCGGGGGCCTCTTCGCTCGCGTCCTCGGTCGGGTCCACGAGCATGACAACAACAACAACAACAACGACGACGACAGCAGCAGCAGCGACGACGACGATGACGACGGCGCGCGAGCCGGGCGGGGCGGGGATGCCGACGCCGACGGGCGAGGTTTCGCCGTCGGGGTTAACGCTGCTCCTCGCGCGCGGGCATCGTGCCGGGTCTGGGATGGGCGTGACCGATGAAGGCGCTGGCGCTGGCGGTGGTGGGAGTGGTGGGGCGCCGCGCTCGGGCTCGGCGACGCCGCATGGGCGCGCGGGCGTGCGTGCGCAGGTGGACGGGCGGGGCGGACGGGCGCCGTCGGGGGAGGGCGCGAGCGTTGGCGGCAGTCGTGGTAGTAGCAGGACGGCGTCGGTGCGTGGAGAGCGGGTGCGTGCGGACGAGGAGATGGGCGTGCGGACGGAGTGGACGGAGCGGACGGAGCGGATGCCGTTGTTGGCGGGTGGGGTCGATGGCGATGGCGATGGTGAGGGTGGGGCGGAGATGGGGGGGCTGGTCCGTGGGTACGGCAGCGGCGCGAACGCGAACGGCAATGAACACGAGCAGGACGGAGCAAAGTGCGCGCCGGCGGCGCGGTGGGGGCTCGGGCGCAGGCTCGGGCTTGGACAGAAGCTCGGGTTCTTCGCGCGCGGCGGGGGTGCGAAGGCGCGGGTGGGGGCGCGGGTGGGGGTGCAGGGCGTGGGGAGGGTGGGGATGGAGGTCGTGCGCGCGCTGCCGGCGGTGTTGCTGGGCTTGTTACTGAATGTGCTGGATGGGGTTTCTTGTGAGTACCCGCGCGCGTTTTTTTGGGGGGGATGGGTTGGTGGAGAGTGTATGCGCGGACGCTCGGGTGGGAGCCTGCTTGCTGTGGCCTGACGGGTCAAGCCCATGCGCGTGCGCTCACCTGCACGGTGACCGCCGGTTAGGCCCGTAGGGATGGCGTCCACTGGGCGCGCACCCCCGCGTCGCCTCCACACGACGGGATTCTTGGCTTTTTTTCCCTCCCCGTCGACCTCGTTGCTGACTTTTTCTTTTCTTTTTTCGTAACACGCAGATGGCATGATCATATTCCCCGCCGCAGGTGTGTTCGCGGGGCTCGGCGCCATGGGCGTGTCCATGTTCTTCGTCTCGTGCGTGAACCGGGCTTTCTCGGCTATGTACGTACCTCCTCGTTGACGCTGATTGTGGGCGGACAGGGCGATCGTGGCGCAGCTCATCTACTCTGCTGGGGCGAGCGGCTTTGCGGGCGCTAATGGGAGCATGATGATCGAGGTGGTGGTGCGTCTGCATTTTCGGTGTCTGCCCTCCCCCCGCGTGCTGGCCGATCTGACGGGCCGAATTGCGTCGGTGTTCAGCCGTTCTTCCATATCCTCGCGACGCACATCGCGGCTGAGATCGGCGAGGACCATCCGCGCGAGATCATCGCGACGACGCTCGTCGCGTTCGCGTTCTCGTCCATTCTCACCGGTGAGCCTCCGCCTTCTTCTTCGCGCTTCCTGGAGGGCGAGGTCGGAATTGTGGCTGATCGTATGCTGGCCTCTAGGTATCACGTTTTTCCTGCTCGGCGCGTTCAAACTAGGCGGCCTCGTCGGCTTCTTCCCGCGGCACATCCTGGTCGGGTGCATCGGCGGCGTGGGCGTGTTCCTCATCATCACCGGGTTTGCCTCTTATTCCATATCCCACAACCCTCTCTGCGGCAGCTGACGGATCGGGTGTGTGATGTGTTGCAGGCTGACGGTGAGCACGCGCATGTCGGACGACGACTTTGCGCTCTCGCTCGAGACATTCCGCTTCCTCGTCCTCGAGGCGGGCAACCTCGTGCTCTGGGCGCCTGCGTTCGTGCTCGCGGTCGTGCTCCGCGTGGTCACGCACCGGTGGGACCATCAACTCATTCTGCCGGCCTGTCAGTGACTTTCGGCTTCCTTCCCTTTCCTGCGCATGCTAACCCTGGGCACTGTCTCCAGACTTCATCGCACTCCCGGCCGTGTTCTACATCGTCGTCGCGGTCGCGGGGCTCGATCTCAATGTGCTCCGGAAGGAGGGGTGGATATTCGACGTCGCGACGACGCAGGAGTCGTGGTACCAGTTTTATACGTATTTCGGTGCGCGGCGCTCTTTTCGTTGTTTAGTTTGGCGTGGCCGTTGACCGGGGGCTGCGTTCCTGTGGGCTCGTTTCGCGCCGTATAGATTTATCTGCGACGAGGTTTGGGCCGCTGTGGTCGACGTTGCCCACGCAACTCGCCTTGTGAGTGTTGTTCGGACGTAGGAGCGGACGCGACCGGTGTTGATCCCCCGTTTGCGTCTAGGCTGTTTTTCAACATCTTGCATCCGCCGCTCAACGTACCTGCGCTCGGTGCGTCCTTGCCTTCCCCTTCTTCCTGCGTTCATCTTGCTGAGCTCACGGATTTGTGAATGATCAGCGGTCTCGCTGAACGAGGACGCCAACACCGATAAGGAGCTCGTCGCGCACGGATGCTCGAACCTCGTCGCCGGTTTCCTGGGCACGGTGTGAGTCGCACAACGCTGATGTCCGTGTTCGTTCGCGTGCTCATCGCGCGCTCCGGCAGTCCCAATTATTTGGTGTATGTCAATACCCTTTTGTGAGTGGTGTTCAGAGCAGGCTCCTTTTTATGTAGAGGTTGTTGAGATGCCGTGTAGGTTCTATCGTGTCGGGGGCACCACTCGCTTGTCGGGCTTCATGCTCGCGGGCGCGACGGCGCTGCTGTTGTTTATCGGGACCGGACCCATCGCATACATCCGTGCGTGTACCTCTCGCGCTTCTCTACATTGCGGTTGCTGATATCGACGCGGGGGTCCCGGACATCTTGCGCTGCAGCCGTGATGGTCGTGGCGGCGCTGATATTCGTGCTCGGGTTCGATCTCGTAAAGGAGGCTCTCTGGGACACGCGCCACCGCGTTAGCACGTCCGAGTACGCGACGATCGTGTGTATCATGGTCGCCATGACCGTGTGGGACTTCGTGATCGGGGTGTTGTTCGGGATCATCGTCAGCTGTGAGCGCGGTCTTTTCGCTCCGAACGCCGCGCAGGGGAACTGACGAGGAGGTCTTGTGCGCGCAGGCCTGTTCTTCGTCGTGCAGAATTCGCAGCGGCGGAGCATACGCACGGTGCATACGGGCGAGACGATCATGTCGACGGTGCGCAGACCGAGCGCGCACCGGGCGTATATCAGGGAGGTGTCGAAGCAGACGACGATCCTTCGCCTGCAAGGTACGATGCTTCTCTATCCGCGCGTCCGTCCGTCCGTAACACTGCCGGCCCGGATCAGGCTTCCTCTTCTTCGGCACGATCACACACGTGGAGGAGACGATCCGCACCCTCGTCGCCGGGCCCGCGTGGGCGCGCAACCCCGTGCAGTTCCTCGTCGTCGACCTCTCGCTCGTCGCGGGCGTCGATATGTCCTCTGCCGAGGCGTTCATGCGCGTGCAGCGCCTGCTCGCGGGGAAGCGCATCGTGCTCGTGTTTTGTGGGCTCGTTGCGGGGAGCGGCGTGTACAAGGCGCTCGAGAGCATCGGGCTGTTTGGGATGGAGGGCGTGGAGCTGTTCGTGGCGCCGAACGATGCGATGGAATGTGCGCCGCTCGCTCTCTTTCCCCCCCCCCCCTCCCGAGTCGTAATGCTCGCTGCTGATGACGGGCGTTTCAGGGACTGAAAATGCGTATCTGAGAGCGTGGCTCTTGGCCAACAGCGCGGAGACGAAGGCAGTCGGTGCGGTCCTTTTGCTCGCCTTTCACGATCCCGGTGGCTGATGCAATCTCTCGCAGCTCTTCCCGGCCGCCAAGGGGGCACGAATCTAGAGCTGCACCAGTCCGTGTCTGGCTCGCCACGGCGCTCCCATCTGCGAGACGCGGGATGGCGCACGATGGCACTCAGTAAGGGTTCGCGTCAGAGCCCTCGTACATCCTCACCCCCACTCACCGCCTTCCCAGCCGCCGGATCGGACTTGGACTTCACGTCGCCCGACGCGACCGAGCCGCTGAACACGCTCGTGCAAGCCTTCTCCTCGTACGGCGCCGTCGACCGCGAGACGTTCCGCCCGCTCATCGTGTACCTCGAGCGCCTGTCCGTCCCGCAGGGCCGCGTGCTGTGGGCGCAGGGCGCCGCGCCAGACGGGCTGTACATCGTCGAGGCGGGCGTGCTGCGCGCGTCGTACCGCTTCGCGGAGCACGTGCCGCCGATCGAGGAGTCGATGGTGCCCGGCACGCTCGCGGGCGAGCTCTCCGCGCTCTCCGGCCTCGCGCGCAACGCGACCGTCGTCGTGGAGCGCGCGGCGGTGCTGTGGAAGCTGAGCGCGGAGAACCTGCGGCGGCTCGACGCGGAGCAGCCGGAGCTCGCGCGGACGTTTACGAAGCTGGTGCTAAAATGTGCGTTGCGGCTTTTTTTTTTTTCTTTTTTGCTTTTTTTGCGTCGGCGTGCTGATGTTGTTCTGTGCTGCAGCCGCGAAAGTGGACTATGATATCTTGCTGTCTGCTCTGGCGACTAGGCAGTGACGGCGTGCGTGTAATCGAATGTGTATAGGGTGCGAGGTGCGGAGATGGGATAGAAGGGATCTACGTTACCTATAGTAGACATCGTGGAGGACGGACAGCCTTATTGATGAGCCCAACTGTATCAACTAACTTCAATGTCGCGAGCAACCACTTGACTGCGTAGCATATGACAGCGGATTCACGTACATACACAACATAAGTTGCGAGGTTGAGGCAGAGAACGACTTCATCGTATCAGTAGCTCTATCCTATTCATGTCAAACCATGGTCCAATCGTTTTGGTGTTGACATTTGAGCTCTACCCAACCTGTTCGAGATCCCGCTATCAGGGCGGGTACAGCCATTGGATCGTTTTCGACTGTGACTGCGCGAGGAACGGCGCGCGGCCGTGGCGTCGTCGTCATCGTCGACATTGATTGGAGGTCCATTCGATCGCACAATATACGCGGTATCTGCTCGAAACGGCGATTCGTAGACTCAATGCTTTACCCAGACCGAGGACGCACGTTGCAGCCGGCGCAGAACGTAGCAGCTCTGGTAGAAGTGGGAGAGTGCACACCCACCCCGCGTGCCCACCGAGATACCTGCGATCGCAAACATACAAAAAAACACCCCCGAGGGACCGACTCCCTCGACCTTCTTGTTTTGGCCGCACATGATTTTCACGTTCCGATCAGTTTCCGATCACCCCGATCACCGATCAGACCCGCACCGATGTGCCAGCCGTGCGCTGTTGAGCCGTCGTAGTGCCGTCGTCGGTCTGCTCAACGCCGGACCACGCCACAGCGACATCTACTTAGTGGATGTACCGGGGTCCGGAGCTTTTCAGATCCTTATCAAGGCCCACGGCCGGCGACGCCCCGCAGTCGGGAGCGCAGATCGCGTCGCACGAACAACTACGTCTGTGTGCAACTGGTGAGTTCCGATCGTCGAACAACGTCGTGATGGCGGGCGTGCAGGAACATCTTCTGGGCGAGCCGCGACGCGGCCGGGAAGATAAAATCCATGCTGTCGCGAGTAGAACATCAAACAGATTTTGATCACGACTCTGTAGAACACTCGAACCCCACCGGATCTACCACATTACTACACACGACACTCTGCGCCGACGAATTAGGCGTGGCGACGTCGACGCCGACAAGCGCGATGCCGGGACACGGGGCTGCTCCACTGCACTGGAACGCCGCAACCGAGTCGGTCGCGAGGGTGCCCCGGATAGGACCCCAGACGACGTCAGAGATCTGGAACATGGACGTGTCGCATTCGCCAGTCGCACCGCTGTAGCTGGTGCATTGCGTGATGAGGGCGACGTTCTGCGCGAGGTCGGTCACGGTGAAATCGCGAAACGCTGTCAGACCGTCAAACCGTCAGACCATACTGGACTGGACAGGGAAGACGAAAGAGTATATATCCTACTGATGTTTTTCGCGTAGCCGAGCCCGCCTCCACCGCCTGTGGCCACCAATGCTCAGCCAAAGACGACGCGGACCTGGAAGCACGAGCTTACCGTTAGGCGGAAAGTTCTGTTCGACGCCCGTCCAGGTCTTCACATACCCCGCATACGTGCTTCCGATCGCAGTCACCCTCTCCGCCGTAAAGTTCGCGATGAACTCGTACACGCCCGGGTACTGCCCGATCGACCCGATCGCGACGCCGTTCCCGCCGTGAAACACTGAGTCCTGGACCAGTATGTTCGACGAGTTGGCTTTGAGCGCGATGTTGTCGTCGCCGCAGGTCACCTCCCAGTTGCGCATGGTGATGTTGTTCGCGTAGAATGTGTCCACGCCGTCGGTGTTGATTGTCGGCGCCTCCACAGTCGTTCAAAATGTTAGAGAACACGGCGAGCGTGGATGTGCCACTGGCTGAGGGCTCACGCTGGTGCTCGACGTGCTGTTGATGTACAGGTTTTCCAGCAGCAGGTTCTCGGCGGTGTGGATAGCCATCGTCCAGAACTGGCTCTGCACGAAGCGGATACCCTCAAAGACGGAGTTCGTCGTATCGCGGATGACGAAATTGATAGGTCGACCGGCCACATTCGACACTCCGTTTCCGTAGTCGTACCTGCGAAAACAAGAGTTCAACATCGTTTCGCGGAGGTGCCGGCAGGAGGCGACATGATCTCACCAGATCTGACCGTTTCCGTCAAACGTCCCATGGCCATTGCCGGTGAACAGTATATTGTCGCCGCCAAACTCCCAAGCAAGGGACTGGTTCTGATAACCCAATGGCAGACTATGGTTCGTCCAATATGCGATGTCGGTTCCCCACTGTCCCCGGCGTGATCTTGCTCAGCAATTCCGACGAACAAAAACAACCAAAGTACACACCAATAAAGTCCCTCCCAAGTCCACTTTGACGTTGCGCAGGCCCGTGGTCTTCATCACTCGTTCGATGTGATACGTCGTGTTCAAAAATACGACGGATGCGTCGACGCTGCACTGCTCAAACGCAGAGATGATCGCGGCGGAGTCGTCACCACCGTCATGAGATGGGATCACGGTGCAAATATGACCCTTCTTCTCGACACGGCCGGCGCGGGTCCACATTAAGTGAGCGGGCACAAGAGAAAGCGAGAAAAGCAGCCCGAAGAGATACCTCGCGATGTGACGAGACAAGGGTAGTTTCATCGTAAATGTGTCTCTGGCATCTTGGGATTAGCTACCGCGATGTTTATACTGTCGTCGAAGCCCGAGCGGACCGTATCCAAGTCGTAGAAGCAAAAGGAGTGAACCATGCCATGGCAGCCGAGGTCATGTGGACCATTGAAAGAGGAGGTTGAACACTGGAAAAGGATCAGAGTTTACAAAAATAACGAAGGAATGGACCTCACCTGAGCTCCTCTCGATCACGGGCGAGGCTACCATGATGTCAGACAGGAAGAAATCCATCATATGATGCGATGCAGGTAACTCCAAAATCTCACGATAGCCTGGCCATCCAACTTTACCTACCGTGTCCTTGACTGCTGCAGGCTTCGCTGAAGTGACGATGCGTCTTGAAGATTCCGAGCGAAAGCAAGTTTGAGGAAAAGTCTGACATAGAAAGGTAAAAGAATAATACAATGGCTCTGTGAATCCGAACCGAGGCCTGGCTTGGAACGTTCAAGTCACCGACTCGAGTGACTGAAACTCCACCCAGGTCCCGCTGGCGTAGTCGTATGCAAGCGTGAGAATGGCCTAGTTGATTGAAATTCACATTGGAGAAGGACCCTATCGTAGTATGACTAATAAAACCGCAAGAACAAGAGTCCACACCTGAAATCGAAAACCCGGTAATTAAGAGGAGGATGTAGCGCGCCAAAATTGAATGTCCAAGAGAGAAAAAACGGTCGTCCATAGTGATGTACAATCCGGGTCCAGTACAGGTGCCAGAGAAGGGTGACCTGGATGGCCTCAAGGGATTAAGGTTCCCCGATGGATGTCTTGAAGTGGAAGACGTTGTTGGGATCGACTTCTTTCTTGATGGCCTGAAGCCGCTTGTAGTGCGTGGCATAGTACAAAGACGAGGCTGTCGGAGCAACTATTCAGTGACGTGCACGGGGAAGAAACATCTGTGCGCACAATTCTTCAACATGTCGTCGATGTAGTTCGTGTAGGCGCTAACCAATCGGATGAGCACTCGCCGAGGCAGATGATTGATCAGACGGTAAAGCTCACCCGTAGTTCCAATTGGACGGGCTGTTGTTTATGATACTCGAGACCATACCTGCGGGAGGGCCGCATCAGCTGCGCGGCAGACCTTGTTCGACACGCAGGGCTCACCATCCAAGAACGAAAATCCTTCTTCAGGATACGGAGGCTGGAAGTTTGGCGACGATGCGTAAAACTGGATGGTAAACAGGGAGGACCTGTGCGCGAACGCCGTCGTGTCGAGCGGGACGGCGTTGATCGCCGAATTGGGCCCGCCATAAAGCTCGAGTTGCGTGAACCAGATCTGAACAACGAGCGCCAGCGTGAACAAAGTTAGCGCCGTGATCCGTGCAGACGCCCATTTTTGACGTGATGCGAGAATCTTACAGTGCTAGTCTTGTGCCCCTCGCTCGTCACGTATGCCGCAAAGGCGCTAATGGCCTCCTCGCTCATGGGCGAGTCCTCAGGCGTCATCAAGGACTGAAAGGAGCCGGGAATGAATGGCCGACGTGGGCATTAATGTAACCCCTTTCCTGCAGCATCCGAGGCGCGTACCTTGACATAGAACGTGTCCGATGTGTCAGGCGCGCTCGTGTTCAAGCTGGACCCTGCAAAATCCACAAGGGTCTCCAGCCACGTCCCGTCAGCGATGGTCACATTGGGTTGAATGGGCACAGTGTCCAGTAGAGGCTGCACAGTGGCGTTCAAATCCAGTATGTTACCGTACCATCCGCCCAGCATCTCAGCTGTCGCGGTGCCTGGAAGGTCACCTGGGCGTATGTTGAGCTCCGCATCAAAGTACGGCGGCAGGTCGGTCAGGACGAAATTCTGGTATGCTGAGACGATGCGTGCGAAGTCCTCGGCGGGGAGGTGAGTCCAGTTGTACCGGAACGCATACGCTGACGAAGGAACGGGCTCTGTGGCAAAGGTGAACGCGGTGGTGATGCCGAAGGAAGGACCAGCCCCGCGCATAGCCTGACAATGGGCTCATCTTAGCAAAGACACAAAAGAGGGTGCGAGACAGACATACCCAGAAGAGATCCGTATTGGTCGTGTTCGATGCTGTGACAATCGTACCGTTCGCAAGGACAACCTCTACTGAAACGATGCGATCGAGAGTAAGCCCCCACATCCGGGACGCAAAGCCGAATCCACCAAATGCTGAAACAAAAGCCTTCCTCAGCATCACGATCGACGATTTGTCATTGAGAGAGACACAAACATGCATGGCCTCCAAGACCAACGTATGGGCATGTCCCATGAGGGAGCGCTCGCCCCTGGTCATTCAGGGCTAGAGCAACGGCTCCAAGTCTAGCTCCGGGCTGGATAATGGCGGTACCAGTATTGGCATCAACCGTGATATTCTTGAGCAAGCTGAGGTCGATAACTAGCGCTCCATCATCTCCCCCTAGGCCATTCGCGATGTAGCTATGCCCGCCACTACGGGCAGAAACCTGTAGATGATTAGAGGCTCCCACATGGACAGCAGCAGCGACCTGCTGCGCGTTCTCTGGATAGACGACAGCCACTGGGTACAGATCAAAGCGACGGTTAACTGGACAAAGATCGTCATGGTGAGCACAGTAAGATTACAGACAAATGTTGAACGTACAAGCTCGGCTTGCATTCTTGTATGCTGGGTCCCCAGGAAATAATGCGGTCAAACCTACGCCTTCGAGCTCTCCCTTCAGATCTTGGCCCACGACATGACCGATGAAGCACGCAAGTATCAGTGCTAAACTGCTCAGGTAGGTCTTCATGTTGATGTGCATATTCTGCGACTCGACTGGAGTGCTAGCGAGTCAAAGGTTAATCAGCCCGCCATTTTATACCACATATTGAGGCGCGCGCTCCTTTGACGGAATTGCGAGCGTCACTGCTGTGCGATCAATCGAATATTGCCTGGACTGAAACAAGCGGGGAAGCTGCCCGTGAGAGTAGCCCTCGTGATATGGATAATGGAGCTACTTACTGATTCAATTTCGTGAGATTGCTACGAGAAGACAAAGAGGTGATTAGAGGTCCCGGATGGGCTATAGCCGTACATTTATTATAGAAGGCCCTTGGACGTCCCTGACAGCCAGCGGATTTCCTTGGATTGTCAAAGCGGACGAAATGGCTTTCAAGAAACAATAGGTTTCTTGCACCATGGGCCATATTTTGTGATCGTGTTGAAGCCATCGCGTCTGAGTTCTGAGCGCTCTGAGAAACCTGCGCGGCGCGGCCGAGATCTAACCTCCCTTGCTTACATCTGTTTGGTTCTGTAGATCCCAAAGTTCACGGCTTAGTTGTCTCCATGTGAACTTCGGAGCAATACATAGGTTATGGAGAACTATAAAACAATTGATAGCACATTTACAGAGACAGAAATTGTGGGGAACTAGTTCATTTTTTGCTCGACTTCAAAAAGTACATAGCAGCACCTCGCTTCGATCGAGGGACCTCAGGGTTGTCAGGATATGAGCCCTGCGCACTGCCAACTGCGACATACTGCTTATGACTGACCTCTAATCGATCGCAGAAGGCACTTGAACCACCTTGTAACAACATCGAATGACTCACGAAGTCCAAAAGTCAAACAGTCACGAGATCTAGTACGAGATGTATATCAACCACGTTTCGACAATTGTCTCGGGAATCGGTTCGTTTGTCGATAAATGCTAGTGACAGCGTAACATTCGATATCAATGAGGTCACTGAGGTCGCGTGATGGATGTTGGGAAGCGGAAGACATTACTAGGATCGACGTCTCTCTTGATGGACTGAAGCCGTTTGTAGTGCGAGGCATAATACAATGTTGAGGCTGTGAGGACAAATGTTGAGAAGTTTTGTGGACGAGACCAGAACAAAAAACCTACAGTTGCTTAACATGTCATCAACATAGTTGGTATACGCGCTTGATAGATTATAGGATGAAAACCGACTTTGGCAGTGACAACGAAGGTACCGAAGACTTACCCGTGACTCCACCCAGACGGACTATTATCTATAATGCTCGAGACCATACCTGTTTTGCGGCTCAGTCACTCGCGTTACACGGACCATGATCGACACGCTAAGCTCACCATCCAAGAACGAGAAGCCCTCATCCGGGTAGGGTGGCTTAGCATCCGACGACGAGGCGTGAAATTGTATCGTGAATAGCGACGACCGATACGCGAATGATGTCGCATCAAGCGGAACGGCGTTGATGGCCGAGTCGTGCCCGCCGTACAGCTCGATGTGTGTAAACCAGACCTACGTGCCGGGTCATGAATCAGTTCTGCTGCGAGGAGACGGATACGGATGCCCGATTGCCATGGAGAGACTTACGGTACTTGTTTTGTGTCCCTCGTTCGTCATATACGACGCAAAGGCACGAATCGCATTATCGCTCATGGGTGAGTCTTCAGGCGTCATCAAAGACTACAAGCGGAAGGAAAGGACATCAAACCGAGTTTCAAGTCATCTCCACAACACTCGGCGGCGTACCTTCACATAGAATGTGTTGGACGTTCCACGCAGAGTCGTGTTCAAGCTACCACCTGCCAGTTCGACTAAACTCTCGATCCACGTCCCGCCGGTGACGGTGACATTGGGGCGGATGGGAATACTATCAAGCAGCGGCTGTACAATACCGTCCAAGTCCGAGGGATCCCCGTACCATCCACCGAGCATCTCAACGGTCACGGAGCCCGCGAGATCACCAGGGCGTATATTGAGTTCGACATCGAATTCCGATGGCAACGTTTCGTTCTGAGCGAAGATCTGATATCGCGAGATGATCTTCGTGAGGTCCTCGGCGGGGACGTGGGTCCAATTGTACTGAAATACGAGCGCAGACGAAGGAATGGGCTCGGTGACAAAGGTAAAGGCGGTGGTGATACCAAGGGAAGGACCGGCACCACGCATAGCCTAGTAGGAATATGCACATCTCAGCGAAAGAAACACGAAGGAAACTAAAGAAAGGACTCTACCCAGAAGATATCTGGATTTGTGGTGTCAGATGCAGTGACCATTGAACCGTTAGCCAGCACAACCTCTGCAGAGATGATGCGATCAATGGTAAGACCCCACATGCGTGAAGTGAAACCGAAACCACCAAAAGCTGCACGTCCGCCTGAAGTAAGTACGGTCATGGTAGGGAAATTGTAATTCCATGACGAACAGGCATGACCTCCGATACCAACGTATGGGCACACTCCATGAGGGATTGCTCGGCCTTGAGCATTCAGGGCTTGTGCTACGTCTCCGAGCCTGTTCCCAGTCTGGATAACCGCCGTGCCATCACAATGGTTGATGGTGATCTTCTTGAGATTGCTGAGGTCAATCACGAAGGCTCCATCCTGGCCGCCCAGACCATTCGCGATGTAGCTATGCCCACCACTACGTGCAGAGACCTGCTTTTGAAGTGACGCTCCCAGGCGGACAATATTAGTGACATCCTGCGGGCTGTTCGGATAGAAAATGGCTGCGGGGTGCAGGTCGTAACGGAGGTTGACTGGGAAATTGATTCAGTGGCCTTGATTGTGTTGCGCCAAAGCCCGATGGACTCACAGGCCAGTCTTGCGTCGTCGTACATCGGGTCGCCGGGAAGCACGACAGTCAGGCCAAGACCTTTGATCTCGCTTTGTGGGTTTCGGTCCATGATCTTCCCAGTGATATAGGCCAGAGCCAATGCCAAACCGCAGAAGACTACTGTCACGCTGATAGGCATGATACTTTTGCGAATCGACGGACGGCGTGACTGGCTGTCCTCAAGGCGAACCTCTCTGCCATCTGGTACCTTAGAAGGTGAGCGGTCCATGATCGACTGTCCTGTTCGTCTTTATCATTGCGCTGGACGATCGTGTCCACGTTGCCTGGTTGAGGCAAGTGGGAGAACGGCTCGTGACCGTGCTACGTATACTGAGCAGTTCTCGTGACGGTCGTAAAATGTAGATTGCACATATACGAGAGCACTGTCAAAGTACAATGGAGCATCGTTGTGGAATAGAAAGGGCGTCACTGATGTTCGAGCGAGCAGTTGCTCTCGCACGATCGAGTTCATTAAAGGAGAGCAGGCTGACGTAACGGAACGCGCAAGCTCGTCAACGCGCGGCCAAGTCCAGTGCACACGCACCTTCCCTCAACCATACACTCACAATGGATCACTTCCCGACGAACTGGGGCCGCCCGGTATGTGTGCACCATCCTGAACGAGCATAGATCCTGACGTAGGGATGACCGTCCGCAGAGAAACGATGATTTTGACGCGTACTCGACTTACCCTATACATTCCCGACCGAAGGACGCGTTTGCCGAGGGTGTCCAGCACACTCAGTGAGCTGATCAGCGCATCATTCTCGTGGACTTGACATCTGACCATATTGTAGACAACCTATCGTAACCGGTACGAGCGTGCTCGCGCTCAAGTATAAGGATGGGATTATGATGGCAGCGGACAACCTTGGTGTGCCCCACTCCCGCATCGGTCTCACCCCTGCTCATAGTCCTCTCGTGATGCACAGCATCATATGGTTCTCTCGCTCGCTTCAAGGACGTCCAGCGTCTTCACCCTGTCGGCGATTTCACAGTCGTTGGGGCGGGCGGCGACATGTCCGACTTCCAGTATCTGCAACGCATCCTCGACGACCTCATCATAGAGGAAGAGATCACTGCGCAGGATGGACATAAGCTTGGTCCCGCTGAGATTCACGAGTATCTGTCCCAGGTTATGTATGGGCGGCGGTCCAAACTCAATCCCTTGTGGAATTCTCTGTTGATTGGGGGTGTCAGGGATGGAAAGAGGTACGTGCTGGAGATGTGCATGGAGGCTGATACAAGCAATGAATGTTCATGTGCATCGTTTCACAGATTTTTGGCATACGTCGACCTTCTCGGCACGACATACACGGCATCCACTCTCGCCACGGGCTACGGTGCCTACATCGCGCAGCCCCTGCTTCGGAAAGCTGTCGAAGGCAAGGAAGACGTCCTGACAGAGCAAGAAGCGCGCAAAATCATCGAGGACTGTATGCGTGTCTTGTTCTACCGTGATGCCCGCAGCTTGAACAAGGTATGTTCTGAGCCCACGTCTTCTTTGAAAGTACTCAAACGTGTCTGGCTGGATTGTAGTACCAAATCGCCACTATCAATGCCTCCGGAACGACGATCACCGAGTCTCTCAAGCTGGAAACCTCATGGGGCTTTGCAGATAGTATCAGAGGTTATGGTTCCCAAACTCAATGATGGCGAAGATGTTGTAACGTTGAGCGAGCAATTGTATCATTTGATGGATTCTTCTATCGTGTTCATGTATTATGCTTGTTTCTGATGTCGTCCTCCAGAGTCCGAATCGAAGCACGAACGACGAATAGTCAACGAGGTCATTGACATAATCGTGCTGTTGTTTGGGCGTACCGATTTGTTTGTTTCTCGAATGCGCTCTCTCTTTGTATCCCTCAGCATACAACACCATCTGGATGATGTGTAGTGATGTCTGTAACAGCCTGGTAAGAGTTGAAGATTGTTGGTCACGCTGACTTTTAAGTTTCGAAGCTCCCTGCATCGCATCATATGATGACCTCTGTCAACCCGTCCCTCGGTTCGAAACCGGCGTCGCCTCACCGTGGTCGTGTGGAGCTCAGGTGAGATATATTCTTTCGTTTATTTTATGACCAAGACGGACATCCGGATCGTCTGCCAGTGCCCAAACATCCTTCGAAAATTCTCCACATGACCGTGCTTGCCATGACATGGCCCATCTCTTTGGCTTCTATGACTTGCGTACGGTCCGCTCGGATGGACGTGCACACTTCGATTGAAATATGCTATATCGTATAGGCTTCTCCACGGCGCTATAAACACCGTGGCAGCTGGTTCCAAAATGCAGCAAGCAGTCCACCTAGCGCATACTCACAATGAGACTATCTCTGTCCTGCGACCCAGCAAGGCACCTCTCCGGACTGCTGTTCTCCCTTTTTCTTGTGTCTACTCACCTGCATTTGACCCGCGCCGGCCGGGTCGAGAAGGACGGGCGGATCTGCACTGTCGTTCCATCTGACGACGGCGGCGACGACTCCGCTGCGATCATCGCCGCATTCGAACAGTGCAGCGTCGATGCGTCCGTCGTGTTCTTGAACGCCACGTATCACATCGAACGGGTGATGAAGACCACGGGCCTGCGCAATGTCAAAGTGGACCTGGGCGGAACCCTACTGGTGCGCGTCTCTGTTTTTTTTTTGCTCGTCCAGATCGAAATCGCTGAGCGTGAGCACGAGGATAGTGGGGAACCGACATAGCATATTGGACGAACAACAGCCTGCCGTTGGGGTACCAAAACATGACCCTTGCTTGGGAGTTTGGCGGCGACGACGTACTGTTCACCGGCAATGGCCACGGAACGTTTGACGGGAATGGACAAATCTGGTAGGGCGTTGACCCCGTTGCCAGCGTTGCTGGATGTTGAGATTTAACTTTTTGTTGTGAGGTACGAATACGCACACGGGGTCTCGAACAAGCCCGGCCGGCCTATCAACTTCGTCATCCGCAACACGACGAACTCCGTCTTCGAGGGTCTCCGCTTCGTGCAGAGCCAGTTCTGGACGATGGCGATCCACACCGCGGAAAACCTGCTCCTGGACAACATATACATCAACAGCACGTCGAACAACAGCGTGCGCCCCGCACACCCACCGTCGCCGACGCTCTCTGACGTTTCGAATTTGAACGACTCCAGGCGCAGACGCAAAACACCGACGGCATAGACACGTTCTACGCGAACAACATCACGATGCGCAATTGGGACGTGACCTGCGGAGACGACAATATCTCGCTCAAGGCTAATTCGTCGAACGTGCTCGTCCAGGACTCGGTGTTCCACGGCGGGAACGGCGTCGCGATCGGGTCGATCGGGCAGTACCCCGGCGTGTACGAGTTCATCGCGAACTTCACCGCGGAGAGGGTGACTGCGATCGGGAGCGCGTATGCCGGGTATTTGAAGACGTGGACGGGCGTCGAGCAGAACTTTCCGCCGAACGGTGAGTGAGGGCGTCGTTCTGCGTCTTCGCCGCCTTGAGCCGAGAACTGATGCGCGCGGTCGCTACCCGCTCACAGGCGGCGGAGGCGGGCTCGGCTACGCGAAGAACCTCAGTAGGCACCCTCTCTCGCTTTCCTCTTCCTTTCGGCCCCTCTTATGGCGGGGTTTTTTTTTGCGCAGCGTTCCGCGATTTCAACGTGACCGATCTCAGGCAGGACGTCGCCTTCATCACGCAGTGCACGAGCTTCAGCGGCGCGTCCGGCGGGTGCGACACCTCCACGTTCCAGATCTCCGACGTGACGTGGGGCCCCGTGCGCGGCACCGCGAAGCAGCACGTCGCAGAGTTCCAGTGCAGCGCCGCCGCGCCGTGTCCCGGCATCGCGCTCGTCGACGTCGACGTCGCCACGCCTTCATCGGCGCAGAAGATCACTTGCAGCAACGTCGTGGACCCCGTCGGGTTCAATTGTTCTACAGGGTCGTGATGAAGGGCTTTTTTGATACTTCGCATGCAACACCGACGCGGATTTTATCTACTTATGTATGCGTGTGCCGTATCTTTTGTTGGACGAGGCCGTGTCCGTACGTCTACTTTTTGTCATCCTGGACCGAAGCCCGCGGGCGCATGTGCCCGATGGGAAGACGGTACAACCGTAGACCAAAATACTCTCTCGTCTTCCCCCATCTGTCTTCGCCCTTCGCAGCCGCCACGTCAAGCTCGTCCCAACGCACCTCCAAGCCGACCTCCTCGAGGTGTATCTCGGACAAATGGACGTAGACGTCGTAAAATAGCGCGTCTGCGATGCAACGATCATGAGTACAGCGTATCGCGCGCGCGCGGGTTCTTCGCGAAAGCGGCGCGTGCACTCACTCGTGGCACCGAGGCCGTTGAAGAAGCTGAACCGGGCGTCGGGCCCGGCGAGCAGTCTCGGGAGATGCTGGAAGAATCTGTACAGGTCTGGTCTCGGATCGTCAGCGAGTCGTACATGCAGGCCAGTCGCATCGTCTCACCGTCGTAGTCTTCGGAAAAAGTGTCCGTGTAGACGGCATCGAAGCCTCCTGCGTCGAGGAGGACGCCGCTCTCGCTCTCGACAAAGTCTTGCCATTTGCCTTCTAGGATCTTGACCCCTTTCTTCTCGTACCAGCCGGTGTCTCGCATGTGCTGGAGGACGTCAGGATGAGGCTCGATGATGACATGCAGGGAAGGCGCCGTCGGAAGGCTCTGGAAAAAAGAGTCGACCTGGCCCATCGCGACTAAGCTTCCCTCGTCGACCCGTAGGGCGCGAATGAACTCACGATGCCGAGGCCAAAGCCGACGTTGAGCACTCTGAGTCCCTCGGGCAGTTTTCGGTGCCCGGCACACATCTGCCGAACGGTCTCTCGCACTTTATACTGGCGTCCGTCAACGGGCCGTCTATGACCCCGGGGGCGCACAAAGTCTGGAACACTCACTGATCTCGCGCTCCCACCCCATCATCACGCCGACCTCTTCGTCCCCGGCGGCCAGGAGGCATATTTCCTGCCCCTGCGCGTCTTTTGTGTACCGCAGACGAGAATGGAGGAACGCGTCCGTCGATCCGAACGCGGTGGCGTCTTCTGTTTTCAGGACGAGCGCATCATCGCCACCGAGGCTCGGTCCTCTCGAAGAAAGCAGCTGCAGCAGCAGCTCTATTACGGGGTAAGCCGCTCCAGGAATAGCACAGGGAAGTGGCGAAAGGGACGTGCCAGACCGTATACCGGCGTCTCGAATGAGCCGGTAGCACGCGTCGTTGTTCAACGAAAGGGCGATGTCCCCAGCGGTGTTGCCGAGATTATCGGCTGGAGGCAGGAGTCAGTCAAGGTCGCAGACGAAGACGAAGACGCGCAGAGAATCTGCCGCACCGGCATTCCACACCGCGCCTTCCTGCAGCAGCAGTCGGATAAGCCCGTCATCCTCGACGTTGGCGGCTGCGTGTAGGGGAGACCAGCCGTCGTCGTCCTGGAACCAGAGCGGTGCGCCGGCGTCGATGAGGAATTGGATGTGTGTGGAGGACTTGCGTTCCAGGATCGCGTCTATCAGGGCTTGTCCGAGCACGATGAGCTCGTCGACGTCGGAGTTCTCTGCGTTGTTTGTGGGAAGATCGTCGTCGGGGGACATTTTGTGGTGGTCTTTGTGGGTGGATCGGTGAGTGGTCGGTGGGTTTTGCTTCAAATCGATTGTGTGACGCGCCGCGCATCTCGACGACTCATAAGCGTCCTTATGTCAGAGTGGCTTCCCCAGTCCACTTGGAGTACGAAAACGGCGACGAGTTCAACGCGATTAGATCACTGGGGCTAAGGACTATTATGACGATCTACACTATCGTATCGTCGAGATATCGGGACGACGTGCATGCACGATGAGAGACGTAAAGAACACGCCCACACCGCGTCGGACGGCATGTATGCGGGCCTGGTGTACATTGGGAGTAGGATAGCGTAACGATTAAGTATTTTGGAGCGAGAGTGAGCGCGATGCCGAGCAACAGAGGCGAAAAAAAAACAAAGCTTCATCATCGTGGGGACTGGAGACTGGACGTGCCGGGTAAGATTTCGTCATATGGGGGCGGGAGCTCTTGTACGATGGCGTCTCGATGCTGGATGATGACCATGTCGCGGCCGCGCGCGTCCTGCGTCCATGATTCGCGGAAGCCGCCCTGGGACAGGTCGGCGACCCGCATGTTCATGAGCGACTGCGCGCGGGCGAGCGACGCATCTCGCGGCGACCGGCTGACCGGCGTCGGGGCGGGAGAGGCGACTGCGCAGCGGACGTCGCCTGTCGAGCGGACGTTGCGGAGGTGGCGCTCGGACGCCGCTTCCCGTGCTTTGCGGGTGGGGGAGAGCGGGGCGGGGGACGGATCGAGCGGGGGACGGGGAAGGGGTCGGACCGGCGACGTCGGCGAGCGGACGGGCGAAGAAGGGAGCGACAGGGGCGACACCGCCGGCGGGCGCGGGATGCGCGGGTCGGGCCAGATCCCGCGCGCGATGGAAGCCCGATCGTCGCCCGGTGACGCGGAACCCGTCGGAGAGCGAACAGAGCGCCGCAGATCGTGGTTCGAATGGCTGGATCCCGCCGGAGAGACGGGGCGGTGGGTCGGCGAGATGTCCAGGACGTCGTGCACGGGGCGGTGGACGGGCGAGATGTCCAGGACGTCGTGCACGGGGCGGTGGGCGGGGGAGATGTCCAGGACGTCGAGCACGGGGCGGTTGGCGGAGGAGATATCCAAGACTTCGTGGCGCGGGTAATCATGGGACATGAAAATCGAAGGCACCTGCACTAGGGGCGAGTTGCGCGGTGAGGAGGGCGACACGGGATGGGAGCGGGAGGACATTCTGGAATGCGAGAGGTCGACGGTGAGCGATTTGTGGCCCTCGGATACGAAGATCGTGCCGGAGCGCGAGACGAGCGTGTCGTCCATCCAAGACCTCGGCAACACATCCTGCCCGTCGATGATGGTCTTGCTCGAGCGCATCCGCAAGAACACGAAGAACAGGACCAGGCAGAACACGAGCACCAAGACGGTCACACCAAGACACACGCCGATGATGATGGCCGTGTGGTTCTGGCTCCCGCCGCGCGGCACTGTCAGCGATTCACTGCTCGAGCTCGACGACAATCCTGCGCATGTTGTGTTCGAGGAGCCCGTCGTATTGATGATCACAGACCGCGGAGCCCAGTGCCTGTTGCTATCGAACAAACCCTCGCGTAAGCGCCTTATTAACCCCCACGGTCATGAACGAGTCGGTTACGCACGAATCGCTGACGGTAACTATAGAGCGGAACGTGCAACTTCAGTCAGAGCTTCGAGAGGAGCAGAGCGCGTCGGGCGTACCCAGCAGGTCCGAATTTGGGGCGGCTTGATTGATCCACGTGTACGCATTGTCCTGTGACCCGAGGGTAACGTTCCTGACGGAGCCCCCTAGCTGCACAATGGACACCGTGTACGGAGGGACGCCACCTGCCATGACGAGCCCCAAGGACTGGCAAGTGTCCAGGTCCTTTGTAGTATTGGCATTGATCAACGGCCAAGCGGCAGGGACGGACGGGAGACAAGAGGAAGATCCGTCTTTATCGCCGACACGATTCGTGAGAGACCGATGAAATTACGATCAGGCTCGAGATGCGCACCGGTGATCGAGTACGTAGCGGGCGCGACTCCTCCGCTGTTGCCAGCCGAGTCTACGAGGCTCAAAATCACGTCGGAGCCTCCGCCCCCACAAGCGCCGGTCAGCGCCCGCGCGCGCGAACGGGGGGACACCGAAACGGGCACGCCGACTCACCTGCGCGATGATCCACCGTCCAACTCAACCGGGCCGGGTCTGAGCCCGCTGGGCTCACCGTCGCGAGGCCGTTGACCTCGTACGCGATCATGTAGTAAGGGGGACGGCCGACGCTGGACTCGCCAGCGAGCGACTGCACGACGATATCGGCACTTTGACACTCAACGAGGCTTGTCGACTGGCGCGGCGACCGATCGGGGCGATGTGAGCGCGGGGCGCGCAGCGCGATCCAGATCCAGACACACTCACGTTGTTGACAAACGACCACTGGAACAGTCTCTCCTGTGCAACGCATTGCAAAGCGATCGAAAATGAAAAGATGAACAGGAAGAACATGGTGTGACCTGCAAGAGCGGACATCTTGACTACCAGGTGGTGTTGAGGGGGAGGGGACCCAATCCAACCTGATCCGGCCCTGAGGGGGGAGCTGAATATATAGGGAGGCGAAGGCGGAGGACGTGGCAAAGCGGTCCCTGGAGAACGCCCGGGGACGCCCCACGCTGCCTGCGATATGCTAAATCCGGGGCTAGAGAGGCGACGCGGTATGATGACTGTGCCGACGCTTCCAGCTGGGCTATTTGGGTCAGGGAGTCCCCAATCCTAGCGAGGTGGCCCCGCGCCGCGTCGAACGTGGTCGGCAACGCGATCGGTCCGCAGAGGGCGTGGGCGCTCTCGATGGAGACGCACGGGGGCACGGGGGGACGCCTTGCGACGCGGTCCGGCGTCCAAGAAGTCGAAACGCGGAAGGCGCCCTCGTCCGAGGATGGCGGCGGAGAAGCACCCGTGTGGGGCCCGTCCCAAACAGAGCATCCATGGAATACGCGCAGAGGCGCGCAGGGCGCCTGCCTCGGCGATGCATTGAATCCAGTGACGCGTCCGACAATCGTGGACGCAGGTGGGGGAAAATATCAGGACACCGGGGAGGACATCACCGTTCAATGCCAGCAGAACCGTCCGTGGTCTGTCTCCTATGACTCCGACGGCGACCTATTATTGGACAAGGTAAATTGCATCGGAGAATTGCATCCGCGTCCATGAAGCAGTGGGGTTAGCTCAGAATGCTTCAAGGGCCAAGGCGAGGGAATGAACACGCGGTGCCAGAAGTCGCGATCGTCGCAATCTTATCAGATACCGTGGCTGCGTGAGTGGGGTCCCGGCCGGCTGATCAGCCTGTCAGGCGTTCGAGCAGCTTCAATGAGTAGCCTTTCAGAGCGAACAATAAAAATACCAAAAAGCGCTCAGATGGCTGGGCATAAGTAGGATATTCCAGAGCGCGCACTTCTTGAAGGTGTGAGGCAGAGACACGGGAGAAAAAACAATACTTTCGTCTCTGGTTGCCGGGTGGCTGAGCGCGATAATTGGAGCTCCGAGGGGCCGATGCAGACCTAGTGCCGTCCAGACATTCTGCTCGCCGTTGTTAACAGCGAACTCGGCCCATCTTTTCCACTCAAACCATCACCTCTTTCGTCGTGCTGTCCCCCTGCTTTCTAGTTCTCAACGATCTGTCTCTGTACTTTCTCATTTGACTCGGTGGTCCATCGCCCCAGTCGACGTTACAACATCTACCAAACCCCCACCCCGCAAACAATCCGATGTCAACCGCAAGCCGAACACCTTCCCTCACACCCTCCCGTTCTCCATCCCCAGAGCCGCCGACCCAACCCGACCACTTCTATGGCTCTGAGGGCGTGCCCCTCCCGCCGTCGCCGGACTCTCAAGGCAAGACATGGCTAGACCCTGCCGACGACCTTTTGGCCACGCGAGGAATCCCCGTGTTCAAGCCCTCGATGGAGGAGTTTGCAGACTTCGAGGGATACATGACGAAGATCGAGTGCTGGGGCATGCGGAGCGGTATCGTAAAGGTCATACCTCCGAAGGAATGGTCAGTTCTACAGTGACTCTCGCGCGTTGGCGCCCAGGCCGGGACGTTCATGTATATATATCGACTCAGGAAAGACGCGCTGCCCCCGGTGAACGAACAGCTCGCGGCCGTAAAACTCAAGAATCCGATTGAGCAACACATGATCGGGCGCGGGGGGCTCTTTCACCAGCAGAACATCGAGAAGCGCCGTACGATGAGTGTGCGCGAGTGGGTTGAGCTGTGCAACAAGGAGGATTGGCGGGCACCCGGGGTCGATGACGTCGGGCTGCACCATGCCCCTCGAAATAATCCGACTTCGAGGCCGAGGAGGGGCAAGAAGAAAGCCGACGCCACCCCCGGTCCGGACGCCGCCGACTTTGTGCAGGTGAAGGCGGAGGCCGTCAACGACGAGGAGAATAATATGCCATCCATATCCCCCATCACACCCCCTCATAGCGCAGTTGCGCTCGTAGTCTCTTCGTCAGCTGCTATCGTTGAAGACGATGCTCAACTAAAACCCGCTGATGCTGACTCCAACACCGCCAACGCACACTCTCAAATGATACAAGATCTGAAAGAGGAAGAAGAAGAGAAGACAGACGATGAGGGCGGGTCAGAGAAGGCATCAGCACGCAAAGCCAAGGGTCGGCGCCAGGCACCGACTCGCGAGGTCAAGGAAGCTCAGCTGAGGGAGCGCGAGGCTAAAGACGCAGCTTTCCTCGAGGACTTTGATCCCCATTCAGAATGGCTGCCTCCGAATACTACGCCATTCGATTACACACCTGAGTTTTGCCAAAAGCTTGAGCGCCAATACTGGCGGAATTGTGGACTGAACAAACCTGCGTGGTACGGCGCTGACATGGCTGGTATGTGCTTCCGTCGCCTTGTGTGTGACTGTTGTTGAAACAAACGAATATGTGCTTCAGGATCCCTCTTCACGGACGAGACCAAAGCATGGAACGTTGCGCACCTTCCGTCTCTTCTGTCGAGGATCTTGCCCAGCTCCAATGGCCTGCCAGGCGTGAACACGCCGTACCTGTATTTTGGGATGTGGCGGGCGACATTCGCGTGGCACGTCGAGGACATGGACCTCTTCAGCATCAACTACATTCACTTCGGTGCTGGCAAGTTCTGGTATGCCGTTCCGCAAGGGAGAGCCGTCGCTCTGGAGGAAACGATGAAGGGTACGCAGACGTAGCCAGCTCCAAACTTCGCCGCTTGTATCTGATTTCCTTTTTAGGCCATTTCCCTGACGGTCCAATCCGCTGCCCACAGTTCCTCCGACACAAGTCGTATCTGGTCTCGCCTAGACAGCTCGCAGAGTCGTCGTGTCGGCCCAACACCCTCGTGCAACACGCCGGGGAATTCGTGATCACGTACCCGAGGGGCTACCATGCTGGCTTCAACTTGGGACTCAACTGCGCCGAAAGCGTCAACTTTGCGCTGGACAGCTGGCTGGACCTCGGCAGGAAGGCGAAAGCATGCGAGTGTGTCAGCGATAGGTTCGGACTCTTATTCCTTCGTCTCTCGCAGCGATCCATGTTGACGCCCACATCTCTCCAGCGTTCGCATCGACGTCGACGAACTGCTGCGGGAGCGGGAGGCCGAGCGCCTCGCTGCAGCGAAAAAGCCTGCGAAACCGAGGTCCTCCCGCAAGCGCAAATCCGAAGAGCACAAATCAGGGCCCAAACCCAAAAGGGCAAAGACGAAACCGAGCTCGTCGGGTTCGACGTCCGTTGCCGGTCCCTCGACCCACAAGGTGACCCTGAAGCTCCTCGGGCCGAAGCCGAAGGAGCCTGAGACGTTCCCGTGCTGCCTGTGCGTCTCGACGAACGAAGACGGGCTGCTCCTCGTGCATGATCCTCCGACCATCCACCATGCTGCGCATGCCGATACAAAGGTGTGGCGGGCTCACGAGCACTGCGCGGACGTCGTTCCGGAGACGTGGGTGGATGAAGTAGAAGTGGGCGCCGTGCGTGAAGATGGGGCGAGGGCGAAGCAAAAGTGTGTGTTTGGCGTGGATGCTATCGTGAGGGACCGGTGGAGCCTGGTTTGTCCTATCTTCTGTTCTGTTCTGCTGTGCCAGGGCTGACGATGATGGTCAGAAATGCTCCGCGTGCACCAAGAATCGGCCCAAGTTGCACGGGGCCCCGATCCAGTGCACAAAGGGGAAGTGTCCGAAGGCATTTCATGTGTCCTGCGCTCGAGAGGGCGGCGGGGGCGTTGCGTACGAAGTCCTTCGGTCGGTGGAAAAGGAAGTCATTCTCGTGGACCCTGTGACCAGCACTGCTCCCTCGACATCCGTGGATCATACGAACGAAGGCTCCATGAACGTCGATGCTACAGTTGCTGCGCCGCAGGCTGTGGCTACCGAGAGCATGGTCACGGATGCTTCCGATGCCGTGAAGGTCATCAAGGTCATCAAGAAAGTCGAGGTCTCTTGTCTGTGTCACCAGCACAATCCGGTATGTTGTACGAGTAAAGCCAACTGACTGTTCATATGGATTGACCTTGATATTTGGTAGGCCGTCGCAGAAGCAAAGAAGGCCAACAAGCAAGATAAGATCCGCACCCAACTGCTCGCTCTGGAGCCCCTGGCGAGGATCAAAGTGCGCATCAGCGCTGGTGTGTTCGAGGTGTCTCTCGTGCGCGTCATCGAAGAAACCAAGTCCGTCGAGGTGGTGTGGGATAGGGGCGGCAAGAGGGAGTTTAAGTGGGGGAGCGTCGTGTTCGGGAACACCGAAGGCCAGATCGTTGGTCAAAAGCCTACCGAGCCTGCGCCCGACCCGGAACGTAAGTGCTCGTTTCGAAGTGAGCCCGGGGGCGTGATTGAAAGCGAGCATCTTTGCAGACACTGAGCCTCGCGCGATCGCAGCCCCGGCAGTCACCTATCCATCCTTGAACATGTCCATGGCGGCTTCAAGCAGTAACACGCCGGCGGCTGCGCTCCCAGGATATCCCGCTGCCTCTGCACGAACGCAGTATATCCCGTATCAGCCACAGGGTTCCGCTGCGGCATCGTACAGCTATTACGCCAACCATTGGGGACACTCGTATTCGCATTATCAACAGCGCCCAGCTGCGTCGCAGTACACTCCAGGAGCGTATGGGGCATCGGCCGCGATGTACGGCCATCCGACGTACCCACAGTCGCAGTATCTCAGGTATTCTGCATACACGAACAACGCATACGCATCTTACACGTATCCCACCGCCGCCGCCTCTGTCCCTGGCGCTGTCCCTGGCGTCGTGCCTACCCCAGTCTCGACTAGAATTACATGGCAGCAGCCCTATACAGGTCCCAGAGAGCCATTGGCTTCGACCAGCCAGCAAGGTAGCAGGTCGTCAAGTCATGTCCCAGGGCAGGCGCCGTCGTCCGAGCCGACTGCCGCATCAACGGTATCTCCCGTGGCATCGGCGCCTTTGACCACGCCTACGGAGGCGGGACCGGCCGATGTCCAGGTTGTCGCAGTAGAGGGCGCTACATCGTAGATGGCCATAGAGGTGGTCGATATGTTCCTTCTGGGCGTGCATTCGATTCCTCGAGCCCCGCTTTGCAGATACTTGTTTTTGTTTTCAGGCTTTTCGGTCGGGTTTTCTTCCGATTCTTTATTCATACTCCGTACTGCTGTGTTGATTATACTGTATTCTAAGGAGTGTTATCAGTCGTTATAATCATACCCTGAATTGCATCGACGCCGACGACGTATTCAGAGCGGAGAATAGAACAAGATCAACCAGTGTGCGCAAGAAAAGAGAGGAGTGGAAGGCAGGAGCATAGACTGATCATCCTGTCTAGATAGAATCCGTTGAACGATTCGAGAGGCGTATGGAAAATCCAGTTGACTTTGGGGTTCAACTCAACCAAACCTACTCCTTTTCTTGAATCCTGCAAATCTAACATCGTCCGAATCTTCGTCCATGATAGGCGCCTTTCTCTTCTGTGCCCCGGTCCGTCTACTGGACCTCGGGGCTGTCAATTGTGACTCGGTCCCAGTGCGCATAGTCGAGGTCATCCCGTCCAAATCGTCCATCGCCTCATCGTCGCTGGGCCCTAACAGCCCCTCGTCGATATCAATGTGCTCTTCCTCCCCAATATCGTCGAGCTTTTGACTCGCGTCCTGGCCGTATTCGTCTTCGGAGTCCAGGAACAACGGCTGCGACGCCCCGCGGGATCTCGTGGATCGTGTCGAGCGCTTCGCGGAAGATTGGGATTTTGTCTTGGAGATGGGCTTCTTGCCGGCAGCTTTTCGCTGTGTGGGCTTCGCGTCGCTTTCATCTGAATCGCTGATCACGATAGTGCGGGTCTTCGCCTTGTTCGACGACTGCGTCCGGGGCTGCGTTTTTGGACCCGGCGCCTTCTCGCTCTCCGTTCCGAAGAAGCTCAGGCTCTGCGACTCGGGCTGAGAATGCGTTTGGGGTTTCCAGTATGCTGTGAGGGGGTTGTCAGCAAGTGAATCGTAAGATCCTCTAAATTAACTTCTCACAGGAACCAACGCCATAGTCGTTCTCTTCGCTGACAAGCAGGTCAACAGCTCGGGACCTCCCTCCTGGGGCTTTCTGTGAAAAGGGGGTTCAGCTTCAGCACGTGGAATCTAGAACACGCATCCTCGCCTTCTTGAATTTCTTGAAGTCAGACCGTCCCGCCCACTCCACGTTCCCACTTCTGACACGCGCATTTCGCCTGGACTCCCGATCGCGATCCACCTCCATCGTCAGAATGACCATAAAGTTGCCCCTCACGCTCTCGTTCCCAAAGTCCGCAAGCAACGCCCACTCCTGCTCTTTTTCGTCCTTCTCTAGCTCGGGCCTCGAGATCTTCAGGTTGTTGAATTCGCGATCGAAGGCATCTTCCATCTTCTTGCCCCGCTTTGTGGAGTTGACTGCTTTCAGAAAGTTCTCGTCGATATCCATCTTCGCTGCTTCCGTGGGCTTCTTTTGGTGAGAGGACGACGGCGGCTTTGTTGACTTCGTAGGGATGGCCTCGGCGTTCTTGGAGTTTGGCGCACTCGAGGGAGGTGTCTGAGAATTCGGCACGACAGCATTGACGTGTTCGAGTGCTCGGCGTTTCGAAGAACTGCCCGTCCTTGTACCCGTCTGCGTCTCTCCCTGACCTTGTGTCCCCTCCATCGCAATGTCGTCATCTTCCGCAGAGTCAACGGCCTTCCTCTTCTGGCCCCGGGACTGCGTCTGGGTCTCGCCCTCCATCGGCATCTGCGTCTGCGTTTGTGCGGCGCTCGACTCTCCCTCCTCAAGGACGATAGCCAGCGTCTCCGCAGCCCCGCTCATCGCGCCCGATCTCACCGCATGCATTTGCGTGTCGGCCTGTGTCTGACTCGAGGCCGTGCCGAGCTTGTCGGGGTCGCTCGCCTCGAACAGAGCCTTGTACTTGTCTAAACCCGGCCCCTTGACGATGTCCTCGAGGTCGTCGTCCAGACCAAGTAGATTAGCAACATTCTTGGGGCCGGTCGCTGCTCTCGATCGGAATCTACTAGGCCGGCCTTGGCTTATGGGCTATAGATACAGTGAGTTTGAATTAAACGCGCCAGTAGGCGAAGAACTCACAGCTGCAGTTGGCTGGGGGACAGCGTGCGGGGCCGTCTCGGGGATCGCTGCAGAACTGGTATCTAGCACAGAGATATCATCGTCAAAGCCGAGCAAGGCCATTGCCGTCTGGGTGGTTCTCTTGGTGAACTAAATACAGAGTAGATTGTCAAAAGGCGCGGCTATCTCGAATGATTGCGGATCTGCATATACCTTGCGCAGTGGACGTGACGATTCTGCAGGTGCAGAGTCTGATGGCTGCTCGAATTCCATAGCTAGGTCAGGCGTTGCCGACGGCGCGCGACGGGATGACGCTCGCGTCCTCTCCTGATTCGGTTGGGGGTTCATACCGTAGTCCGGTGGGATCGTAGGTTCGTCCGGATGTGTGTTTGGTACGAAGTCGGGAAGAGGTGAAGATTGCCGATCATCTAAAGTCCTGCATGTAAGCAGGTCGAAGCGCCTGCGACACCGAAGCGAGGATCCTCACCTTGGTTGCGATCGCCCACAGGAACAGTGCAATCGATGTAAAATTTGTCGACGTGCGCGACCGCTTGGATGATGTTATCTGGCAAGATGAATCGCAGGCCCGTACTGTTCGTGGGGCCATCAACGCGCATACCCGCGAGTGGAATGCCGTTTACTCACTCCTTGGCCTCGTCGACCAACTCTTGCCATTTCTCTTTGGATGACGCCTCCATGGCCTTACTGTCAGCAACAAGCACCACCCTCCCGTGATTCTGATTTGCCCACGCCTTCGCCTTTGAGAGCGTGTTGGTCCACTTGAGCAACCCAGCGTTCACATAGAATGCCTCACATCCGCCCTGTCCTCGCGTCACCAAGGTTTCGTAGTCACTCGGGATTTCTAGTCCCTTTTCGCCAACAAAGATGAACCGACACTCCCGAAACATGTTCAAGCGTTCTTCATTGGGCTCCCATGTTTTCAACGTTTTCAGGGTCGGAGGCAGCACAGCGGAGAATGCGGGTCGGTATTTTGTCTCTGACGGTAAAGCAAAGGTGAATTCGAGCGACTTTGGGTCATCCTTGGGCAACACGCCGAGTCGAACGATTTCTCGCAGCCAGTCAGGCTTCACGCATTGGGAAGCAGTAAGAAGAGAGATGGAGAGTGTTGGGGAGAGGTTGTAGTTAGGAGTGAGGTGATGAGTCACGTTCGGGTGGAGTATGCGGACGAGGTTGATACCTTGGTGGTGCAATGGTGGTCAATGAGGGGGAAAGCATTGTGCGCGTCAGCAAATACCTAGCGATGCACATCCGTCAATTGACACAGGATCTCTCCCTTTGGAGGCGGATTCGAAGCAGCATATTCTATGCCACCTGAAACTATCATGGACATGTAGGTATGAGTCAATATATATATGTGCAGTCAACACACCTCAGAGGAAGTCCGGTCACAATATCCACCACGTCTCCGTCTTGTAGGTCCTCCAATGCGCCCGGATTGAATACTAGGCGTTCACCCGCCCTCGAGATTGTCATGGCCTTGGACTTGCTGTTGAGCATCTGAAGTACAGGAATTTTGTCCGGGTCTCCCTAAATAGAGGGTAAGATGCGGCGCTTTCGAGTTCCATTCAGCGGCGCGAGAACGAACCACATCTTCGGCTGTGCAGCCTCCAACAATGATCTGACCATGGTCGCGGGAGACTTTCTTGTGGTTCACTACGAGATCACGGTCTTTGCGCCCGATGAGATACTTCTGTCCGCTCTTGAGCAGTTTGACCTCTTTTGCGGCCACGAAGAGTTATGGTGAACAACTGCCGGCTGTCGAAGAAGAGAGTGTGCTCACTTTCATGGATAGTTTCGGCTGTGATTTCGATGTCGAAGGGCCCTGATATAGTCCACATAGAAAGACTGAGCCGAGTGCGTGAAAGACGCTCGAACTTGGACGCGTCTCGGTGATCGACGAAGCGCGTCAGAGACGGCCCGGACAAGCCGCAGTGTCATCATTCCCTGCTCTCAAGCCTGCTCTGCCCGTGGCCACATACTGCACCCTCTGCATCTTATCATCATTCATCGGCTGCCTCTTTGAAGCTCCAACACTTTAACGCTCCGCATCCACCATACACTACTCAACTGGTATGCACGCATGCACGCGCTCTGCCGCCGTGTCATAGAACGATCAACCAGCTGATTAACCACCGCTTGCAGCTTGGCTAACCTACTTCTGTTTCTTCCAAAGAATTGCATGCACGGGCTCTATTTTTCCTCTCGTGCTCAGGATATCCTTATGATCAAGATATCCGTGGACTCTGAAGCGCCTCATACTCTGAAGCGCCTGGCTTTCCATAATGATATGTCAACGAAGCTGGTGCACGGCAGGGGAATTACCAAAGGGGGAGGCGTATATTCTATATAAACAGGAGCCTACAGCTTAATTCGATAGCGCTCTTCTTCCCACGGAGTGCGATGTCGGTGACTGTCTCGGACTGCGTTGCACTGCTTATATCCTGCGTTCTCTTCAAGACCTATCTTGACAAGCGACGAAACCCTTCAGGCCTACCCCTTCCTCCTGGTCCCACGCGCCTCCCCATTCTCGGTAATTTCTTGGATGTGCCAGTGCGAACATCCTGGGAAACATATGCTAGTTGGGCAAAGCGTTATGGTCAGCATCATGTCGACATCTCATACTCTGTCATGTCATTACTCAATCTCTGTGAAATCAAGGAGACATCATGTCTCTCGAAGTGTTCGGGGAAACTATCGTAGTCATCAACTCTATGGAAATTGCACGCAACCTCTTGGAAAAACGAGGCGCAATCTATTCTGACCGCCCCGCAATCACCGCATATGAAGTGTTTGTATCTCGTCCTGTACAAATCAATCTGATGTTCTTAGGATAAATTTGCATTAGCATGAAATATGATCACTTCATCACTGTTACAAGATATGGTCGATACTGGAAGAACTGTCGGAAGATCACAGATCACGTTCTCCGACAGAGTGCTGCAATGGCTTACAGATCGATGCAGACCCAGAAAGTCGCAGAATTCTTGGCAAAGCTAGTCTATACGCCTGATCAGGTTCTCTATCATATCAAACAGTCAGTACCTAACTTATACCATCAAAGCCCTCGTTCTCACCCATATGCAAACTTGCAGTCTCTCCGCGTCCGTTGTTATGTCTTTTACTTACGGGCTGGAAATTGCAGACTTTAACGACCGATATGTCGCTCTCGCAGAGACCACTAATATCAGAGGGACTGCCTCCATCTTACCCGGTGCCACACACCTCAACACGTTCCCATTCTGTATGCCATATTCGCTGCAGTACCCAAAATACTCACAAATTCTGACTTGGCCTAGTGAAACACCTACCAACATGGCTACCGGGAATGAGCTTCAAGAAAAAGGCTCTGATCGCTGCAGAGGAAGTTCAGGAAGCTATCAACGCTCCTTTTGATTTCGCCGTATCTGAATTTGTTCGTTCCTCTGTCTATCATCAAAGCGATCTCCATGAATGATACACGGACGCTAGCAAAAGGGGACCGCAGAATCATCCTTTGTTCTCCGAAGCCTGGAATTATCCTCTGAAACAGATGATACCGAGATCAGTGACGAGGTTATCAAGAATACCGCAACTGGTATCTATTTAGGTGAGTCGCAAAAATGACGATCTTATTGTTTTGAGATAGAGCTGATCCTTGTGATACATGAAGCCGGTGCTGACACGGTAAATTCTATCGGCAATGATTACTCTTTCTTGCTTTTGATATCTTTCATAGACAATTTCCATATTATCAACCTTCTTCCTGGTCCTCGCTCTGCATCCAGAAATTCAAACACGTGCTCAAGCGGAAATTGACACGGTCGTAGGACGAGAGCGACTCCCAGAATTTGAGGATAGACCTCGCATGCCCTACATCGACGCTATCTGCCGAGAGCTTTTGCGATGGAAGATGGTCACGCCTCTGGGTACGTGAGTGTTCTGTGGTGTCCGAACCTCACATTCGACTGTGTGACAGCTCTTCCGCATGCGACCACAGAGGACGATATATATGAGGGGTACTTCATCCCCAAAGGTATAGTTCCCGCCTGTTCCGTTCGATCATTTACTTCACATTTTGTAGGCTCGCAAGTCATTGTCAATAGTTGGTAAGTAACATATCGCATTCCCTGTTCATTTACCCTTGTTCGACATCATAGCAGGTCTATACTCCATGATCCGGCCGTCTATCCCGACCCAGACACCTTCCGACCTGAACGGTTCTTGGCGCCTGACGGTTCGCTTGTTGAGGATCCCAACCTTATATCTGCCTTTGGGTTTGGAAGAAGGTAGGTTGCTCCCTCTGATGACGTTACCCACTGACAAGTGTCCGTAGAATCTGTCCTGGTCGATTTTTTGCCGACGCCTCTATATGGACCGTCGTGTCCTCAGTCCTCTCTTCGTTCACCGTCAGAAAGGCAACGGACGCACGCGGAAACGAGATACCTGTCAAAGGGGAATATAGCGATGACAGGGTCCTATGGTCAGTCTAATAATATCGGTTTCTGTTGACAGAATGTCGGTTCTAAAAGTATGGTGTTTGGTCAGCCACCCCTATCCGTTCAAATGCTCCATTGCGCCTCGAGATAAGTGGGCTGAAGGGTTGATATCCCAGACTGCGTCTAAGGCCTGAGGGATGTGATGTGGCAGTGTGAGGTACTGCTGTGTGAACAGTTAGCTTTCTTGAAGAACGAGACGCAGAGTGTCTATTCGAGCATGGAGTTAGGGCTCGGTGATAGGAGCCTGTCATGCCCAGCCTTACTCAACTGACGTTGTCTAGATAAGTCGACTTACAGGTAGTATTATAGATACCATCTGCGAGTCCGATAAACTAGCCTATAGCAGAATATTGCTGCTTGCTGCTCGCATCAGGCGCATGTCTTCCATGACTCCATCGGTGTTATTAGGATGCAAGGAAGTTGCTTGAATGGGGACACGGGAATTATTTATAAGTAGGCAGTGTGAATGTAATGGTGAGTCTCATCTGCTCAATGCCCGTCACTATCTCAGAAAACATTGTCTTACTGGTCGTGGAAGACTTTCTCGTGGTTCGCTGCGATGTCATGGTCTTTGCGCCCGACGAGATACTTCTGTCACCTCTTGAGTACTTGAGTAGTTTGACCTCTCTTGAGGCCACGACCAGTTGTGGTGAACGACTGCCGACTGCCGAAGAAGAGATTTTGCTTACGTTCATAGCTGTATATTCCATGCCAGAGGGCCCTGTTATAATTCACATAACAAAAGATACCTGAGCCAACTACGTTCGATGGTATGAGAGACACTACGTTTTCGAGTAGGAGTTGCCAGAGACGCGTCTTGAAGTTGGTGGATCGGCGAAGCTGAAGTGACGGCCCGGTCAAGCCGCAGCGCACTTCGGTGCTGACCTGGAAATAAAAAACGGCCGTCTCTGGTTCGTTCCTGCCAGCGCCACCGTCCGTTCATAATTGAACTTCGTTTTGTTTAACCCAAACATCTCTGATGGCATGATCTTTCGGCAGGACAATAACCTCATGCAACACTCATGCAACTTGATTTGGGCTCTCCTTGAGCTACTTTGTCGGCAAGTACTACTGAGCTTTGTTCGAGCAGCTTTAAGTATTCTCCCAAAGTGCAAGCATGGGTTTAGATTTTTTCCCCTCGTGCTCAGGCTATCTCCTTGCTCAAACCATTTATGGACTTCGAACAGCTTCATTCTTCTCACTGCGCCTGTCATGCACTGATTATTCAGACGCACTTGACTATCTATGACGATACGTCAAGCTGGTGCGGGGCAGGGAAGTTACCAAAGTAGGACTACGGAGACCTGTGATTCTCTATATAATCTACAGCTTGATTTTGATTCAACAACGCTCTTCTGCCCATAATGTCGGTAACTGTCTCGGACTGCATTGTTCTACTCATTTCCTTCCTTCTCCTCAATGCCTATCTCAAAAAACGACGAAATCATTCCGGCCTACCTCTTCCTCCTGGTCCCGGGCGCCTTCCCATTCTCGGTAATTTTTTCGATGTGCCAGTGCGAGCATCCTGGGAAACGTACGCCAGTTGGGCAAAACAATATGGTCGGCTTCGCAGTGTTATTCTATCATTGGTCATATGGTTGCTGAATCGTCACTCCCTCCGAATTTTAGGAGATATCATGTCTATTGAAGTCTTTGGAGAGACCATAGTAATCATCAATTCGATTGAAATCGCACACAAGCTCTTGGAGAAACGAGGCGCAGTCTACTCTGACCGCCCTGCAATCCCAGCGTATGAACTGTACGTATCCTGCACTGGTTCATCCGATGTTCTTACGAGTGAGATGAACTTAGGATGAAGTATGATTTTAATCTCTCCATGGCAAGATACGGACGATACTGGAAGAGCGGACGAAAAATCACAGACCACAATCTCCGCCAGAGTGCTGCAATGGCTTATCGACCAATGCAGTCCCGCAAAGTCGCAGAATTCTTGAGAAAGCTTGCCCAAACTCCTGACCATGTTTTCGATCATATCAGACAGTCAGTCCCGATTCATATACCCGCAAAGTCCTTATTCTTACCCATATGCAAACTTGCAGTCTCACTGCGTCCGTTGTCATGTCATTTACTTACGGGCTGGAAATTGCAGACTCCAACGACCGATATGTAGCCCTCGCGGAGATTACTAATGTCAGAGCAAGTGGTACCGTCTTACCTGGTGCCACGCCCCTGAACACTTTTCCAATGCGTACGTTATATTCTATGCAGTGCATGCAACACCTAAACATCGAGTATCGATCTAGTGAAATACCTACCAACATGGTTACCAGGCATGGGCTTCAAGAAAGACGCTCTGATCGCCGCAGAGGATGTTCAAGAAGCTGTCAACGCTCCTTTTGGTTTTGTCAAATCTGAACTCGTTTGTCTTTCATATGTTATCACGTCATCAAAGCATATCCAGATGAATAATGCGTGGCCACTAGCAAAAGGGAACTGCAGTATCGTCGTTCGTTCTCCGTAGCCTGGAACTGTCCTCTGAATCAGATGAGACCGATATCAATGACGAGGTCATCAAGAATACAGCTAGTTCTATCTATTTAGGCGAGTAGCCACCATCCCCCTCTTATTTAGAAGATAGTTTTAATTCTTAGCGTAATGAAGCCGGCGCCGACACGGTAAATCCTCTCAGCGGTTCTGTATTTTTCTTTCTGTTGATGACCTTTGAAGACCGTCTCAATATTATCCACCTTCTTCATGGTCCTTGTACTGCATCCAGGCATCCAGGAACGTGCTCAAGAGGAGATCGATGCGATCGTAGGACGAGAGCGCCTCCCCAAATTTGAGGATAGACCTCACATGCCATACATCGACGCTATCTGTCGGGAGCTTGTGAGATGGAGAATGGTCACGCCATTAGGTATGCGATTTCTTTTGTGACGTTTGAACCTTACAATCGACCGTGCGCCAGCTGTACCACACGCGACTACAGAGGACGATGTATACGAGGGGTACTTCATTCCCAAAGGTGAGCCTTCCACCTTGTTCCATCTGACAATTCGCTTCACATTCTGTAGGCTCGCAAGTCATTGTCAATAGTTGGCCAGTCAAATATTGCTTATCTTGTTTTTTTACCCATGTTCAACGTCCAACGTTGTGACAGGTCCATACTCCATGATCCGGCTGTCTATCTCGACCCAGATGTCTTCCGACCCGAACGGTTTTTGGCACCTGACGGTTCCCTCGTCGAGGATCCCAACCTTACGTCCGCCTTTGGGTTTGGAAGAAGGTGGGTTACTCCATCTGATGACGTCGCCCATTGACAAGTGTTCTGCAGAATCTGTCCTGGTCGATTTTTTGCCGACGCCTCTATATGGACCGTCGTGTCCTCAGTCCTCTCTTCGTTCACCGTCAAAAGGGCAATAGACGCACGTGGAAACGAGATACCTGTCAAAGTTGAATTCAATGACGATAGGGTCCTCTGGTCAGTCTGACAACTCCGTTTTCTGTTGGCGGGAAGACGGTGCTAAAAGTGTGGTGCTTGGTCAGCCACCCCTATCCGTTCAAATGCTCCATTGCGCCTCGAGATAAGCGGGCCGAAGGGTTGATATTTCAGACTGCGTCTGAGGCCTGAGGGATGTGCTATATGAAGTTCTGCAGTGTGTACAGTTAACTTTCTTGAATATCGAGATGCAGAGTGTCTATCCGAGCATGGACTGGGGATAGGAACTTGTCAGGCTCATCCTACAGTTTACTTTCGCTAACCTGATGATGAGTCAACTTAGATCGAGGGGTAGGGATGTGGATACCATCCGACGAGTCCGATAAACTGGCCAATAGCGGAATATTGCTGTTTGCTGCTCGTATTAGGCGCATGTTTTCGATAACTCCATCGGCGTTACTGGGATGCAAGGAAGTTGCTATAATGAGGACACATGGATTACCTATAAGTAGGCAGTGTAAATGCGACGGTGACTCTCATCTGTATGATGCCCGTCACTACCTCGGACTACGTTGTCATACTAATTGGCTTTCTTCTCGTCAAATTCTACTTTGACAGACGACGAAACCCTTCAGGGCTGCCGCTTCCTCCCGGTCCCAGAGGTCTCCCTATTTTTGGCAATTTCTTAGATGTGCCGAGACGAGCGGCCTGGGAAACATATGCTGATTGGGCAAGGCGTTATGGTCATTTTCCGATGATGCTCTGCTCCTCGTTGCGTTATTGCTGAACTCCGTTCCTCAGGTGATATCATGTCCGTCCGTATAGTCGGACAGACTTTTGTGATCATCAATTCAGTTGAGATTGCACGCGAGCTTTTGGAACAACGAAGCTCAGTTTATTCTGATCGCCCGGTCATTCCATCACACGAACTGTCTGTATCTGATCCTAAGCCAATCTTTGTACCTAACATCCCCACGTAACATCAGGATGCAGTATGACCTTATTCTGTCTAACTCGGGTTTTGGGCAATGGTGGAAATCCTGTCGAAGAATCATCGATCGTAGCTTCCGCCAGAGAACTGCGATTACCTACCGATCCATACAAACTCGCAAGAGCGAGCAATTTCTGAGGAAGCTTGCCCATAAACCTAATGACGTTGTCAATCATATTACACAGTGAGTCATGGACTCTGGACAACTTCAAAGTATATTTCTGATGAATTCACAGTCTTAGTGCCTCTGCTGTGATGTCTATCATATATGGTTTGCAAATCGCCGACTATAATGACCACTACGTTGCACTCGCAGAAGATACAAACAAAAGGGGAAGTATCGCTGCCATACCTGGCGGCATGCTCATCAACGCCTTCCCAATCTGTATGTCACGTTTGACAGCTCTATAGATGTTGGATTTGCTGATGCCTGGGTATTGACACAGTAAATTCCCTACCAGCATGGTTTCCAGGCATGAGCTTCAAGAACGATGTTCTGACTGCCATACAGCAAATTCAGGAAGCCGCCAACGCTCCGTTTGATTTTGTGAAATATGAAATGGTAGGTGTCTTCATACTTTGATATATCACGAAAACCATCCTCAAACCATCTATATCATTTCTAGCAAAAGGGGACCGCAGAACCGTCGTTTGTTCTCCAAAGCTTGGATCCATCTGCAGAGTCGGATAATAATGAGATTGACGAGAAAGTGATCAAATTTTCTGCGCTTTCTCTCTATTTAGGTGAGCAGCGAAGCGGAGTATTCTCATTGGCTTCCGAGACCATTCTAATCTCTGTTACAACGAAGCTGGTGCTGACACGGTACATTCTGTCGGTGATTGATCACTCATCATCTTCTAACTGCCTCCCAAAGACTGTCTCAATATTATCAACGTTCTTCATGGTCCTCGTACTTTATCCAAGTGTACAGGAGCGTGCTCAAGCGGAGGTTGACGCGATCGTGGGACGAAAGCGTCTCCCCGAATTCGACGATAGACCTCACATGCCCTATATCGATGCTATCTGTCGGGAACTTTTGAGATGGAGGATGGTAACACCTATGGGTGTGTCTTTTTTATTTGCCTTCGTCTTGCCCGAAGCTCACATTCAATCGTGCTAAAGCTGTTCCGCATGCGACCACAGAGGACGATACATATGGGGGTTACTTCATTCCCAAAGGTCAGCCTTTCGCCATAGTCCATCTGAAAATTGTTTCACATTTTGTAGGCTCGCAAGTCATTGTTAATAGTTGGTAAGCCACATATCGGGTCTCTCTCACTTGATTCGCCCAAGCTCAACATCATGGCAGGTCCATTCTCCATAATCCGGCTGTCTATCCCGACCCAGACGTCTTCCGACCCGAACGATTTTTGGCGCCTGACGGTTCAGTTGTTGAGGATCCCAACCTCATATCCGCCTTTGGGTTCGGTCGGAGGTCAGCCCATCTCCTCTGATGAATTCATGCAGCCTTAACTTTGGATTCTCTCGTTAGAATCTGTCCTGGTCGCTTTTTTGCTGATGCTACCATATGGAAGGTAGTCTCAGCCGTTATTTCTACGTTCACCGTCAAAAAGGCGACAGATACGGATGGGAATGAAGTGCCTGTCAAAGTAGAATTCACCGACGATAGACTTCTCTGGTGAGTAGAGTTCGGCGTCCCCTATGGTACCCTAGATAATGACTCTTCGCTTCAGCCACCCCCTTCCATTCCAATGTTCCATCTCACCTAGAGATAAGCAGGCCGAGGCATTGATCGCGCAAATCGAGCCTTGACATATCTACGGGCTTGATGAGGGAATGAAGATCTTCATGTCGGATGTCCCGCGACAATGAATCTTATTTGATTTCCGTGATCGAATACAGTTGAATCGTTCCTCGTATTTGCATATAAGAAAATCACAATACAGGGCAAATGTCCCATAGCAGCCGACTCTACGTGTATATCAATCGCTCACAGCTTCTTGAAGAACCTTAGTCGCGACAAAGATGCCGGCGCTGTTGATCCACATGCGATTGGTTTTCAGTGAAAAAGATATCGAAGGGACACACCAAAAACCTCACCGGCATTCTCCTGCTCACCAGGTGATGCGAGAGAGAGATTTCTTCTTCCTGAAGCTCTCGCAGAGAATTTGCCAAAGATAGATCCAGGCTTGATGGCTGCGGAAGGCTGGACGGCGTGAGGCTGTTCCGAGCGCATATGCGAGTTTCGATTCCTAGAGCTGTATTTGCCGTGAGACATCATGGACGTCGTGGCATCGTAAGTGTTGGAGATGCTCTGCAAATGCATAGGAGGGGGCTGAGAGAATCCGTGCGCTGGTATGCTCTTTGGGCGTGCAGACGATGAGCGGGAGGGCCCTTCGCGTTGGTAACGACTGGCTGTGGAAACTGAGCGCTTTCGTTCCTCGGTGACATGATTTGGTGCTGTGCTGTTTTGTTCCTGAAAAGAACTCTTAGGGGTAGGGTCATCCGAAGTGTCGACCGCAGTAACCGGCTTGGCTGTATGACTATATTTTCTGGCCCTGTCTGGCGTACAAGGGAATGGAACATGCCGTTTCGCTCCAGGTGGAAAGGACATATAGTCCACCATAGCAGAACAAGACCAGGCTGTCAAGCGTTGCTGCTGGACTTCGACAATGCGCATATCTGTGACATGGTTGACACGCCGGATGACCGTAGAGCGAGTGACTGCTTCATGCGAGGGCAGCCCATCCTGTACATCTTTCAGGTGTTTCTTGAGGTCCCGTTCAAGATGTGCAAGACAGGATTCAGCATCGAGCTCTCTAAACTCCGCAGATTTTGGAAGCGAGCAGTCGACGAGGTCACAAGAATACGATGAGGACAGGCCAGAACTCAAAGACAGGCTCTCAGAAGAGGCGTGAACAAAGAAAGTCGCAGTCGAGATGGGGAACAAAATTTCGACCAGGACAGAGTTCGAGACAGGCAGGACACTCATCGGCGGAGCTGTTGTGTTCCCTAAGAAGACCGGTTGAGAGTACGAGCGAGAGTATTGAGACAAAGAGCTGAAATGAGACGAGTACATCGAGTGTATCGGTGTCGTGCTTGCAGAAACCGAAATGCTGTACGGGAGAGCAGTCCCTCCGGCCGCGAGCCGCGGTGCAGACATAAGTTCAGCAGCGTCAGACGAAATCTGAGGTGTTCGAATCCTCGCGGTGCGAAAGGATCTGATTGAACGCATGCTAGAGGATGACTTGATGTGAACGAGCCGATGTGTATGACTGGAAGAGGAGGATACGATCGTACAACCCTCTCTTGGAAACTGAGGCAACTTTCGAGAGACGTCACGGGCCCTTGCGAGAGAGCGCTTGGTGAAGCGACTGTTTCCAGCATCGTGAAAGTTTTGTGAGGCCTTTGAACGGAGCCCAGAGAACCTAGTTCGAGCGTCTGGAAACATGAGTGGGACAGCAGGGCGCGGGGTGATGCCTAGAACTCTTGATCTTGGAGGTCTATGCTCTACACCTCCATCAGAGAAGATCCGCTGTGTAGCTAGTGTTATATTTGATCTAGGGAGGGGACGGCCAGAAGATTGAACGAGAGGCTTTGGCCGAGTAGCGTTTATCCGCACTGGTGGAGTGTCCATCGGATTTTGATGGACGATAGTTCGAGTAGACGTATGAACATATTCAAAATGACTTATGGGGGTGTTTGAACGAGCGAACGATATAGACATGTGTGTAGAGAGAGTGAGAGATAAATGAACAGAAAAAGTGAAGCCAGTCAAGTTGAACAAATGGGGGCACGAGGGGATACTTTCGGAGATTGCCGAGGGCACTCCGCTCTTCAGGCGGGCTGCGGCTCTGATAGTATTCCTTCTGTATTGTGCTTTGGCTTTCGACGATGGCCTCGTCATATTCTACCATACAGTCGCGCCCTTGGCAACCATGCGTCTCAACAAGCTGCTCCAAATGCCGATATCAACTCGAATTTCCTGTTCCCAGTCCAACCCCGCGCCCAGCCACCATCCTGAACGTGCGATGTTGCAACTGCAAGGAAGAATTCACGCACACATTCTATCCAACACAAGTCTTAGGCGGAACTACTGGAAGGATCTCAGATACCCCAGGGTCATCATCGTCGCAAGGTCAGCGGAAGAACGGCAGAAAGATTGGCACGCAGGAGCGGCCTCTTGAAACAGGCTACTATGACATCTTGGGTGTTGCGGTTGATGCCACACCTGATGATATTAAGAAGTCATATCGTGAGTGACAACAAGTTCGTACCCGTCCCGACTTTAAAACTGTCAATTGTGGCATATAGGACGGTTGGCGATCAAGCATCACCCAGACAAAAATCGCGACGACCCGCACGCCGAAGAACGGTTTAAAGAGATCGCTATTGCCTACCAGACATTGTCAGATCCCGAGCTGCGTCGAAAATACAACGAGTTTGGGTCTAAAGAGAGCGCCCCTGAAGGGGGCTATGTTGACCCGGAAGAGGTCTTTGGGGCGATTTTTGGCGGAGAGCGATTTGTGCCCATTATTGGCCACATCAGCCTCGGGAAAGATATGAAGACCGCCCTCCAGGAGGCAGATGAAGCAGGACCCGAGGGTGCTGTTGTACAGCGTGATGCTAAGGGACGGGAAATCTTGAGTCCAGAGGAGAAGGCGAAGAAGGATGAGAAAGCGAAACAGGTCTCAGCGGAGGTGAGTGCGACCGGGTCAATCTGTGCGAATGATGGTCGAACCGACACTTCAGAAAGCGGCTGCAAGGGAAGAGCGGGTACAAGAGCTCGTGCGGAATCTGGAGCGCAAGCTGGGCATTTTCACGGAGTCGGCGACGGGTCCGAATGACAAGGATGTCGGGGAGAGTTGGAGGACGATATGTTCTCTTGAGGCGGAGTAAGTCCTCAGTATCCCGTGGGCGGATCATATACTCACGTCTGAACAGAGATTTGAAGAACGAATCTTATGGTGCAGACCTATTGCATACAATCGGTTTCGTCTACGTGTCGAAAGCGAAGCACTTCCTCGCGACAAATCAGACTTTCCTTGGGGTTGGTGGATGGTTACACAACGTACAAGGGAAATACCACGTTTTCAGCGAGACGTGAGTCTGGTGTCTCCTTCCATATTTCTCAATGTGAAGAACCCGTACAGCGTATCGACATTACGTGCGGCCCTTGAGCTCAAAGCCGTTTTCGATCAAATTCAGGCCGCAGAGACAGCCGGCAATCTGAGCCCGGAAGAGAAGAAACGACTGGAGGACCAGGCTGCAGAGAAGGGCATTCAAGCGCTTTTCAAAGTAAGGACTTCTCTTGCTTGACGAGGAGACATTGATGTATTGATGTCAATGTTTGTTTTCAGGGTACGAAACTCGAAGTCGAGTCAGTCTTGCGCGAGACGTGCGACCGTGTTCTTGGCGATCCGTCTATTCCGCGCGAGAAAGCGCACCTACGTGCTGTCGCCCTCCAGATGCTCGGTCAAGCATACACGTCTGTGCGCAAAGAGCAAGACGAGGCGAAGGAAGAGGCTGAGTACGTCCGCGTAGAGACGAAGAGCAGCCGAGAGCGCGCGTCTCGGCCCCAGTGACGGCGTCGCTGCCAGTCGAACGCCATTGTACATCATGCATCATGATTTATATTTTAGCATTCTGTTCTACACATGTTGTTGCGCTCAGTCAAGTATAGAATGAGCTTACTTTCATTTTGCGGAGTTGTTCGTTTGTATTGTCAGCTTATGGTACGCATTGTTACTGCCGAAGGCAGAACATAGCAGCGACTTGCAAATCGTCGGATGGCCCCGGCCGACGAAAATCATGCCCAGCAAGATGTATTGACGCTGGAATGAATATTTGCATGCTCTATGCTTCCGTTGCCAGGTCATGGGCTGCTGGTCCTCATATTTGACCAGAAGCTTAGGTCTATGGATCTTAGCCGCAGCGGATGGTATTGACGAGAGTACTTCAATTTGCAAATCGCTGAGATTTTGAGCGTTGGGTTTCGAACCCAGATCTAGATAGCGCTCGGCAAATACACTCATGCTTAGCACGCACTGGAGATGCACGCAGCTTACATCTCGATTGGGCAGCTACGCATGTCAAGACGAACATCACAGGTGAGCCAACTCGACTGGATTTAATTCTCGTTGGCATTGTGCGCAGTGCTACTTACAGTGCCAGCAGGTCGACATTGAGCACTTTGACGTGATGCCTGTTATGACAGACTCTCCGACACTTCATCTCCCCGTGGAACTCCGGATCTTTATTGAGTTTGGCTGAGGTACAGCTTCACACAGCCCTCATGACATGCTGATTTGGTTCTCTTCTGTGAATGACTCCAGGTAACCCATGCCGGCTCACAATTTCTGACGCGTCATCCGTCCGCAGTATGGCTGCGCGTCGTTGCGGGCCTTGCGGTAGGTCTAGCGAGCCGAATGTCAGTCCTTGGCGCGTGTCAGCCATGAGTACTCCATGAGTCTGATGAGTGATCATCTGAAATTTCCGCCTGGCACAGACATCTTATCTGATAATGCCATCGGCGCTAAGCATCACCACGCTGTGTCATTGATTTCTAATGTGAGCGTGCTATCTGATAATCTCCGATGCTCTTCCAATGGCGAACCAGTTGACGAGTCTGTAGACGAAGGAACATGGTACAGTTGGTATGAACCGAGTATGCGACGTTACACGTACGATTACCGCCCGTCTGGTAAGAGGAACGATTCAAGCGGTATATAAAGCATACCTCTCGCTCGTCCAAAAGGCATCAATCACCTTTGACCCCCTCGACAGAGCAACTCCCAAGATCTTATCATGAACTCATCCCGCACTACCCAAGTACTCATTGTAATACGTTCCATTTCCGCCTTAATGCCGGATGATTACTGATCATATGCTCCTCAGGTTGGCGCTGGCCCTTCCGGTCTCACTCTGGCATTGGCCTTGCTCAAGAATGGCATCTCGGTCCGAATCATCGAAAAGGAGTCCAGTGTACAGGTCGCAAGTCGACCCTTGGGAATACAGGTTTTTCACCTACACTCTCTGAGTCTTGAAAATTCTGAATGTTATGCTTCTGTGTCCCTTGCAGCCTCGTTCTCTGGAGAACTTCCTTGACTTAGGCGTTCTCTCAAAGATGGAGATTGAGCACAAGTATCTAGCAGATTTTACTATGCACTTATACGATGATGACAAAGGAGTGAAGCCGGTCAAGTCGTGGAAGTTTTACGAGCACGAGGATCCTACCCCGGATACTCCTCTGGTAAGTTTCGAGGCAGACTATTTTCAATGTAGATTGGCCGCTCATACGCAGTTGATAGGCCAACTCGGTGCTTATGCCTAAGAACCGGATTGAGGCTGTGCTTCGCGCGCCTATCGAGGAATATTCATGCCATGTCGAATTTGGTACTACGTTGGCCTCTTTTGAGCAGCATCCTGATCATGTCGTCGCAAGTCTAATCAAGACGATCGATGGGAAAGAGATGAAAGAAAAGGCCGAGTTTGCGTGGCTTGTGGGCGCTGATGGCGGAAAGGGTGCTCTTTCTTTCTTGCGCTCCCCTCATAAGATGGAATCTAACAATTTATGTTTGCAGGAATGGTGCGGAAGCAATTGGGATTGCCGTTCGCAGGTGTCACCCGGAATGAGGGTCGCTTCTTGCTCGGAGAGATCCACCTCAAGGGTCTGGACGTTGATGTATGTCTGTGTGATCTCTTGGAGGAGAAACTTATCTAACATGGTTGCTCGCTAGGGCATGCACTGTTGGGGCAATTCTACTTCGAGAAGGTCAGTGTCCTTTGTAAACGCAGCCCAAGGTCACAGACTCAATCTATTGCGTTGTGGGCTTCTCTAGCTTGATGATTTTACCCTCCACGGCCGACATATTCCAGTATATCGGCAATGGACCAGATATAGACTTCGACAAAGTCCTCTCGAGTCACGACACAGTGAGACAATTTATACGCGAAGCCACTGGAGAGAAGGAACTAGAGCTGGGCAAGGTTGAGTGGGCAACCGCGTACACGTGCGTGCTTTCCTTTGTGCCCATCTTGTCAAAACGGCTCATCATCCGTAGTGTTAATGTTAGGATGACGACCACGTTTGGGTCTGGCAGAGCGTTCTTGGTTGGAGGTTCGTGACATTGTTTGTGACGAATGACATCTGTCTTATGTGAATACAATTACTCAGACAGTGCACACGTCCACAGTTTCACGGGCGGCCAGGTATCATATCTCAGAATTTGCATGATTTTGACATACTGAATCATTCTTTCGCGTTCCAGGGACTCAATTCTGGTGTACAAGATGCAGTAAGTTCCGCTTCTCTCCGCCCTTTACAACCAGCCCTTCAATAACCTCTCTTAGATCAATCTCGCTTGGAAGATCGCTCTCGTCTCAAAGGGACACGCCTCCCCGTCCCTTTTGTCGACCTACAGTGAAGAGCGAGTACCCGTCATCTCTGAGATGCTCAAACGCACGAGCCATATGTTGGACAATACGTTGACCAAGCCCACCGATGTCGCATGGCGCCGCCCGAAGATGCTGCACTTACTGGGCATGCACTATCGCTGGAGTTCCATCGTCTTGGATGAGCAGAAGACGGTCCTGACGGATGAGCAGAAGCGCGACGATGTATATGGCGTGGACGGAGACGGCCACCTGCGCGCGGGTGACAGAGCGCTGGATTCCATTGGGCTCATAGACATCGCGTCGGGAACGACGCGTAAGCTCTTCGAGCTCTTCGGAGCGTCGCACCACACCGTGCTCGTCTTCGCCTCCTCGATGGACGCCGCGGCCGCGGTGGTTTTAGAGATTACGAAGTATCCCGCGGATCTGGTACGCCCTGTCGTCCTCCTACCCCGGGGATCGGTGGTCGCGTCGACGCCGTCTGGACGAAGGATTCAGCATGTGTTGGAAGACAGAGAAGGGAGTGCGCGCGAAATCTACGCGAGTGCCATCGCAGGCACGGGTGCGGGAGAAGGAGTCCCTACTATCGTCATCGTGCGTCCGGACAGGGTCATCGGTGGCATCGTAGGGACCGTGCAGGGCCTGACGCGTTATATGCGCGGTGTGTTCTCGGCCTGAGCACCACATCACAGCCAAGACATAGTATCCCGTTCTGTTCACCTAATTGTATCACGTCAGTTCAAGCGTACCCCCACTCATTCCTATAAACTCAAGCTCAGCATGAGCTAGAAATACAATGTTCTCGATTTGCGTCCCTTTGCCGCGAGATCAAAGTCCATAGAATACTCAGATTGGAATTGTATCGCCTGTGCAAAACAGGCGACTTGGTCCTCGAGCTTGTTCTCGGTAAAGCAGGTGGCCAGAATTAAATATTGCAACGATGCGGCAATTCACCCTCGTCCAATTTCATCTCCGCGCAATATGGCCTGGGCCTTTTAAGATTTTCAAATTCGGACTCCGATGTCTTGTTGCAATCAATCTTGAGAGCGAAAGACAAACATGAAAAATCCAACGCGACGTCCAAGGGTTGAACATTGAAGCTTGAAGACTCCACGAAAAAATAACAGAGAGAATAAAATTCTCAGCCGGACCTATATCCACATCCTCAGACAACTCAGCCCGAACGAACTCAGCCTGAACAATAAAGATACGCGTACCCTCCTCGCCCCGCTCCGCTCACAGCTCCAACTCCAGATCGACCACCCGCAGCTCCACCCCGTCCACCAAAAACAGACTGAGCACCCCGTCCGCGGCAAGGCGGTACCGATCGTACAGCACCTCCGCGCGCGATCCGCTCGCGGCCTCCCACACGACCTGCCAGTTGCGGAAGTGCCCCGCGGCGGTGCTGCGGAGGACGGAGAGCGCGGTCGAGTTGGGCGCGTTGGAGGGGAGGAGCGCGAAGAGAGAGGTCGAGAGCGCGGCGAGCTTGCCGCGCTTGCCGATCACGGTTGGGGTGCGGGTGATGTTGGGATTGAGGAGCGCCTGGGAGGCGTTGGCGCTGGAGAGGGTGAGCGGGAGGGGCGTGCGCGTCCAGTGGGAGGTCGTGCTGCGCCAGTAGTGGTACCTGTAGCGTTGTTAGAGGAACGCGCAAAATCAGCACGCGTGCGGATGAACGAAACAGAAAGGGGTGTCCATACCATTGTTCGGTCCCCGTCGTATTCTCGCGGTTCAACACATGCACGCGTCCCTCCTCATCCACCGTCTGTGCCTCCTGGTTCAGAATCCCTCTACGATAACACAGCACACGTCAATTTCCCTATCCGGATTGTAGGGATAGAAAAAGCCTGCAAACGCGAAGGCTCACGCACGCACCCGTACTTCGGGATACTGAACACCGTGATGCCCGCCGAGCCAGGCAAGATGGGGCGCCCAGCGGTCGTGTTCGCGATCGGCTGGCCCCAGGTGTTGAGCCAGGTGCGCCCGAGATCGGGGCTCGTCGCGAAGTCCATGTCGTGGTTCTGGCGTACGGGATCTATGAGCGAGATGAAAAAGGGCGGGGAAGGAGGAGCGCACGTTCTCGGGGCCGTTTGGCCCTGCCTGGACGGCGACATTTTTGCCGGTGTCGTTCACGTAGTCGCGGTATGTCCTGCACGATACACGATCGTGTGTAAGGAGATGATGTACATCGTCAAGGGCAAAATGAGCAGGAGAAGAAGGCGGCTGCAACTGCGTACGCACCAGGTCGTGACCAAGTTCCCCTTGTGATCAAAATCGAGGCCATTAATGTACGCATTGTCTATCATGGGCCCGTCAGAACTTCCCGGTACTTCGCGGACGACAACGTCAAGGAGGTGCACGCACTATTCACTCCCTGTCAACCAGATTAAATCGGTAAGAAAAAGATACTCCGTTAGCATTCGAACCCAGGAAAATATGTTCATACCTCCACGCACCTCCAGGTACTTGCCTACGAGCGTCCAGTTTCCACCACCATCGTACTCGTACAGCCAGTCATCGCCGAGTCCCGAGCGGCCAATACGCAGCTCGAAAAGGAAGCTTGCTGAAGCAGAAGACGAGGAGCGCAGGAAGCGTGGGTAGGTAACGGAGCCAAAGTAAGTTGTTTTGTTGAGCGATTCGGTACCGGGGAGGTAGTCCTGTGATACCAATCACAAAGGCGGCGAGAGCAAAGTTAGACGAACAAAATGAAAATATTAAATGGGAAGATGAGAAGAGGAAAAAGGGGAGGGGGAGGGGACACGCACGAGCGTAGCACCGAAGAGGTCGGCGGACCAAGGCGTCGAGGCAGGGTCTGTGGCCGTGCGAGCTTTGGAGGCACGGTACTTGAGCACGTTGTCGTGGTGATCGAAGCTAAGATGTACAGTGCCGTCACTCGGGGCGACACCGAGGGAAATTCTGGGGTGAGGGCATTATTTTATCAGCGTATGAGAGCATAATGCGTCGACGAAGTCTAAGAAGTAAATTGAAAACAGACGCACATATCATGGCCATCGTCTTCTGTCTGGTTATAGTCCGTAAAGGTGAACGTCTCCCAGGTGGGATCCGATGCATTGACAGAGGCGGAGAGTGTCTGGCGCGAGAGAGATGGATGGCGTACGGACGCGTTAGCGGCGTCTGTGGTCCAAAATGCGGCATACTGGTAGCCTGAAGGTGGTGATGAGATGAAGGAGCAAGCGAGAAGAGGGCTGGACGCGTACCGTTGAAAGTGACGAGCGCGTCCTGCTGGAAGGACTCGCCATTGAGACGGTTTACGGTCTGCGGGTCTGAGCCGAGCGTGGAGTTGGCCACGACACGGACTGCGCTGGCCGCGGACGCCGTGCATAGCAAGACAGCGACGAGCGAGTGAGCAACGGACTGCATAGGGTCAGCTCAAGCTCGGAGGTGCTGGAAAAGACGCGAAAATCGCGGGGGTGCATGAGTGCAATTTATTTATTTGACGCAAGTATTCGCGAGGGGTGCTGGGGAAGGCGCACGGGGCCAGGAAGGCCATCGAGTGCGGGCCGCTGCTCGACGGTCTGGCACGGTCATGTGTGCGAGCGCGTCCCCATCACGTGCTGTCACTGGCGGGCGGTTTGACCTTCGCAAGTGCTAGGGGTCCTAGGGTTTGGGCAGTCTTTGTCGCGTCAGCGGCGAGACTTTGAATAGCTTCACCTCTCTTGCCAGCAAACACCATCCGTACGAACTGGATACAGTTGCATTGTCCCTGCCACTCTCTGAGGTTAACATATATCCAATCTTTTATCCGCTTGGGCACTGATGATTCGACAGCTCATCCACTTAGACCATCGGCCCCAGCAACCATGATAGACAGTCAATCCCTTCATTCGCGACGTGAAGCAATTGATTCTGAGATCCGCGCATTGAAAGCGCGCTTAGCCATACTCAAATCTCAACGGAACACCGTAGCTCTTATATCTCAGCTCCCGACCGAGATTCTCACACACATCCTATCATTGCTCCGTCTAGACGGCCGGCATGATTCGTCCAGATTGAAAGCTACACATGTCTGCCGACGTTGGAGAGAAGTCGCTCTTGCCTGCCCATATCTTTGGTCTGAGGTCACGTCTCTCCGACGCCTTAACGGTATATTGGAACTAATCCGCCGAGCGAAGAACGTTGACCTCACTTTTGACATCGACGAGACCTTTCCGACAACAAACGTCATACTGGGCCAATTGGTGACACATATCGGTCGTACCCAAACGCTGAAGCTCGAAATCGACTACCGTAACTGGAGATGGTGCAACTCTCTTCTGATGTCAAAGCCAGCTCCGGCTTTGCAATCGCTCCAACTGGTGTCCACAACGGACATCGAGTACCAGCTTCCCTCAGATATGTTCATGGGCACTTGTCCACCTTTACGCTCGCTATCCTTGAGACGATGCTTCGTCAATTTTTCCTCCCCTCTGTTCCATTGCGAGCTGACACATTTAACATTGATCGACATTTGTGCCTTTGTTGATGAAGAAAATGGGTTCACGAAAAATTACACGACAGAGCTTCTCAATGCCCTCAGAGAGTTGCCATGTCTACTTGAATTGCACATATCGCGGCCGTCGCCGCCGTGGGTTGTTGTCGATAGCAACCTTGCCAGTCACGCCACCATTCCCTTACCTCACCTGAAGCTCCTGTACCTCGAGGCCCATGTCAACTACTGCAGCGGATTGGTGTCCCACTTTGTCCTCCCTTACTTCACTCGTCTGAAGCTCAGTTCAGAACTGTGGGAGACAATACCCCCAATAGAAGCAACCGTCGAGAACGCCGCTGTAGCTGCTGCGACCCAATTTCTACGACAATACATCGGGAACCTGGCTGGAGACACCAGAGTTGCTTCTGTTTGCTTTACAGACGGTTACCAACGTCAAGCCCCCGGGGCTACTCTCAATATCTCGCCCGTAGACCCATCGTCTGACCTGTTTAACCACAATTCGGTGTCCTCGTTACCGGGTAGTCTGGAAATTTACCTGACTGGTGAGTCGCACTCACTTGGACAGGCTATTTTCCGAGCATTGGGTGCTATACTTCCCCTTCACGAAATGCGTTCCTGTTCTCTCGCTGGGTACTTCAACCATGCGGAAGCAGACTGGTACCCCCTCATACAGCAGTCGAAGAACGTAACGACGTTGGTAGTAGGCGGAAACATGGTGGATGGCTTTGCGAAGGCGCTAGCAACGCTATCCCAGCAGGACCATACCGTGCGTCCTTATCCTCGGCTTCGGCATCTGCGCATAGAAAATGCCGCATTTGTTCGTGGCAGCCCGGAGTCATTCTGCAGCGCACTGTGTGCAGGTTTTGACGACGGCCGCTCACTGGCCTTGTCGCTCCGATCATGCTCGATCAAGGAAGCTCACATCAGAGTCTTAAAGCGTCACTTTACGTCCGTAAAATGGGACGGATCGGAAAGCGGAGAGAGATGGGGACGAGATACAGACGAGGGCAATGAGTAAATACTATATATGCGCACCAGTCACCCAGTCACTGACCAGCTGAATGTCTGATTGTGTCATGATTCCATCACGCATGCTTCATGTCGAAGATCGTATGGAGCATATCCTCCGCTTGTCGCTCTTGTTCCTCCTTTTGTACTCTTCCATGCATGTACTGCCTCTTCGGCACACTCTATGCCTCTTATCGTTTACCGGTCAGCGAAAACATCTCGTGATAGTAGCAACTTCATAAAAGATAGATAGAGGAGACTTGTGCGCCTTGTACCTGAAATCCGCAAGCTGCAATTGTTCTGGGACAGGACGGAGGAGGAGGTCGCTCAAACGACACTGCTGCAGTCCTGCACGGCAGCGAAAAAGTCGCTCCTTTTACTTGAGGTTTTCGAACAGCCCGCAAATTGCGGTGAACTGGGATGAGTGCGAGATTTCACGCAGGGGTGCAGCGCCAGTGTGTCGGTCAGATGTGCGAGCGCGCGCCGACCGGGCTTTCCAAGCATCCCTGCATCATTCCCTTGCCTCTCCCCACCACCGACGTCGCCCACCATGTCCTCCTTCGCGCTTTCCACTCCCATCAACACCGCCCTCGTCCTCTACATCGTCTACTATGTCCAGCGTGTCATCTTCCCCCGCACCTCCATTCCCAAAGAGGCCCCCGCAGAGTTCAAGGCCGGCTACTCCTGGATGCCCAAGGCGCACCCCCCGACTCTCCTCTTCACCACGTATACCCCAAATACCCTCGAGCCCTTCAGTGGACGCGACGGCGGCCGCATCCTGTTGGCTATCGCCGGCACAGTGTTTGACGTGACTGCGGGGAGGAACTTCTACGGGCCCGGTGCGTCATGCGCCCATCACCGCTTGAGTCGAGCTGTGGTGAATTGACGTGGCGTAGACGGCATGTATGGCAACTTTGCAGGCCGCGACGCCTCGCGCGGCATGGCCAAGCAGTCCTTCGATATCGGTGCGCGCCCTTTCCCCCTCTTTCGGACAATCGACGCCCGACGTGCTGACTCACTCACCCCGCGGATCCTTGTAGAAATGCTCACTCCCATCGACCAACCTCTCGACAAGCTCGAAGACCTCACGCCTGACGAGATGTGCGTCCTTTTCTCTTCTCGTCTCGTTTCCGTCTCGCTCCATTACAGTCCGCCCCGCCATGTGGCTTCGTGTAAATCCCTTTGCCCCGCTGCTTGGCTGACCAGCGTCCCTGTGCATCCGTTCCAGCGAGAACATGAAGGGCTGGATCGACCACTTCTCGAACAAGTATATCATCTGTGGCCGCCTCGTCGAGAATGACGCCGTTTGAGCTCTGAGTAAGCTACATCCAGGTGCGTGAGCGGGCGCTCAACCCTCCAAACCCCTCGCCCTCCTCGTTACTCTGGTGCTGACGTGTGCAACAGTAAGACCAAGAAGCGTTGGTGTCGTGTAATCATGTCAAGCATCTGCTCGCTTCTGGATCGTCCGTTCTGTCTACACATGTGTATCTCGTCGTCGTTGTTGTCTCTGCTTTTTTGGATCGTTATGCATATAGAAGTTATGTCTTGCTTTTTATCTGTCTGCCAGCGCATTCTGTCTCCACGTCCTAGGGTGTCTGTCGCAGCCGTTGGGTGACCACGTACTAGGACAAAGAGATGGGAGCCGCCAGCACGGCTCGGCATCCCCCGCTCATAATCGCTTGGTCATCACATCCCTCAGAGCCCTGACGTTGAAGACTCTTCAGCACCGTGTCAAGAATCAAGATGCAGACGCTCTGCAGTCGTGCAACTGGGAACAGCCACTCCGAATCAACTCGTTATGAATCGTCGGCGGACCGGCGAAATCGGGACCTAAGAGTCGTCCATCTTGTTCTTCTTTCCTCATATCAGCTTCCGGATTGCGGCATACTGGACAGGGTCGCTTGACAGCCTGGGTATATACTGTATGCACGACTTATGCCCTATTTTTTTTTAGTCATGGGTAGCAGAACGCATTGCGAGGTCGTGCGTTTTTCCGAGAACGGGAAAGCCTAGGAAAGCCCTTGTATTTCGCCTAGCTGCCTTCCATATTCGGTGATCCGCTTCATTGTTGTCAGTGCATATTTTATCAAGTAAAGGCACGCCCGTTCGACGGGGTCCTGAATCCTATCAACGTGCGATGTTGGATCGATCTTGACACAGGATCGCACTGCTCCTTATCCCAGTTGAGTAAGACTGTTGATTGCTTCTGGCTATTGGCGCTGCATCACCGACATGCTGCGACGGTCAACCCTGTTGCTATGTGGTTGTGGCAGACGTCTGACATTTGACTAACTCGGTAAGCAGGCGCGCACGTATGCGATTCTTGTAGGTGCTTGTATTATGCTACTGGCAGTGCGCACGACGACGTTGTACTCTGCCCCACAGGCCTTAGCGTCAGGGCACACCGCCGCTTTGTGCTTTGCTTGACGTGGGTGCCATCAGGAAGCAGGGCGTGGAGGTCATAGGGCTCAGCTTTGCGCCTGGAGAACTACGACTTTCTTGGACGAGGCCTCCTTGTCGAGCATGGCCATAAATACGACAATGTCGTGCGGGGTCTCATCATTCACAACTTTCTTTTCTTTCTGGTAAAGTATACATCGCGTTGACGCTGCGATGTCTTCCGACCCTTCTGGTTCATTTACTCCTGTGGATTTCGAATCCAAGACGTTCTCGGGCACGGGTATCGAGGCTGGTCCAGGCTGGGATACGTCTGGGACGGTTTCTTATAATCTGCCATCGGATCTCGCGCTCCCGCCGCCTGAGGTGCCCTCGCTGGGAAGGTGTGTGTCGAATCGCTTTATTGATCTGCATATGTGCTGATCGCGTGCTTGCACTAGCGGGCACAATGAACATACACTGGCGAATTGGCCATTCGATGCCTTTAGCACGGAGAAGGCCACTTATAAAAGTAGCATGGACCCTCCTCCGCCCCCGTACGCATTTGATATATCGACAATCATAACCTGCATGCTGAACGCGCTCGTGCAGGTTTATATTTCCGAACGACTCGTCATCGTGGTATAGAGAGACGGTCAACTTTCCCTCAGCTTCTTCCTCACCAATGCATGGGGGCGCGACGGGGTCATCGACGCCTTACGACTCAGACGTGAGCAGCCTAGAAGCTTTGCCCTTGCCTCCTTTCCGCGCCTTTCCCTCGTATCCTCCCCTTGAGCCCAGCTCTACTGCAGACTCTCGATTCAGTCATGCAGGTGCGACCTTATCAGATTCCGTTTGCGTGCGCTCCGCTGACAAAATGAGCTTACAATTTTAGAGTCATATATGAGGGCGACGCATGGGTTGGAGCAGCTTGGTATCGGGTCTGCGTCTGCAGCTACAGTCAATGACAAGTACGGGTATGCGCCTCCATGTATGTCTCGATTCCTTATGAGTCTCTTTCTCAATTCTGACCGCGTTCATCACGCGCCCTCGTGCCAGCCGCCTCTGAACGCGCCTCGTCTTCCTACTTCAGATCTCACACAGCATCAGCCCCGTATGATCCCATATATCTGGACTCCTCGGTTCCGCCACAAGATGGTCCGCCACTGCCCAAACGAGAGCCGACGCAGCCTCCAGCGTCGCCCATCGAGTACAAGTTCACGCGGGAGTGGACAGCGCCCCCCGTGGAGATGCCTTCGAACGACCACCGCGAAGTGCAGAGCGCGCCGCCCGAGACGGTCGTGTCGCGGAGGAAGGGGAAGCGCAAGGCGGAGGACCTCGACGAGTCTGGGGATGCGGCGGCGTCGGGGCCAAGCTCCGCGATGCTGGCGGACCCGAAGGCACTTAGGGAGGTGAAGGCCGAGCGCGCGCGCGTCCGGCGGAGCGGGGAGAAGAGGTCTGTGGATGCGCTTCGTGAGGCGTTGGCTGAGTTTCTCAGCGCCAAGCAAGTCACGGGGCACGTAACGAAGCAAAAATTGGAAGCCTATGGTGCGTGCATGAGCCTGTGTTGTCGCTGCCGTCATGCTCGGAGGCTCATGAGATCGTTTCGTTTTGAGCTGTTGAATATATCCAGTACCTGAGGCAAGCTAATTTGGCATGGGAGACAGAAAAGGCCTACCGAGAGAAGTTCCTCCGGGATGCGTTAAGTGGCTTTTTGCCGCCGGGACTGGAACAGAGTCTTGATGAATTTGGTGCGACGCAGCGTCTCGTTCGAGTATCATTGGAAACTGACAATGGGCCCAGCTGCCGATCTGATTAAACGCCAACGAAGGGAAATAGACGAGTTGAGGGAGCAATTACTAGATCAGCGGATATTGAACCAAGATCCTCAAGATGCCGAATCAGTGCGGGACACGATCCTGCGCTATCGGGGTCGGATAATGGAATTGCAGGAGAGGCTAGGGAGGTAGAGGAAGGAACCTTGAGCTAAAATATTTGCTTAGCATCATCAGGGTTATGATGCATGGTCTTCACTGGATTCTTAGTATCACTGTACAGACAAGTGCGCAGCAGTTGTACGCCAAAGCCTTGGACAGGCCAACGCGCTTAATGGTTAGAAATATATTCACCGGGATAGAATGACAAATGCATCTGCCAACATTTCGAAACCCCTCTAGTCAGCTGAGGTGACGCCATCCTCAGGGTGTCTCAAGAAGCGAATCCGGCGCTCACGATTGGGCTCTTGAGCCGAAGGATCTTGGCATCCACACGTCTTTCGAGTTCGTCAGATCGTTTGAAATCTTCTTCCGCTTCAGCAAGGCGAGAGTTTCGGCAGTGACAGCGTCCCCTTAGTGTCCCCTTGCGCTTTCGTCATTGGTTCGTGAGACCGTTCTGAGTCCCAATCAGCGTGCGTCATGGGGGAAATCACGGTCACGCACTTTTTATACCCAGATGCTTCTCGGCTCAAGCAGCGAACCGAGCACTGGACATCTTCGTGAATCCTTCTGATGGGGATGATGCAGAGATTAAGAGGATGCAAGGAGACTAGTGGTCAAGTCAAGGCATATCTCTTGAGCAGTCGTAGACCGGTATAAACATCTCTTCGTTCTCTGAAGAGGACACAGCGTAGTCGATATGGCCAACGATGTTTATCGGATTCGCAGATGCTGCAAATCGCACGACTCTTGACGAAGTGTTGTAGATGAGATGGGAGGCGCCTGATACTCGCTATATGGACACGGGATATTCAATAGGCACCGCAAGCAAAAGCGAGATTGAGCATGCAGATCGATTGTGACCGTTATGATGACTAGAGAATTAGCATAGATGGTCATAGCATACAAACAATCGACGCCGAAGAGAACAACTCACAATAAACCGACAGCTTAGTTACAGCGGTCGACACGTCTCAGCAGGTCTGCAAGCACGGTTAGAAGAAAGACAGGGCGCTTGTTTCTTTCCACCTTTCGATACCGTCGAAAGCCCATCCAAGACCATGTTAGCACCCATTGTGATGGAGAGGTGCAGACAATAAGTAGCTTATTGCGATGGAGTCGGCCGATGAATTTTACCATATGATTGCACCCCGCGCTCACAGAGTTGAGAGTTAGCTATCCGGACTGCGGCTGATACAGTCGCGGACAAGCAAAGTCGACAAATTTCGACACCCATTTCTAGGGCTTCCCGGTTACACCGGAATCGATAGCAATGCTTGAGTAGATGTCGTGGAAATATTTTGAGTAAAATCCTACGAGCCGTTAGTCCAGAAAAGGTAAATTTTTGACCCGGAAACCTCCAAAAATTGGCTGACCCCACGAAAAAGGTCTATAAATCATGTAAAATACACCAATCGACTCCTTTCAATGAGTACTGTATGAATCCATCAAAAAACTTGCTAAAAATACCTATATTTTATCGCCAAAAAAATTGTCAAGGTGATGTGCATATGGGCTAAGTGCTTGCTGGTGTGCTCAATTGAGAATGAGCATTGCTGCATGGCTCGTCTTCTCTCAAACCAGGCCGGTGTCAAGAATCAAGTCTCCCTTCTTGAACAGTAGATTACCGCTCACGGTCACATCTGTATGTTTCTCCCAAAATTCCATTGTGAGCTCAACCCAATTGAGATGATGAGTAAACTGCTTATTCTGCCATTTTCAATTTTATTTCTCTCTGTTTATTGATTCCCTTTTTTTGGAAATACTGGGGTTTTGTTAAGTACAGGTATTGTGAAGTCTGTAAGGAGAGGTTTGATGACGCGAAGAAGCATGCGCTTGTATGCCTCGACAATTGTCCTGTTGAGGTCATTTGTCACTTCTTCAATTGCTCGTGGCATTTTATAGATGCATATCGCAGAGGGTTGACCAGGAAGGTGGTAGAATGAGCTATTCGCAAGCAGAAAAGTCATCGCACTGTTTCTCAAGGTGCGATGATGAGCATCGAGGCAGTTCTCAACTAGTTTACTTCACATGGTGTCACATGTATCTTTTTTGGGGCATCTAGCGCCCGTAAAACCTCGCCAAAAAATTGGCGGGTCCCAATTTCTCGTGGGAAAATCCTCAAAGGGGCGTTTTTAGACGTCTTTTGACTTCCTGAGTCTGAATCTGCAGTCAGATTTCGTAAATTTTAGGCGCGTCAGCCGCTACAATTGTTTTTCTTTTTTGTCGACTTTGCTTGTCCGCGACTGTACAAGTTTCGAGACTTACCAAAGAGCTATGAAACCTTTAACTCATAATATCGATACATACCAGCAAACATGGAAATGATCGGCCAGCGAGGTGATGAGCCCAGCACCCTCCAAATGCGGTGTTGAGGGTAGCTCCCGCAGCCGCAAGACCTCCACTTCCACGATTGCGGACGACATTCCAATTTCACCGAGCACCCACTGCGCGCGAATTGCCGCTGTCGAGGAGGACCGGAGTTGAAAGTCATTTCCCAGCACGTGATGTGGATCGAGCTCGCGTCGATGGGCCAGAAGCACGCTCAGAAGCACAAGTCAAGCGTCAACGTCGCAAGGCACGTCGACGGCCAAACCAAGTCCCGCTGGAATTGTTCAGGTACCCCTGCGCTTCCACCGCCTGGACAAACAGAAGGAAAAGCTTGTGGCCAGTTGGCGGATCGCCCTGGCCGACATGAAGACCGACCACCGAGCCCTACGCCGACGCCGACGCCCGCCGCCGACCGAGTGGACGATGCGGATTTGCGCAAGTGTCACGATGTGGGTTAGCGTCGACACGTGATGTCAACGCGTCGTCCCGTTGCGGCCTCCCAGTCGCGTTTGGAGAGACCGTGCCCGCGTGCGCCGAGCCGAGCAGGATTCCAGCGCGACAGCGTACGCACCAAATCGAGACGGGGCTCTCCACTCGTCATTCTCGCCCCCAACCGTATCGGGCGACGCGCAAGCCCTCCCGCCAGCCCTCCCGCGGCCGTATAAAAGGCGGGCAGGCCCCGCTCGTCCGTCCCTCTCCCAGTTCTCTAGCGCCCCCGCTTCTGACCCTTCCAGCAACAACACACCCCTACCCTACCCACACCGGACTACTATCCACACACGCCCACTATGTTCTCTCGCATCTCCGCCGTCTCCGCCGTCTCCTTCCTCACCCTCGCCGTCGTCGTCTCGGCCGGCCCCTGGGGCTCCATGAAGCCCGAGTACAAGCCCGTCCCCGCACCCGTCCCAACCCCCGAGTACACCGCCGCTCCTGCGTACACCACCACGCCCTACAAGGACGACTACAAGGAGCCCGAGTACCCGAAGACCACCGCCTACGCGCCCGCATACCCCAAGGACGACTACCCATCCCCCGCGTACCCCACGGACGACTACTCCTCCCAGGAGTACCCCAAGGACGACTACAAGTACCCCGAGCCTGTCAAGGACGAGTACGAGCCGAAAAAAGAAGAGTACAAGTCCGACTACTTGGACGACTACCGGCGGCGCGACTATGCCCCAGAGCCTCCCAAGGGCTACCCCGTCAACGACAAGCCCTACGCGGATCCCAAGAAGGAGTACGACCCCAAGAAGGAGTATGACCCGAAGAAGCCGTACGATCCCAAGAAGGAGTATGACCCGAAGAAGCCGTACGATCCCAAGAAGGAGTACGACCCCAAGAAGGAGTACGACCCGAAGGACAAGGACTACAAGTCGGTCAAGGACGTGAAGGACGAGTACGCGCACGACATCTACAACGAGGAGGAGCACAAGATGCAGTGCAACTCGGGCCCTGTCCAGTGCTGCAACACGGTTGAGGAGGCGAGTATCTGACCGCGTTCTTACCCGTTTGTGTCTGACTCGTCTGCCCGTGTTAATCCTCAGGCGCGCTCGGAGGGTGCTGCTAAGGCTCTTGGTCTCCTCGGCATCGTCCTGAACGACTTGAACACTCCCATCGGACTCAACTGCGACTCACTTAACGCTGCGGGCTTTGGATCGGGATCCAACTGCGTATCACAAACCGTCTGCTGCGACCGGACTGAGTTTGTGAGTGTTGACCATGATGAGTCGGGACGTTCCTCACCGTGATTTTCACAGGGCGGGCTGGGTATCAACTGCAGCCCTATCAACATCGTTCTCTGAGCGAGAAGTCGAGTCGTCGAGGGCGAGAGAGCGTTGGTACATTTTTATCTATATTATTCTGTCCTCGTCTGTCATTACATTGGAAGCTTCGCCGATGGCTTGTCGGTGGCATGGTGAATGTAGTGATTCCCATGCGCGGCATCTGTCTCGAGACGTGAGAGTGAAACACAGGCAGCGCACGCCCAGGGAAGTAAGTTGCGAATTTGGATAACTCATATCTCTGCATTGGGAACTCTATAAGATTAATTTCGAGGCGCCGCCCGTCGAGGGGTTTGATGCATTGTTGGTGATCCGTGTTCCTGAGACGCTGCTTGTCTTGCATGGAAGCAGGAAAGACGTACCCGTACTGCCGGTACCGCCGAGATCAGCGCTCCAGGTTCCGCACAAGGAGATATGAGTGCCAGACTCCGCGGAATGGAAGTGAGCTGCGCGAGGCAGCGGGGCGACGGAGTGGATTCCTGATGCATCGAATCAGTAGATCGGATTCTGCTTGGACGAAGTTTCCGCGCGTCAGCACGTCGTGGAGTTACTCACCTCACCGGGGACGGCGCACGATAGCTCCGGGCGGATGTAAACAGGACGGGCGGAGGCATCTTTGTCTTGGCTGCGGACGCGGGGGACGGGTCGGTGCGTGGAGACGGGAGGATGGGGATGAGGATGAGGGCGGGGATGAGGGCGGGGAGTTTCCAGTTGCGGAAGGTGCCGCGCGTGCCGTCTATCGTGGCGGCGACGGCGGGAGGGTGTGATGGGGCGATGGGGTGATGGGGCGATGGGGCGATGGAGCGTGGTGCGCGCGCGTTGCGAAGGGTGGGTGGGTGAGACGGTCGTGGTGCGCGTCGTGCGGCTGTGGCTGTTGTCTGTCCCTGTCCGTTTGCAGCCTTCCATGCGTGTGCGTGTGCGTGTGCGTGGCGATTGGAGGAAGAGGGGAGGTGGGGCCGGCGCGGGACGTGCGGGGACGTGCGTGCGGGAAGCGAGCGGTGTTTGTCTGAGATGAGGGCGATTGGATGCGTGGGTGGGCGCCGGGATGCGGGATGCGACGGGCGACGGGGCTAGCAGTTGGGAGGGTGGCACGGGGGGGGGGGGGGGGGGGGCGAGGAGGAGGGGCGAGCGGCAGACGCGCACCGGCCGAGCGCACCGTGCTCGGCGCGCCTCTGCGGTGCTTCGGTATCCTTGGGGACTTCGGTCTGCAGAGGCGCGCCGGCGAAACGCGTCGTGCTGTCCGCTGAGTCGTCGAGTGTGAGGCTGCCGCTGCCGCTGAGCGCTGAGCGCTGAGCGAGCGGGGAGGGGGAGGCCTTCCACGCCTGCCAGGGATTCGGATTCGGCGGCGCGCTATGCGGATGCAGATAAGTAGTGAGTGCTGTAGTGGTATGTATTGTGAGCTGCGCGAGGCACGCGCACTACGAGAAAGTCCGGCGCGTGTGGGGCGCTGGATTGACTATCCCAAAGGAGACGGCAAAGACGACGGGAAGGGGTGCTGAAGGGGTTTCCGATCATCATTAAGGTTCCATTCATCGGTGTCGACGGGGAGGCGCGCACCGTGCATGGCGCGCTATGCTGTAGCGGGTCTGGGAAATTGGAATAGATGACGGGGCCGCCGTGCGCTACGCTGCTGTCGTCGCGGGCTGTCGTGGAGGAGTGGAAGGCGGCCCAACGCCCCGCTGCCAGATAGTCGACTGTCCCGTCTGTTCCGCCTGTCCCGTCTGTTCCGCCTGTCCCGTCCTATGTCCGTCCGTCGAGCGAGCGTTGAGGGGATTCCGCGTTGTCGGCGGTCGCCGTGACGAGGAAGAGACGATCGACAGCTGCACTAGCATGTATCCCGACCCGGCGCCGCGGACGACGAAAGGGCCGGACAGAACTCGGTAACAGACGAGGGATTCGGTCGGACGGGCTTGGCATTTGGATATTGGATATTGAAGCGCAGAATTTATCACGCCTGCAGCGAGCCCCTGCACGACTTGAATCGGTGGCAGTGGCGAGCGGATGTGGATACATGAGCGCGCCACCACTGTACCTCCAATAACAATAGAGTGCACGTCGTCGTCGGAGGCAGATGCGACGGCGCGACGGCGCGTGCCGGGCTGGCAGGGGCCGCAGAGACGGGATCGCTCGCCATCGCCGTCGCCGTCGCCCGCCGACGTTCTTCTGTTTCTGTTCGCGCTGCCTCTGCCCCTCTGTATTGGCCTTCCGGAGCCGGGCCCTGTGCCATGGCCCAGCGCGCGCCCTCGCCATCACGTCCCCCCGCTCTGTTATCGTTCCTATATATACCCCGAGGCCTCCCGCGTGCGCACCGCTTGGCTTCTCTCCAGACGATCACGCGTGCACGCTCACGTATCCTCGTCTCGTCGCTGGCCCTGACAGCGGCCCTCCCTCGCGTGCGTTGCGCCTGCGTCCCTCCCCCGCGAGCACCCGGTCGCACGAGCAGCCTCTCGCCTCGCCGCTGCCTCGCTCGATCGCCCACGCGCGTCCGGCCGATACGCCCTCGCCGCGTCGCCCCCCCAGCAGCCCTTCCTCCTGACCAGCAAGCAGCGTCCGAACAGGTACAAGCATGAGCTATCCACAACAGGCGTCGCATGAGGCCGAGACGGGGCCCGCGTCCGACGCGCCGCCTGCGCCTGCGTCTGCGTCTGCGTCTGCGTCTGCTTCTCCCCACACGCTTCGCCACACGCAGGTGTATGCGCCTTTCACCCCGCCCCCGCCCCCGCCTCCGCCCCCGCCCCTCACCTCGTCGCCGTCGCCGCCCACGCCCACGCCCACGCACGAGCACGCCGCAACGCCGCACCAGCCCAGCCCACCCCCCGATCCTCCCCGCCCACAGGCCCAACAGCCATCCCCATCCCCCGCACGACCACAGTCCTCCTTCCAGCCCCAGTCGCAGTCGCAAGCGCAAGCCAGCATCCTCGTCCATCCGCAACCGCACTTCCTTCCCCACCAGATGCAGCGCGACCTCCCCTCCCCACCTCCGCACTCGTCCCCATCCCCACAGCAGCCCGCCCCCGCCCCCGCACAGCCCGCCCCCGCACAGCCCCCGCCCGGGCCCATCCCCCTCGCCCTGCACTCCCCATACTCCGTCGCCGCGGCCGCGGCCGCGACCCAGTCGCACTCCCCGCACCGGTCTCCGCACCAGTCCCTCACGCACGCGACCCCGCCCGGCTCGGCGCCGCCCAATCGCGGGAGCTACCGCCGCTCGCAGTCGCAGTCGCCGCACGCGCCGCAGGAGCACGCGCGCGGGCCGAGCAGCGCGGCGCCGACGGTGCTCGCGCTTGCGCGGCCGAGGCCCGCGCACACGCGGAGTCTGCCGACGCAGGGGCTGGGGCAGGAGGGCGGGTACGAGCGGGACCTCGGCGACGACGACGCGGGGGTTGCGGGCGTGGGGGCGGGGAGGGGCGCGGGGGGCGGGTATGGCGTGGGGAACGGGTATGCGGCGGGGAACGGGTATGGCGTGGGGAGTGGGTATGGCGGGGCGCCTGGGGGCGTCGGTGCGAAGCCTGTGTCGTGGGAGGGCGGGGGGCTGCCCAGCGCGGGTGGGTACTCGGAGGGGCGGGCCGGGGCGGGGATGGGCGGGGTGGGCTGGATCGTGCCGCCAGCGGAGGAGAAGCGTGTGGTGAGTGGCTGCTCGTGCGACGCCGGCGTGGATGCACGTGCTGAGGGGAGTGTTGGTGACAACAGCGCCGGGAGATGACCGTCGGCGAACGGCTGGGGCCCACGATCGCGGCCGCCGAGACGGAGCGCGACAAGGCGGCGTTCAAGGGTGCGTCGTCCAACCGCGACTCGATCTCTCTGGGCACGTGTGCTGACGAACGCGGGCGGGGACAGCAAAGTGGACGGGCTACACGCTGAATGCGGCCATCGGGGTGCAGGTGCTCCTCGGCGCGCTCACCACCGGGCTCGGCGCCGCGCTCACGGGAAAGCAGGTGCGCCCGCAGCAGATCCGCCCCCGCCGATTGACAGACAGGCTGACACTTGCTGTTCGCTTCCGCCTCGCGCGCTGATCGATCTGCGGCGCTAGACCTCGGTCGCAATATCCATCCTCGGTCCGCCGCTTCCCTCTCCCGTCGTCGTGGCTCGTCGCTCGTGGCTGACGCACGCTCCCCTTTGGCGTATCAGGTGGCGCGTCGACCCTCGTCGCGTCGTATCTCGCGCGCGCCCGCGGCTCCAACGAGCCGGAGAACAGCCTCCAGCGCGCGAAGGAGCTCGACCACTTCATCCGCGAGGCCCGCGCGTTCGAGCTCGACCACGGCCACGCCGTCGGCGCCGCCTTTGACCGCGAGCTCAACTCGTTTCGGCACACCCTCGAGGCCATGCTCGGCAGCAACGACGTCGGCATCGCCGAGGACGAGGGCGGCAGGTGAGTTTGCTCGGTTCGGGTCGTGCTGCCCGCGCTTGCGGCTGACGGTGCGCGCGTGCGTGCGTGCGTGCGTGCGTGCAGGTCGGCGAACGGGAATCGCTCGTCCCATGCGAATCATGATCGTGGCAACGAAAAGATGGGCTTGCCGGTGTGATCACAAATCCCGGCCTCGAAAATCACATCCATCGGGCGACCGACATGCCCCCGCTGCAACACACAGCACACAGCCGACATACCCCCATCCTCGCCTTGCCTTGCCTCGCCTCGCCTTGCCTCTACTCTCCCCCGATCCGCCACACGCTCTCCATGCTTGCCCAGGCTTTCCTTCTTTCTATCATCACGCCGCATCTGTCACGCCATGCCCACACACGTCCGCCACCCGCCTCTCACGCACGTCCCCCTTCTTCGATTTCGCATTTTCTTTTCTTTTAGAGTAATATTATACGCCTCCTGCCTGCCTTCTTTTTTCCTCCCGCTCGCCGTGTCCGCGTGCTCATGCGCGTCTCCTTGCCTGTGCGAGTCGCCTGCCGTATCTTACTATTACTACTGCGCCCTGTATCCTATCGCGTGTCCGGTTCGGAATGCCTATGTGGCTGCTTTGACATGTTCGCTGTTCGTTTGTTTATTTGTTTGTTTGTTGCTCTTTTCTCGCTTTCTTTTTCGTTAGCGGTTTGTGCTCGGGTCGCGTTGGGCCTTTTTTTTTTTTTCTGTTGTGCTTTTTTATACCTTTGCAATGTGAGGGTGTGCGTGGCTTTGCGTTGATCTGAGCTGGGCTGAGCTGAGCTGAGCTGAGCTGAGCTGAGCTGAGCTGAGCTGAGCTGAGCTGAGCTGAGCTGAGGAGAGGATCGGTCGTGCGTGCGTGCGTGGCTGCGATCTTTGTACGAAACGAGGGTTCGTGGTCGATGTCGACGTCGGGCTGCGGAGCCATGCGAGATGCGAGGCCATACGATGCGTCACGCGACGCGCTGAGATCGGTATCGCGAACGGCGTGCGTGCATAGGCGACAGCGCCCCGCCGACGCCGACGCATCGTCGGTATCATCGGTATCATCGGTATCACGGCCCTGGCGAAGCCTCAGTCGCTGGCGTCCTGATGTGAGGTGATGCGATATGATGCGATCTTGGACGACGGGTTCGAGCGTTCGTTCCTCCCCGCCGTCACCGCCGTCGCCGCCGTCGCCGTCGTCGCCGTCGTGCTTCCAGAGAGACACGCTTGCGCGCCGCGTCGGGGTGTATGTGCGGGTGTGGTATGTGGAGGCGTTGTGGCGCGTCTTGGGGTGCGTCGTGTGGATCCTGCAGCGGAGCGCTGGAGCGCTGGAGCGTTGGAGCGTGCGGCTGCCTGCCTGCCTGCCTCGCGTCCACGCCGTGCGCGCGTTCCGAGCGGAGACTTCTGCGCACGGGGGGGGGGGGGGGGGGGGGGGGGTTCTGCGCCGGCTCGTTCTGATGCTGATAGCGATACAGTAGTAGTAGTAGTAGTAGTGGTAGTAGTGATCCTCGAAGCAGTCCTGAGAGTGTCGCCGGCGTGTCGCCGGTGCTGGCGGCGAGAGGGTGCGATCCAGGCGCGCGATCGGCTCTCATCTGCCTGCGCGGGAGAAGAGGGGTGTCTTCGGCGCGCGGGGGGTGAGCGATCTGGACGATCTGGGGTGTTTTTTGACGGTTGTGGAACGCGGGGCGCGGGGTGGGGTGGGTACGGGTGTTCCGCGCCCGTTCCGTGATTGTGCGGCCCAGGGAGTGGTGTGTAAGGGGACACGCGTGGGCGTGTCTGGCGCCGGGGCGCTTCGTGGCCGTCGTGGTGGGTCGTGGGGCTTCGTGGGGCTTCGTGGAGCCACGGAGGATTCGATCGGCACGATGGATGGGGGAGGGGGCGCGCGTGCGCGCGCCGATCGGGCTGTCGAAGGTGGGGCGGGCTGTTGCGCGGACGGTGGGCGAGGCTCGCGTCGGGTCTATCGCGGCACGGTGGGCGCAACCAGTCGTCGACCGCTGTGTCCGCGCGAGTGCGGGAGCGCCTGGGGACCTCGGCGGGCGACTGCGATGCGCTCGGGTCCGGGCGAACCGCGACGGTGACGGCGTTCGCGAGAGTGCCGCGGGATGGATGGGAGGCGAGGCCGGCTGTGATGCACGCGTGGGGTGTGCGGCCTGCAGGTGCCAGCGTTCTGCCGTGAGCGGGTGTGTGGAAGTCAGGTGTGGAAGCGAGGGTTGGCGCGGCTCTTGCGTGCCCACCCTGCCCTGGGAGGGCACTTGCTTCTCCTGGTATGGGAAACGCGAGACACGCGCGAGGCGTCCGGTTGCGGGGACGACTCCGATGGACTGGTGTCTACGAGCGCGATTTGGAGGCTTTGAGGTGATGTTAGGTGATGGAACGCGCGCGCGCGCGGGCGGCTGGTAGCGCAGTCGCTGCACGAGGCTTGCAATATAGTGTGCCCTATGACGTACCCACGGTATGAGATGGCACCTACCGCGTGAGGAGTCAAGGACGGTCGAACAGACGTGAATACGGCACCAGGCGTCTGCTTCCCTCGGTGCCGGGTGAGACGACTGCTCATGGAAGCGAGTCGCAGCGCGCTGGCAGACGAGCTCCGCGCGATTCGAGCAGGGCGACGCGCGGATTCGTTGAAGGCCGGATCGGAATCATGATTCCGTGAGGAAAGCACCCGGCGGGCGCGCGCAACAGCGCAACAAGGGAGCAGACATTCCAGCTCGGTGAGAGGGCACAGGTCACAGGGTGGGAATGAATGTACCCGACATGCAGCGATTTCCGGATCGAAAGCGCAGCTCTGTAGCGCTCATACTCATATTTTTGCGCTCGTCTCTGGGGGACCCAGCGCTGATCGATCTCCCTTTGACCGGATTGAGACGAGCCCACCTGGACCACCTGTGAGAGTTCGAGATCGTTGAGAGTTCTCACGGACTCTGGAAGGACGGACGATCGCGTCCGTCGATAGACCAAAGGTCGCACAAGACAAGAAGGATTTGCTGGAGACAGAACAGGTGGAGACTGGTTGAGTCGTGGAAAGTGACGTCCAGTTTGGTTCGGCAAACGCCGTAGACGAACTACTATCTTCCCTCGCCGCGCTGTCGCGCTTGTGGATTCCTTTGGTCTCGGCTATCTGAACCGCGAGCGTGGAACGCGATATGTTCTCTATGTTTGCAGCTATCTACAGGTGCCAAACCTGTCTCTCTGTCTCGATGGTGGCGAAATCGTCGCAGCTTGTCTCAATCACGGGCCGAAGCCCAAACAATTGTGAGTACCACTGGCCCGTGGGCCGTCATCGCCTTCACAATAAGCTATATATAATGCCCACCTCACCATCAAGCGCGAAGGAAGTTATATCATATCCTCACATACTTCTGACGAAATATCTTGGCCGTATGACATCCCAGCAGCGTCATCTTATTGTTTCTACAGGCCCATCATCTCAGGACCTCTGAACACTACCTGACTCGAAGGTTCGTGGGACTAGGTGTCCGCATGCCTCGTAGCTTGGCTTTTGCTGGTGTGGAAGCGGCACAGAAACGGTGCCGTATTCCTTTCCCTCAGTGACCGTGCTTGCAGACCTTTGTGCTGCGACCTGCTCGAACGCTGGAGCGCTGGCTGCTGTGAGTCTGTCGAGCATTGTAGATGCCGATCGATTGATGGTATGCTATGACCGTCTATGCTGATTGTTTTTTTTATATCTATCATAGCCGATCTCCAAGCTCAAGTCGAACTTTGCGTAGGGAAGAGCAGTCCGTGTATAAATAGTAAGTGTTGTCCGTCGGTATATTTACAATTCCTATTCTCTCCCATCTCACTTACAAGGCGTGGTCTCGTCAGCAGTCGCGCGTATTTTGCAGCATCTCAATCTATAAACACTGCTGTATGGCCATGTCGGAAAATCGACTATTTGAAGAGCCGCAGGGGTGCGTGCAGCAAGTGTGAGCCCGTTCCAGAGCTAACGCGACCTGGACTCGACTGGAGTCTTCGCCAGAGAATGGAGGAATGTATATACCACCCTTAGACTGCTCGAACGGTGTGTCTTGACTTGCGCGACGATCAGATTGCGCGCCCGAAAATGTCACATCGTCTGCACCAGAGGCATTTTCGAAGATGACGGTTCAAGAATTTGGTGTCTGGGTCGACAATTACGCCACCCATTTCGGGCTCAAGGGTGCGTGATCCTGATTTACTCCGATCCATCTCATGGCGCGCCCTGATCGGTCCTCAGATCCTCTTCAACCGATGGTGACGATGGAGGAGTTCGATACCTTCCTCAATGAGGTACAGGCAGATCTCGAACGAGCCGAAGAATGCGTGAGACGCCAACATCTCAGGCGTGAGCGCGAACGCCGGACTCGCAGGACCTCAGCGGACTTGAGGATATTTCGGAATGTTGGCGGACATTGACTATCGATTAATCACGAGCGTGTCGGCAGCATAGCATTCGAATAATACAAGCACTTCTATGTATCTGCTGAGTCCTGACGGCCTGACGGACCGCGTAAGGAACCCATGCTAGTGAAGGGTGGTCAAACGGATGCGAATCTATAGCAACAGGACAGTTCCTGCTAGAACCCGTTGCGTCCTTCGCTGGACAAGGCCTTTCTGAAACGGGTCACAGGCAGAAAATGATCCAAAGATCGGCTCAATTCAAGTGTTGATAAACAGATTTGTGAGCTTGTGAGGTCCAAATCATACCTACGCGCCCACATCAAAAGAGAGGATGTGGTAGGCACTTACCCGCATACAAGCTTTTCAGAACGGCGAGTCTGATTGCAGATCATCTGAGCGCTGTCCCAGGCTGGTCCTCTGTCCGACCGGCGACCATCTGCGAAAAAGCGGATGATCTCGGCAAATAGATAGATGAAGAATCGCGCCAGACAAGACGGAATCACCGAAGATATGGTGAGTGACCTCAGTGTAAGAGAAGGTTGAAAGTCACGTCTCCTCACGCGCAGGTTCGGCAAATGCCGTAAGTCAAGGAGCTCATATGCTCAGGCTTATATCCTTCTTGCTGGCTGCCGTCGGTGTCCCTCGATCCCATGTTTTCTGCTCGGCTCTTTCTTTCAAGAGTCTACTATTCTTGGGCTTGGTCTATCGCATTGTTATCCTCAAGGTCATGTTCCCGTCTACCAGGTCGCACACGATAATAAATCTATGTGCTTGGCTTCACCTTGCTCCATCTATCAGGCTATCAGGACAATGTTTCCTCACGCGCTTTTCACAACGCTTCTCAAGCCAAACGACACCTTCAGCCAGTTTGATCTGACCGGACCGCAGTCTTCGGCTCTATGCTTCTGCATTCATCAGGTGGTGATCACGCGCGACGCAGCATCCTCTCATAGTGGTGTCAAGCTTCTGTCCCTGGAGGTTGTCGGCTTCCCTGACCTCGGTTCACTTTATTCTGGACTTGTCACCGTTGGACTGCCCTCGTCAGTTCAGTCTCTTCTAGCAAACCAATGAAGTGTATCACAGTTGTTTCCTTGCTATCACTGGCCTCATGGACCCTGGCCTATCCTGAATGCCAGGCAGATTCCTCGGCATCACTGGACTCTGCCCATGTCTGCACCCTCGCGCGCAAAACAGACAGAGACTCCTTCGTCGACGACCTCCTCTCACAGTTGACCGTCACGGAACTCGCCCACCAACTGCACCTAACCTTCGCCGACAACATCATCGGCCCCAGCTCCACGAACGAGCTCTACGACGCGTACATCGGCCCGTCGGGGATCGGGCTCATCCACGACTGGTACCCGACGAACCAGTCACAGTACAACGACCTCCAGGCGCTGCACCTCTCGAGAGCGCGCGTGCCCATCCCGCTCCTGCAGACGGCGGAGTGCCTGCACGGCGTCGGCTCATTTCGCCAGTCGCTATTCCCCTCCCCGATCGGCCTCGCGGCGAGCTTCGACCCGGAGCTGATGTATCACGTCGGGCGGGCGATTGGGGCTGAGGCGAGCTCGATCGGCGTGCGGGCGTGTTTTTCACCCGTGCTTGATCTGGGGAAGGACCCGCGATGGGGCAGGGTGCAAGAGGACTTGTGAGTCGTCCGTCGATGCCCTCCGCACTGCGGAGCGATTCTAACGACGTGTTAGAGGCGAAGATTTCGTTCTGACGACCCACATGGGCGTCGCGTACGCGCGCGGGCTTTCCAAGAATGGCACCTGGTCTGCCCACGACGCCGTCATCCCGGTCATGAAAGTCGGTCCTAGCCTAGTATCTCCCGCATATCCCCGTCTTGTTCACCAAGCCTCGACCAGCACTTTGCAGGCCACGGGAGTCCCAGTGGCGGTGTGAACGCCGGGCCGTTCACGGGCTTTGGCATCCGACAGATCATGTCAGAGATGCTTGTTCCTTTCAAAGCAGTGGTGGAAATAGGGGGAGCACGCGGCGTGATGATGTGCGCTCCGTCTGTCTTGTCTATTTGCGACGAATAACACCATACACACAATCTAGGGCATATCATGATATAGATGGTGTTCCGTGTGTTGTTGGTAGGCATCGAAAGCTTTTGGATTTTAACTTTTTTCTGAACATCCGGACAACGCAGATTCCGATCTATACGAAGCGCTCGATTCGTGGAATTTTGATGGTTTCGTTCTCGGAGACGACGTTTCAATCCGAAATTTACAGTACCTACATAGGGTTGCCGACTCGCCTGCAAGCGCAATCTCACAGTGGCTCAACGCCGGCGGCGCGGTCCAGTACTATGACTATTCTCTCGACGTGTGGCGTGATGCCATCCTCGGTCTCGTGGACAACAAGACGGTCAGCGAAGCTACTCTGCGCCAACGAGTCCGAGGCGTCCTCAACGCGAAATGGGAACTCGGACTGTTCGACGACCCGTACATACCCGGGAATGTGTCTGTGGAGGGACTAGTCGAGGCGCACGATGGGTTGACCCTGGAGGCTGCTGAGCATTCAATCGTCCTATTAGAGAACAGACGTGACACGCTCCCTCTACGGCCTTCGGAACAGGGCATCCAGAAGATCGCGTTGGTGGGCCCTATGGCTGACACGTTCAACTTTGGCGACTATTCAGGCCCTTGGGGCAGCGGGCCCATTGACCGCGCGACGACAATTCGGGATGGTATCTCGGAATATCTAAAAGCAAACGCTTCGTTCGTGAATCTAGTCACCAGTTGGGGCGCCAACACTTGGCTGTACAATGGACAGTATCCCATACCTCGTAGCCTGTTGTCCTCGCCAAACGGGACGCGAGGAGGCCTGTTGACCACTTACTACTCTGACACCCAATTCTCGCAGCCCGCGTTCCAGACAATTCAAGTCCCCAATATGCAGTGGGGGCTGTATCCTCCCAACGGCTTGCCATCGAACAACTTCTCTGCCGTGTGGGAGGGTCACTTCACTGTCCCTTCAGATGCCGATGGCTGGCTCGGTCTGGCTATCGGCCCCAACTCGACAGCTTCACTTGAAGTCGACGGCTCCCCCGTCGTCGAGGTCCCGTATTCATCGCAAGGCACCTTCATCGGAAATATCGAGCCCCGCTCCTTCACCCGCGTCAACTCCACGCTGGGGCCCCCGGGGTGCGCGCCGTTCGCGTTCAGAGCGGGCGCGACGCATTCTGTGCGCGTGCGCTTCCAAGTCTGGAATAACGCTCAGAAGGTCGAGAACGTCGATAGCCTCAACGCGCAGGTTCAGCTCGTCTGGAACTTGGTCGACCGCGGAGACCCCGTCGGACTCGCTACACGCGCAGCGGAGGACGCCGACGTCATTGTCTTCGCGGGCGGCGGGGCGTGGAACAGCGATGGTGAGAATGGGGACAGAGCGACGCTGTCCCTGTCGGCGAACCAAAGTGAGTGTTCACTCCCGGTCTCGTGCGAAACCGCGGGTTTCCTAAACCATTGGTCAAGCTCGTCTCCTTGACAAGATATTCGAGCTGGGCAAGCCAGTCGTGATGGTGCTAGAAGGCGGGAGGCCATTTGCCATTCCGGACTATTATGCGCGCGCGGCTGCGGTGCTGTATGCAGTCAGTACTCGCGTCATCTTCGCTGTTCGCGGCCACCGCTCTGACTCTGACGTCTGTCCCAGTATTTTCCAGGACAGCAAGGTGGCCGAGCGATCGCCAACGTCCTCTTCGGGCTGTTCAACCCCGGTGGCCGTCTCCCTCTCTCCATCCCTCCATCCGTCGGCTCTCTCCCCGCGATATACAACTACAAGCAGTCGGCCCACGTCGTTGACTACATTGACGTCGACTCCTATTCCGCGTACTCCTTTGGGTACGGGCTTTCCTACTCCACGTTTTCCCGCTTGGGCTTCAGCGCCTCGTCCTCTCGAACTGATCTACCAACGGCGTTCACTGCAAACGATACCATTACCTTCCACTTGACTGTCCAAAACGTGGGGCCGCTTCCGGGGAGCGACGTGCCCCAGGTATATCTGCTCTCTAGGGTATCATCTGTTGTCCAGCCTTTGAGACAGCTGGTCGCTTTCCAGCGCGTCTACCTGGACGTCGGCGAGAAGAGAGAGGTCGAGATGACCTTGGATCCCTCTCGATTGCTCCTCACATACACTCGGTCCAAGACATGGGAGGTAGAGCAGGGAGAATATACTTTTGCTCTGACCACTTCCGATCGCGGCGGAGATGTTGGAGTGAACGCGACTCTGACTGCCCTCTGACTCTTGGTTCTCCAAGCCGAGAGATTTACAACTGAGTAGTAACAAAGCTGCAGGTACGCTACGTAGCATCACACAGAGTCAATCTCTTCTCGGACACGATATAGAACTATACGAGCAGAGTAGAGTTCATGTACAAAAAGCATAAGCAGTTCTACAGCCACGAAAAATTCACATCTTTCTACGTTTCCTGTCCCGGCCTCCATCGCCATTTGGACCGCCCGCTTTACCCAGCCTCTTCTTTATGATGCGTTCTAATGCATGCTTCGTTTCGCCATTGGGGAACTGCTTGAGGTCAAAGTAGCTGGTCGCAAACTCCAGAAGCCTATGGCAGAAAACAGCGTGAGATAAGGGAGCTTCGAGAGCCAGGAATGAAATGAGAGCACCATTCGGGTCTGACTTCTGTGACTGTGCGGATATATGGTCGAGTGGTGAGCACAAACTCGTTGAAGATGACCCATTCAGGTTGAGTGTCAAGACCACATGATGGATGCAGCGAAACAACCTATGTAAGTAGTGTCAACTCATGGCGTACGATTAGATAGCATCGTGAAAATGCAGACCTGGTTATCTTTGACTGTCAAGTAACTCCCCTTCTCGCCTTCCTTATGTGCTACTTGCATGAAAAACCCACAGACCAACGCCTGTCTGATATTCTCGTAATGCTTGCGCTGATCTTTGTATTCCACGGACACTAGGTCGATATCGAACCGCTCCATGATCCGCTGAAGCTGCGAACGGACGTTGTCGGCTTGAGCGAGCGAACGAGCAGAAAGATAGTTTGACCATGTCCAATTCTTGTCGTGCTGATCTGAGGGCGAAGTGAGTTCAAATGGATGCGAGGGTACCTAGTGCGTGATTGCGTACTGGTCTTGTACTCGTTGTAAACGTTCAATAAAGTGAGGTGGTCGCCATCAGGAACGGTCAACAGCTGCTTTGCAGCATCTGACTCCTTCCTTTGATTGTTTGGTCGAACCCAGACATTGGGCACTGGTGAGATACATATGATCGGTATATCCCCGATTTCAGATGTGAATTGAACATACCAGAAAGCATAGCGACAATGGTGAGGATTTCTTGACTGCACTTGAACTCAGGACTGACTATAAGCATCTTCGCCATCTTGAGAGATGATTCAAGTCAGCGATGCATTAGAACGAGACAATTAAAAACGCACTTGAGGATCAAGCGGGAATTCCGACATCATACCACCCAACGCAGTCAGATTGCCGTCATCGTCCAACGCAGCAAGATAATTCAGCAATTCGAGAGCTCTCATGAGAGTCTCTGGTGCAGGCGCATCTACATAGTCGAATCGCACCAGATCCTGCACATTACGTCAGTCCTGACAAACTCGAGATCGTCGTATATGATCAAACTTACCTTGATGCCCAGTTTGACTAGCTCCAGAACCGTGTTCGCCAAATTACTTCTCAGAATTTCAGGGTGAGTTTGCTCTTCCAGCTCCTTCATGAAATCCCTCTCCGTGTACAGACGAAAGCATTTTCCTGGTCGTGTTCGCCCAGCTCGACCTGCGCGTTGTTGCGCTGAAGCTTTCGAAATAGGCGATACCAGGAGCGATTCGACACGTATTCGCGGGTTATAGACCTTTTGTTTTGAGAACCCAGGATCTACAACGTACACGATACCGTCGATCGTGAGAGACGTCTCGGCGATGTTGGTGGATACAATGACTTTGCGACCTGGCGGGCCGTGAGGAGTTTGCGAACCTGGCGCTGCGTCGAATATACGTTGCTGCTGCTGAGGGGGAAGAGAAGAGTACAGTGGGATACACACAATCGGGCCAACGGAGTCTGGGTCCTGATTTTGGAGATCATCAGCTTCGATCTTGATTTTTCTGCAGGCATCCTCGATCTCTTCCTCTCCAGTCAAGAAGACGAGGACATCGCCAGGGTCTTCGGCGCGATGAATCATGAGCACGGTTCGGATTGCAGCCTCGACGTAATCCGGCTCAGGCTCCTGCGTATAGAAGATCTCGACAGGATGGGTTCGCCCAGGAACCTTGAATAATGGTGCTGGCGCATCGACAGTGAAATACTTCTGGAATTTCAGGGCGTCGAGAGTCGCAGACATGACGATCAGCTTGAGGTCCTTGCGCCTTTGAACCAGAGATTTCAGCAGTCCCATAAGAATATCGGTTGCGAGCGTGCGTTCGTGCGCCTCGTCCAGAATGATGGTTGAGTATCGGTTCAGATCCGGATCGTTCATAGCCTCACGAAGAAGCATACCGTCTGTCATGTACTTCAGGAACGTAGTGCCCGGCTCTGTCATATCTTCGAAACGGATTGAGTAGCCGACTTGCTTCCCGAGTGGTACTGCGAGATATAAGTTTAGCAATTAGTACGAAGAGCATCATGATGAGAGCATACCATCCATTTCGTCTGCAACCCGCTTGGCAACAGACATGGCTGCCACTCGTCGAGGCTGGGTACATGCAACGACTTTATTCTTCATGTGCGGGAGATCGGAGTAGGCCACAAATTGGGGTATCCTATACGGATAAGAATGAGCATTCAATCGGTGAACAAGGTGTAGTCGGTCTGATGGTAATTGGGCAGGGTGCACTGATTCTGGGTAGGGTAATGAGATCGCTCTGCGCGAATGCAAGAACTTCAAGCAGTCAAGAGTTCGACAGGCCTCATGGTAGGCCCTTCCATGAAGCCTATTTACTGACCGAACTTTGTACTCAAAACTTCGTTTTTAACAATAGACCCTTGTTGTGCCGCCCAGTTCCCACGTCTGCACCGATGCTGATTCCGACCCGCCCAAGTCCCATAGGACATACATATAATTGATGGCACTTACTGAGTCGTCTTGCCTGATCCCGTCTCTCCCACCATTACAATTATCTGATGTTTACTGAACTTTGCTTGAACATCAGTGACACGGGGCCTTGATGGAGAGGGTGACCTGAGACACAGGTTCTGATGCCCCCCTCAACAGTAAACCGACCAATAGACTCACCATGTTGTAGAACTCTTCCATCTGAGCATACACCGGCAACTTTTTGCGAACCGCCAGGATTTTTTTGTACTGCGGCGTGTGGGGACGCTTCGTAAATGGATTGACATCGCCATCCTGGAGTGTTTCCGGTGAAAATTCGTGACAAAGGGCTTGTTGAAGAGTTCTACGCACCATCGCCTTCGTGACCTGCTCTGAGTTGACTTTGCGGGGGAGGAAGCCAAACAGAGGCTCCTTCGAGTAGATGTCGGTATCAACTTGCTTTCTGTTGCCAGCCATGATAGCGATGTCGAGCAGGGAGGGTTGGAGCAAGGGATGGTGGTGGCTGCGCGTTGAGCAGTGCGCGCGGTTGAGTTGGAAAATGGTGGTCCGGCAGATGCCGGCCATGGCGAGCGTGAGACTCTGTGACACGACGGGTGACTACCACGGCGCGTGACAACGCGACTTGGTCGCGGACATCAAGTCCGGACGAGGCTCGTCAAAGACAATAGGCTAGTTGGATTCATAATGCGTGCCCAAACCCCGCCAGTTTGCTGCGATCGCCTTTATCTCTGTTCTTGTATCCCTCTCAGCTCTCTCAATTTTTTTTTGCATTTGCTTTTTCTTTCGACTTATTCACATAACAGCCTCCGATGGCTCAAAGCTCCTATGATTCGCGGAGACGGGCTGCGCCCTATTCACCGTCCGTGAAAGTCAGAGCGAGTCATAAGAAGCGCCCCCCTCCTTTAATATTGCTGTAATAGGTTTCGCAGTCCTCCAGAGATCGTCTATCTCATCATTGGTTGTTTCCTTCCAGGTCCAATGAATATTCGGACACCGTCCTCTGGTCTCCCGGCCCTCCTAACACAGCACAGACAGCTTCTTCATTTTCCTCGTCTGAAGCGTCAGACTCGAGTGCTTTGACTCCGGGAACGCCATGGAGCTCTGCCAGTGACAAATCTACTCGATATTATGCTCTTCCGGCCTTCCAAGTCTCTCCAAGTGTGGAGAGTGCTTGTATCCCAGAGCCATTTCAAGACATGGGTAAAGAGACCTCGCACACATCACGTCCTCGAAGTTCTTTGTCGAGTACAAATGTCGCTGCACAATCATGGCCTGAGGAACGCGCGCGAACCAGTATGTTACTCCCAAGATTGAGACTACCTGGAGATCTTATTAGTCATCACACAGCACTTCCTCTCTCCTCTTCTTCGCCAGAGCTTTCCTCTACCCACTCCTCAATCCCATTTCCATCTGATCCATATGCACACCTCTCGAGCACCCCTTGGACACTTCCAGAGTACCTTGAACTACTCTCACTCGTCCACTACGTCTCCCACCACGATTCCACTTACGATATATGCCTTGACGGCGACCACCACGACTGGAGTCGCATAGCAAACATGCTCAACTCCCTACGCCCTTCTACTTCCGGACCCCTACGCTCAGCCTGGGACTGCTGGCATCGGCTCACTGTGCCCTGGATCCGAGCTCCGTCCACCTCAGTCTCCGAAGAGGAAAGAGCAAGTAGTTCTCTATTTTCTCACGCACCCGGAGTGCAGCATTCCTACAAATTCGTCGACCTGGCGCAGCTGATCGACGTCTATGACATGCTTGCGCGCGTCCTGGCGACCGCACTCGATGATCCAATACAAGCGCTTCCCCCCGTATCTTCTGCGACGGCAGTATCTCCGCACTGCACACCGCCATCCGGCCGCCATTGCCATCCTGGTCAGTTTGCTCCCTCCTCCCTTGAAAAAGGGCCAGCCTCACCTGTTCTCGGTTGCTAATGGCATAGAATACCCGGGGCCCGGAGAACCCCCGAATGTTCCACCGCATACCTTTGGAGATCCTCACGACTGGGGCCTGTCTCCGTGGTTTCAGATGTGCGCCGTGAACAGAACCGCTCTGGGTCGGATCATGGACGCAGCCAGAACCGAACGTCCTGATCGGCATGCCCTTCCACCTGACCCAACAATCAAGCTGCCTGCCCACCTGCGAAATGCCATCCCGCCCCCTTCGCCGGTCATGGTCAATGCGCGACACCGGTGACACGAACCGCCTTCGGCCCTTCTTACGATCCTGGTGGTTGACAGAAGCGCCTCGGTTATCGTGCGTTTGTGCCATGTGTTGTTCGTTTGCCAGCCGCGGAGAGAACGGGGATGGATTACGTAGTGATTTATTGCTATTGCTAAGTGCTGTGTTCTTTGGAAGAAGTGTCTGCGCAGGGAAGTGGAAGTTTGTTATGATGAGTGATCGTTCTCTGTACTAGTAAGCCCATGTTCGGGGGACGGGCGACCAATGATAGTGTCCATGAGCATTGGTTCCTCGAAATCACGACCAACGCTAGTTCGTGCAACACTGATACATTCGGAAAACACATTTGACGATACATTCGATCGAATCGTACACAACGGATACTTCAAACACGCAAACACATACATGAACACACTTGACTCGACCAGGCATTGGAATGGACGTGGCCTGCTATCTTATAGCCACCACCGCCAAGGACTTGAGACTGCCTAGACAAAGAACATTTTCGAGATGATATTGGCGTGGACCTTCTTGAAACCAGCCTTCCAATCTTCGAGATCGAAGGGTTTGTTGCTGCTACTTGCCACATCGGAGTCGAAGTGAAGGTTGTCTTCAAAGTAAAAGGCAGCGCGTGAGCACACAATCTAGATGACCGGGTAATTTCAGTCATGAAAATCATGGGTATTTTGAGGAGGAAATTTACGTCGGCATCTGTCAGAAGAAGTATGTCAATCTCGAATCACCAACAGAGTAATGAAATGGACGACTCACAATATACTGGAGCAGGTATGGAAACCGATCTCGTAGCACGTGCATATGAATGACACAGCGCGTAAGACAAGTCTTGAAGCCTATATATGATATAAGATTGAGGGCAGTCGTGATGGCCTTGCATCCCAACACGTCGACTTACTTTGGGATGGAAAACGCGGGGTCATTCTGAAGAATGATGTAATGACCAGGCCGACTCGCTAGAGACCACATAAATTGAAGGTGAGGACGAAGATGAAGAGATGACACTCACTGCCTTTGAGACCAACATGCGACTGCAGGTAGAAGTCTCCGAGAGGGACGTATGGACTGGTGATCTTTTCGTCAACCACCAGGCCGGCCGGCATCTTGCCGCTTTTGTCCGTCGTGCTTGAAGTCAGCATATCAGCGAGCTTAGGTCGCTATGAAAATGCTTGATTTCGACTTACTCTCGTCTGTCGCTCCTCTCGGGGAAGAAACGAATATGGTGACTGACCATGGACATTTGTGAATAACCAAGGTAGGAAGGAACGATAGGAATGCATGTACCGTTTTCCAACGACGATGAAGATGAGCTGAAATTTGGCATCCTTTATCATCCTCTGCTCGACAATGCTGTCAAACGCCGCTGGGGATTGGTGCATCAGAGATGCAGCGTCACAGAGCAACTGATGGCACGATACCTTGGATCGCCTTCGTCTCCTTATCTTGAACCTGCTGATACTCTCCTTCCGATACTCCATCTCTGTAGAAGATAATTTTGGATGGCACCACTTGATTTTGGCTTCCGAAATAGTTGATCGCATCCTAGAAACGTAGAGATGTCACCGAAGTCGTAGAAATGCAAGTGAAAGCACTTTACCACCATCATTTCTTTTAGGTGCTCTATGATTTCCTGCCTCGGCGCTTGCACACGAATAGATGCCGCATATTGTGTGCAATCGCGGTCATACGATGCGACCAAACTTGTGATAGATGGCCTTTGAGTCCCGGCCGACGCATGGCCAACGTCGGCACCTATAAGGTCCTCTCAGCAAGTTCTCAAGTTGAGAGAAGAAGACGGACGCACCAACAACCATGAATGGCTTCTTACGAAGGTCATTCAGTGCTTGACTTACGACGGAGTTGTTGATGCCTCCGAGTTTAGTGTTGATCCTATCCACCATTTGCATTCGTAGTCTGATGATGAAAACAATGAGATCACTTACTTGAGGGCCACATTATTGTTGTATTGGTCATTGGCGTTCAGGATCTTTCCTCGTTTCTTTTTCCCCGTTGAAATTTGGCGTTAGCAGTTACATAAAAGCCCAGGTTGATACGTACCACGCACTGCGTCGCACAGGCCGCGACTGAATCACCCCAGACTTTAACCCCCCTGCGAAGATCTGCCGCGTTATCGGGGAGGACGACAACTAACAAGTTAAGTTGATGGGTTGCACGCAGTCCGTTCAGAGACTGAAGAGAAAGTCAGAAACTCTGCGAGTTGAGTTTAAATGATAGTATGACAAATTTACCTTTGTGAGATCCGCGCTTGGATTTATCTGGTCGATCACGCTTGGCGGATTAGGGCCTGGAAAGCCCTATGGTTTCAGAGTTTCCGATCAAGATAGTCATTGCTTGACTTACTCATCCCTGATCGAGTTCTGAGTGAGAAAAGGCAAGAGGAACCTGAAAAAAAGAAGATGCGTACCCAAAGCTTGACAACAGTCGTAGAGGTTCTTCAAAAATGTCCGTAGGGTTTGTTGAGGAGAACCACTGAGGTCCACGGCTCCCCAGCGGTTCAGCTTTGCTGGTCGAAAGAATTGTTGCTCTTTCACATTCCAGCGTCCGTCCTGGTTCTATCAAATACGGCAATCGTTTCAGAAGTGGTCGACTTACAATCTGGTTAATCACGACCTGATTGCCGTAGTGTATAGCTGGTGAAGGGAGCTGTCTGCCTTGAATCATCATGGGTGCTTCGTCGATCTGCATACCGATCCTACCGATGAAGTCGGATTGGGAATAGTTCAGGAACTGTCCAAAAACGTTGAACACTAGAAGTTCAAAAGTGTCAAATATCGGGTCACTCACTCTTCCTCTGACACCATCCAAGATGTTGTTGAGGCGTTCTGTTGGTGGCTTGACTGCAAAGTCCAAGACTTGTTTCATCAGCTCCGGGGGTACCTTCTTCTTGTAGATTTGCCCTTTGACGATCTGACAGAACTCAGCAGGAATGACCGCGGTGGAATTGATCTTGACGCCGAAAAGCATTGGCTGAGTTACGGTCTTCTGATGCGTCTGTCGATAATAGTCCTACGTGCATGATTTAGTACAGCGACAGCGAGTCTCATCTTCGGTACAAACCTTGACTTTGATCATGCCAACCCCATCCTTATCGAACTCATACTCGCCCGCATGTGGAACGAGGTCTTTGATCACACGACTACGCCGCGCACTGTGAGCGGGGACGACTGTGGTGATTCTGACGTTTCTCAACACAGCCTTCAGGTTCTTCCATTGAGGATTCTGAGGCGTTAGGCGCGTGAGTTCGCGGACATCCCTGATGCCCAGGAACTCCATGGCGAATTCGGGAAGCAGAACACTCGAATAGCTAGGTGGTGGATCAGTCGGAGAAGAATGCAGATATGAGTGTCAAGCTTACATGGCAGACGTGGTAGTGTCGATGTTCACGACCATCTTGCCCACAGTAGGACGGATGCTCCTACGAACTATGTGAGCACGAGCAGATATGACCAGGATGAAGGCTGCTCACTGGTAGAACCCACGCCATAATTCAAGGCCGCGACCGATGGACCGCTTACCTTCCGAGGAGAAGACCGAGCGCGCATTGAACGCCGATTGCGCCCTAAGTCATTGATCAATGCTACGATCGACGATCGATCAGGAAGGTTCTGACATCATGGGTGCCTGCCTGAGAAACAGTTGTAAAATGTTGATAGCCAGCGTCGCCTGTTGGACGCTGACTTTGCCTCGGATGACGTCCGTCAACATGCTAATATAATTCAATACTTAGTTGCACTTGCGGACAGAAAGAGAAACAGACCCTTTATCAATTCTGAGGACGCACACAATTCGGACGTGGAAGACACCCCTAGTTACCGCAGGGTTATCTGACATATGAACTTCATACTGAAAATGATAGGTCAATGACATCAAGTGTGATCATCGACAGGGGTACATACGTCCTTTCCAGGACCGAGGTCCGTCACAGTATATAGGTTCTTCTTTCCATCGAACGCGGCGCGGGGCTGGAAGTCAAGCGGCGCGGTAGATGTTTGCAACTTGTCAATGATTTCTATTCGACGACGCGCCCAAGGCACGTCGGGGCTGATGACTGGGAAAAAGAGACGGTTATTCGCGATACATGCGTAGATTGACAGTTAAAAACTCACCAACTAGACGCGAAGAACAAGACATGGGATATCAGTCCGATGCAATGCATGATGGATAGCTTCAACAAACCATCATAATGATAAAATATTTTATCAGGTAGCTTTGTGATTTCGAACGCGTTCGTTCGAACAGTGACGACCCGTCCGATAGGCTGAGACATTTGCACGATGGAAGGGAAAGGGGTTAAAAGTGCGTGAAGGGGAATGGAGGATGGGAGAGAGATGGATAGATCGAGGTATGATATACCGACTCTACACGTGGCCATGCGCACGCATTCCCCATCTTGACAGACAGAAGCGGGCACGATACCGCCCAAATTGCATTGAATTAGTAGACATTGCAACGTGAAGAAGAGCCCCTATGATTCGCTGTGCAGAAATAAGCTTAACGTGCTGAGACCAGCGAAGGCGACCCAAGGCGTTTATGAGCAAAGTTCCCCTCAATTGGAATTAGACTTCATCGGTGACAGCAGTGGTCTAAGCCCTATTTCAGGGTTAGGTTTAGATCAGTTCAGATGAAAATCCGACAGAGCGAAACATATCAATTTTTGCCGTGTCCTAATGAGTAGAGAAACTAGGAGTTCGTCATCAGACGAAGAATTAAGAATACACTAATCATGAAATTGAAAAGAGCGCGTGTCGATATGAGGAACGAACCACAGGCCAGGTGGACAAGACCCATCCATCACTGAAGGCGATGGTTGTCGGGCATGTAGACGCTGCGGTGCCGTTGGGCCAGCAGCCTTGCTACCTCCATTGGGTGCTCTCGCGCGATATACTGGAGCCGTTCGTTGTGCTGCCTCCTGTCGAACATAATCTTCTTCTCCGCAGCCTTGTACTGTTCCCGCAATGCCTGCGCGTCGTCCTCCTCGTCGTCCTCCTCGTCATTAGCAAGCTCCTCTTCCAGCCCTCGGCTCTCATTCTCAGACTTAATCTTCAGCTCCTCCGGCAACCAATCGTTCATTCGGAACCTCTGCGGCGCCGGCCTCTTGGGCCATGGCACGATGTTCCCTTCTGCGTCCAGCGGATTGCACTTTTCGTCCAGCGCGAACGTTTCCATTGCATTGACCCCTGCGGCCTGCGCAGAGGCGTTGAACAACTCCTTGATTTCCTGCATGCGGGGATACCACTCGCCCACGCCGACCTTCATGACGCGCTTATCGAGAGGAACAGGTTCCGCAAGGCCCTCGCCATCAACCCCGCGCCCCTTGTCGCTCGGGCAGTACCGCATTCCGACAAACCCACCCCGCTCACCGTTGAGCAGCCGCGCCATCTCAATAGAGAGCTCGTGTAAGCGATTCAGCCGCAGGTTGCGCATGCGCGAGGAGAAGGAATAATGACACTTGCGATCGTCGTTCGTGATGCTTGCGTAGAACGGGAGTCCGCGCGGCATCGAGCGGCACAGACGGGCTAGTGACAGCGCAAGGGGGCGCGTTGAGACTGTCACGCTGATCAGCGGGCGCCAGAATGGTGTATCGCGCAGCGTCGGCATATACTGTGCTCGAAGTTCTTTCACCGGGAATTGGGTAACAGGAGCTTCTTCAGATGCGTCGTCCTCCTGGGGTTCGGCATCAGCGTCAGCATCGACTACGTCCGCAGCAACACCTTCTTGCCCCTCTACGGGTACATCTACCCCTTCGAGCACGTCAGGGGGCAAGATGGGTAGATTCGGTATGTGGACTTCTTCCGCCAGCGCTCTTGGAGAGGAATGGAATTCGCGCTTGAACATTGACTGCGGGGTTGGAGGGACGAAGCCAGAAGGATGCGCGATAGTGCCATCTGGGTGCTCGACTTCGACAGGGATCTTCGCATCTCTCGGCTGAGTGGCTGCGCTAAAACCGCTGTTTACGTTCTTCTTCAGCACGTTCTCCTGGAGGACGCGCTCAAGCACGCCGAGAGTCTGCTTCTTGGGATCGCGTAGTCTGAGCTCCGAGTGAGGTACGACAGCAGCGGCGGGAGATGGCACCGTGAACCCGGAGGGATGTACCAGATTTCCGTGCTCGTCTAAATGCTCGAACGGGACCTTGTGTGGAGGGCGTGTCATGCCAGTTTCAAAGGCAAAGAACTCTTCGTCCTCTTCGCCTCGCTGATATTTGCGCTCAACGTAGTACTCTGGTACGACCTCATCTGGATCCAATTCGGCAGTAAAAGCATTCGGCGCCGGCACCTTGAATGGAGGAGTGCGGAACTCATGGGCAGGCGTTGGCGGCTCAAAGCCCGACGGGTGCCGCACTGTTCCATCCATCTCGGTGACTTCGAAAGGAACCTTCTCCACGCGCGTCCTGAGCTGCGCACTGACGCCCGTGTAGTCCTCTTCGCCAACTCTCTCGGCAACCGCTGCTGTCTGCTGCGCTAGATCGCGCGGGCGGCGATCCGCCATGGACTCCCCAGCCTCCCCAGGACTCGGCACAGTAAAACCAGAAGGGTGGACGATGACGCCATCGTCTACTTCAAACTCTGTGGGCACCTTACGTGGGTCGCGTCGCATGGACGCGGCGATGTCATTCGACAGGACACCTGCGTTCAACTCGTACATAAGGGAGCCCTCAGTCTCCTTCCGCTCTTCGATGGAGTCGCGCTGCTTTTTGCGCTCGACGTAGTACGTTGGGACGACGGCGTCCGGATCGTCCTGGTCTTTGGAGATGCGTGAAGACTTGGGTGCGGCGGAGGGCGGGCGAGAGGTGTGCATCTCGCGGCGTTCGAAGACGTAGACTTTTGTGTGGTCGCGTGCCGAAGTGTGGTATTCACGGGCCTGTGAGGGAGGCGCTGGAGGCGGCTGATGGGGTTTCAGACTATACAACGGGAATTCTGATTCAGAGGATCGGGAAGCGGATCCATCCGCGGGCTCGAGTTCCTCTCCAGCTCTCATTTTGCGAACGATCTCTGCTCGGTCCTCACCTGGCGCCCACCACCTCGTCTCTTTGATCTTGAACTGACGGGTCCACGGCCAGCGCGCATTGTCCATTGACGTCAGTGCCTCTGAGGTTGCACGTGAGCTGTTGAACATGGCGGCGATTTCGGGAAAATCGCCTTCGCGACAGATGCCAACGATGTGTTCAAGAGAGTCGGTGCGACCTATCCCATGCTTGACCAAGTAGCGAGACTCGAGAACGAAGACGGTGTGGGGCTCGTACGCGGACTCGGGTGGAAGTTCGTAAACCCTTTCTTTGCCGTAACGGCCACCTGGGAACCAGTTAGACGCTCTGAGATCTCTAGGACGGGTGAAACCTCCCATGTACCTGCACAAAAGACGTCAGTGAAAATTACAGGCGCAGACACATGAAACCCGAATTATAAAAAAGAGCGTACGTCTTGACCTGGGTGAGGGCAAGAGTGATGTCCATGCGCTCATCGCGCTCTGCCTTTGCAATTCGCCGCTTGGTATGCCTCATGAGCTCGACGGGAGGAGTGGGAGGGTGCTCATGGTTGGCATTGAAGAGGTGACCCTTTCTTCCCTTGCGCGCAGGGCTCTTTGTGCTCGCCCATCGTTTTCCTAAGCGTGGAATCATGGTATAGTGGATGGGGCTGATTGTCTGCGGCGTCGGCACAGAGAAAGCAGCACCGTGAATTCACCTCGTCCGCTGTTTACTCCTGTTTGTTCAAGGTGGAGCCCCCAAAAGAGCTTGTGGATCCGGTCCTCTCTTCCGCGTCCTTCAGACGACTGCACCCCCGCCTCCTTCTGCTCTGCCAACGACCTCGAAAATGCACACAAAATCGCAAAATCATGAAATTCCTCATAGCCAGCCGTTCATGCGCTCTCCCTGAAGCTCAGCGAGTTGACAAGGAAAGCCGTGCCATTACCTGCCGTTCACATGCTTCGTCGTCTCCACAGTTGACGTCACAGATGGTAGGCTGATTGGGCCTATAACGTCCGTGGATCGTTGCTGTTCTATGCTGTCACTCGCGATGATATGCTGCGACAGCGGCTGTTGATCTCTCCAAGTTTCATAAGATGAATACGTCGTTTTTCACAGATCTCCAACGGGCCTCAGCACCTCATCGAATTTTGAGGCAGTGATTATTCTTAACTTGCGCGAGCCTGACGTCTTATACTTATATGCCCCACTTCAAACGGAGTCCAACTGACTGTCTTTCCAATTCGGATCGCTCACGGCCCAGCTGACCTCCCTAGTAAGTCCGTGGCTAAGCTTGGCTAACCAGCTTGAGCGTCCAATCCGAGGCTGCTCGTCTCCACATCGATACGACCATAGACGCAAGCATGAGCACAGACCTGGGCACTGTCTGACGAACTATACATTTGGCTTCGTGTTCTAGAGTTTCCAGGTATATTGCAATTGTTCACATAGCTCTCGAAACACGTTGTTTCCTGTTTTGCTCGCTTTCCTTGTTTTCCTCGATCGTGTTTTCCAACAAGTTTTGAACGAAACGCCGTTTACATTCAGAGTGGAGCAACATCGGAGCGTGGTGTGCATTGCTTCTCTTAAATATAGTACTGGTACGTCAAGATCATCATGGGTGCGATTACCGCTCCAAAACGGCCGACGGGAAACGCATGGTTTCCACTCGTGTCGGGATCCTCTTTGAGTTGATCCTCCCATCTGTTGGCGGGCTCCTCGTTCTGAGTCACTATCTTCCTGCCGCACCGTGGAATGAGCACTGCATCGGGTCCTCGAGCACGATCATGATAGGCTGTTCTCGTCAACTCTCGAACAACCGTATGTTTCTCGAAGCCTCATGCCATGTCCCTGTCCTGTAAAGATAGCATCATTGGTCCATGTTATGGGGCTAGAGCTTGGAAGGTGTGAGGGCAGGCGCGACTTATGTCCCAGAGACCACCATGCGCGAAGCACATTCGACTGGGTGGACTTGGACCATGCACCCAACCCAAAAGATATAGGATAGCAATATCAGTTCCAAACCCTAGCAGAGATTTTACGGGCCACGTACACAAAGATATCTGTGTTTCTCGATTCTGAGCGATGCGTGGAGATTCGAAGGATGACTTTCTCACGATGTTTGGACGGAATTCCGTTGGTCGCTGAAACGAAATCCGGCTGATAATTGCACGGATGGCCGAGACGCTGCTTGCTATAGCCTTGGTCACATCGTCAGCTAGGGGAAGCAGTCTGATATGCCACTGGCCGCCATCTCCTCGAGCCTCTCCCCGACTGGCTCGCGCTCGGCCCATGCTGAGTACTGACGCTGGACACTACGACAACCCTTGGCGCGCCGCGAACTTGTCTGACATTCCGGGTGGACGTGAGACAGTGTACGGCCCCCTGAACATCGACACGGGCGATTGGGACTATGTATGGAAACGTCCCAACACGATGCGCGATCGTTCGGTGTCGTTCTCCCATTCGAACTCTCATTCCACCTCTGGAAGGACCTCGCCGATCAAGGAAGGGTACGAGTTCGACGATACGCCAGAGGACACGCCGTTGAAGGGCGACTACGACGACTTTCTCGGTTACTCTTCTGCATTCCTCGCCAGTATCCTCTGCCCTCAGCCGGCCTTATGCCACCAGAAGTTCGAGTTGGTGGTGGACGATTTGTGCTTCATCGGACACCCAGTATGCTCCGAGCCGGACAATGTCTGGAAGTTCAAACCAGACAAGTCTAAAGGGGACACGCGTGGCAGGGGCTCGAGAAAGAGGCGTGCGTCGGGCGAGGACCTTGCATCGTCCGTAGAGCTCGATCCGCACAATGCTCCTGTATTGGCATTTCAACGAAGTTCTTGGCTGCAGACCTTCCACCTCGTCTTCGTCCTTGACTTGCCCGATCCTTCTTCTTCCGCTTCAGGAAACATTGAAAAATATTTCGACGTCATATACGAACAAGTTGCCTTCACTCTCACTGCCGTCCTGTTCCAGGAACAAGTGCTCTCAAATTTTGTGGAGATAGAATGCGACGCTCTGGGACTCCTCAAAGACGACTATACAGCAAAAGGTCCGTCGTGTCCTTGAGGCCAGAATGTCTTATCTGATGGACTCTAGGAATGTCATTTGAGAGCTATATGGAGCAGGCTCTTCTCGTTTCGTCGATCGCTCCCGCGATGAAAATCCTTTACGAAGCTATCAAGTCACATTCGCTCGCGCACATCACAATCCACAACCTCCCGCTCGAGCTCCAACTTCCACCCCATCTTGACTCACTTCTTCACAGCGAGGATGATTTCGAGGCAATCGAGCAGGCCTACCATGGTGACGACTCGAGCCAAGACAGAAGTTCTTGGGCTCGCGAGCTGGGTTCTGCGTGGAGGCTCCCGAGATTGGAGCCTTGGAAAAGCTTGCTTTTGTTAGACGGCCCAGGGAAGGAGTGGATGGATCTGGATGCCAGCCTGCAGGCGTCAAGGGTGAACGAAGACGATCGGATGCTGGCGGACAAGTTGATCACGTTTTTGAAGATGGCCGACGTGACGCTGTCGTGAGTGTCGAGCTCTTCGATGAAGCTTGTGTGCCAACCACTATGTAATGTTTACCATAAGTCTCGCCGACATGGGCACTCTCCTCGACTGGGATCTTGAATCTCAGGTCTTCCCTATCGTGCGATGGCTTGTCCATCATCGAAGAGCAAAGGTGGTTGACGTAGTGCATCGAGGACTCAAGACCGTTTTTACTCTTCCTCTCAAGATGGAGACGCCGTGAGTCGTGCGTTCCGCAATATCCATCCTGATTACTGATAGCTATCCAAAATCGCCCTCGAAAGAATTCTTGAGCTGTCCAAAGAATTCCGCCGAGCGTTCTCAGACCCCTTCATACCGCCTCTCCCTCAACTTCTGTCCACAATCTCGACGTCCTCTTCTGCTCAATTCTATGCTGCTGTAGTCAAGTCGAAAGAGTTCCTCCCGGCCTACCATCTCGTCGTCCAATGGCTGCTCAAGAAGGACCTTTTGGTCACTTTGCACGTATGGATCAGGGTGGTCGCGACCCCTGCAGTCAAGGAAAGGACGCGGCGCATGACCAAAGACAAGCAATCTCCAAAGAAAAAGCGCGGGGAGGCGTCGAGTCCAGAAAAGGAGACCATGGTCCAAGAAGACGAGCAGTCCGAAAGCGAGAGGGACATGGACATGATCTTCGACTCTCCGAAGTGGATGCCGCTGTCGCCAAAAGATGCGCGCGAGGCTACGAGGTATCCGTCGGCGTCACAATATATATTTCCGGACGACTTCTCGGGGCCTCCAGTCCTTGAAGAAGGCATCGAAACGGACGAAGACATCGAGCCGGACGCGGAGGAAACCGGGGACGAAACGGGCGGCGAGGCGGGAGCGGAAGACACGAGCGAGGAAGACATCACGGTGCCGACCATTATTGCGGACCCAGGCCGTGCGACCTACCAGGAGAACAAGTGGCTCGAGGCCATGTCAGAAGGCAAGGACGCCGTCGTGTCTCAGCGTTTCGCACAGTGAGCAAATTGTTCTCGCCAGTGCTGATAAAATCTTGTCGTGACGTGCCGACGATCGAACAGGATCAATCGATACTTCAACGGCAAGTGCTGCGACGACGAGATCCTGTACCGCGCGGAGATCTCGAGGAAGCAGTTGCGCGAGGTGCTGCATCATTACGATGAATACGTGAGTTTCGATGCGGTGATTTATTGTTTCCGGTCCTCACTCGATAGGCATCAGCTCCAGATATTTCTGCACCCGTCATGATATTGACGGTCGAGCGAATCCCGCGCTGACATATGAGTCAGGACATCCGACCCTTCCTTGTTAACTTGGCCGAAAGTACATGACTTCACCGGCCTTGTAGATTTTGAAGCGTAAAATATGATTAAGTATTCGTCATTGTGTTCTGCAGGCGGAGCTAAGTACCAATGTCTAGATGAGGAGCACTCGTTCTGGGCGGTCTTTTCCCAAACCTTATACTTCATAGGAAGGATAGACGTCGTCCGTTGTCCTCTACACCAAGTTCCTGACTAGAACTCTTCGATTCATGACACGTCTCTGTTATCTCAACAGATCACGGAAATGTATGCGACAAACCAGTGGTGAAGCGGGCCGAATCTCGTTGATGGTAACGGCACCTGGGGTCACAGCTCGAGTTCCATTTTCGGGATGATTTGCTCCGGAAAATCCTACTTGTATCTTATCAAGACGGCTGCGGGTGCCATATTCACTCCAGGTGATGCAAGTTCTAGTAACATCACAGTATGGCATAGGCACCAGAAGGGATGAGCAGCCTGTACACTTTACACAGAAGATGGCCAGGCGAGGTCAGGCGATGATCTACATCACCGCCAAACCCACGCCAACCCACGCCACCTACGCGACTGCCTGCCTCACCGGATCAACGTCAAATCCCAGTTCTGGAGAAGATCCAGTCGCGTAGTACTGTACAGGGTCTTGCATAATTTTCGAGAAAGTTGCATCAGAGAAAAACCGGGTTCCTGAACCAAGACTTGCCTAACTGGGCACTGTGGGCCGGGATGATCGGCAAAACCTTGTCACGCTCTCATGGCTCAGGGCTATCGTTTCGAGCACACTGTGTGCTCACCTCTTTGTAGTACCTTATTAAACTTCACTACGTCTCCACCTATTGATCATTGAATTTGAGAGCTAATTATTGACTGGCACTATCAAAGACAGCAGTGGAGAGTGGTTGTCACAGACGAGTCACGCAGGGAAGTCCGGCGCTTTTTTCTTATATCCACAATGAAGCGCTCGGGAACCCGTTTTTTTCTGGCGCGGCCCTCTCAAAAATTATGCAAGACCCTGTAACGTGAACGGCGCGTGAAGGAAACTTTGATGGTCATGATCGCCCCATCAAACTTGGCTGCCAGAGGTACAGCACTGGCCAAAGAGCTGTTCTTTGTGGTAGGGAATCAGGACGATTCGGCAAGGAAGCCTGTGGCCGATGTGTTTGCAACCCTCACGAGTGGGCTTTGCACAGGTGCTGCACAATCGAGAGTCTTTTCTTATAAGACGTGTTCGCACACTCAACCGAGATTTACTGTATGGCTCTTGTTCAGAGTGCCTCGTCTGATCATCTCCCGAAGTGCAAGTATCATATCGGTACGTGTTGCCATACAGCGAAGCAGCACAGTCTTCTCCATTCTTGTTCCAGTTCCAGTTTCAAAAAAGCTTCCGACAAGGGTCATGATTTGACTGCAACAGAAGTACAGTACAGTACATCCCGTACAAGCTCGTATAACAGACGCACCGCCAAAGCGTAAATGCGGGTCTACAAATGGGAACAACAGCAATATCTAGCGCGCTATCCGAACATGTGAAGCATAGTGTTGAGGAGATGCATTGACATAAAGACACAGAGAGTGAGATTGAAAAAAAAAGACAGGTGACAGGGGGAATTGCGTGCACATCACCACCGTCGTCGTCGTCGAGCTTGAGCACAAACTTGCCTGTGCAAAAGGTGTAAAAGGGAGCGATCAGGACGATTTTCCGTTCGCGGAGCCGTTGCCGTTGCTGTTGGTGCCGTTGACCTGCGAGAGCGCGGCGTCCGCCTGGCGGAGGTCGCCTTCGCTGAGGGACTTGAATGGCCCGCCGCCCGGGGTGCTCGCGCCCGACATAACCGACGAAGCGCGTGAGCGGACCTTCATGACCAACGGGCTAGACGGACGAGAGCATCGCGGAGCCGTGAGCGTAGGGAGGGTATGTAGCACAAGGGAAACCTACAAGGGATAGCTGTCGTCATCCGCGTCTTGATTCGTCGGCCACACGTATCCCTTGTAATCGCTCGTTCCCAGAGATTGCATCTACGCCGGCATCATTGGGTCAGCGAACAAGCTTTCGCTGTCTCCGCTGTGTTATCATCACGCACCTCTTCCGTGAGCGTGCCCATATCACCAGGCGTCGCCATCCCCGTATGCCTCAAGCGCGGACTCGCCGGCATGCTCATCGCCAACTTCTCCTGCCCGCCCCCAAAGTACCCAAGGTCGTCCTCCTCGCCCTCCCCGTCGAGCCCGCCGTAGAACGAGTCTGGGTACGCGCGGCGCAGCGCGAGCTGGCGCGCCTTGGCGTACTCGATCCCGAGGTTCTTCCAGTCGAGCAGCGGCGACAGGCGCTCGACGCGGTTCCGCTGGTTGATGCGCTGCCGCCGCGTCTTGGTGCAGAAGCCGAAGAGGCAGTCCGCGAGCTGGTTCACGGACTCCTCGGCGGACTTCATGCGCCGGTCGACGATGTAGCAGCCTTCGTCCTCGGGTCGCTCGATCATGTCTTGCATGAAGCATCCGAACCCGGACAGGTTCGTCGTCACGGATGGGATCCCCATCTGTTCACGGCGTGGACGAGCGCGATGTTCATCTCAACGGCATCTCACGTGGAAGAAAAAAGAGAGGGACGTACCACCGTGCATTCCGCAGGCGTGTACCCCCACGGCTCGTAATAGCTCGCAAACACGCCGAGATGGCAGCCACGCACGAACTCCTCGTAGTCAAGCCCGAGCACGGGGTTGTTCGAGCTCAAAAAATCCGGGTGGAAGATGACCTTGACGCGGTCGTACGAGTTGTTGAACAGCTTGACGCGCCGGATCTGGTTCAGGATCGGGTCGTTCGCGTCGTCGGCCATGTTGTGCGTCGTGACGGGCGGCAGGCCGTGGCGCTTGAGCGCGAAGATGCGGCGCTTCAGGAGCACCTTGTCTTCTTCGGATAGCAGCTCGTCCGCTGAGGGAAATTTCGAAAAGTCACTGAAGAGTCGAGCGAAACCATTTTATAAACGCTGTCAAAGAGCAGGGAAGGAACACGACGGCGCTTACCCATTCGACCGCGCCGCGATGTCGAACAAGCGCGTCCCGATCCGGTTTTGGATCTCGGTCACGGTATCGCGCAACTGCTTCGTGACCGCCTGGCCCTTGAGCGAGTCGATCGTGTACGAGTGCGTCGACGCGGGCATGATCATAAACGCGACGACGGTCACGTTCGAGTTGGCGGACTGCAGGCGGTAGTTGAGCCGTGCGAGGGCCTCGATGAACATGTCCGCGCCCTTGTTTCTGTACTCGTATCGACCGGCGGTGAACAGGTAGAGGGTGTTGTCGAGGTCCCAGTCCATGTGTCCGTAAAAGTGGCCGCGGACAAACTCGTGGATCTTTGCCTTGGCGGTGGAGTGCAGGTTCTGGAACTCGTGCATCGCTTGGAACTTGACGACGTTGAGTCCATTCGGGAGGACGCCGTCGGGTTTGCGTTTGAGAAGGTGCTCGGCCTCGTACGCGGTGATGTGTGACACGGTTGTGAAGACGTCGGCGCAGTGGGCGGCGGAGCGCTCGATGCAGTAGCGGTGGTAGATCCCGCGCTTACCCGCTTCGTGGTCGACGTCAAAGTACTGGAGGTTGTTGTAGAAATCGACGCTGCCTGCGCAGAGGTAGCGGCCGAGAAGGGTTGCGTGGGTGGTGAAGACGGTGGTCACGTCGATGTGCCGTTTTCGGCAGAGAGGGATCGCAATGCCGGCTTGCCATTCGTGAAAGTGGGCGACGACGGCGGTGGTGAATTGTCGGGAGACATACTGCACATGTCAAGGATCAGTCATCGGGGCTTCGCAGCACGATTCGTCAACTCCCGCCTGAGGAATGGGTGTCTCCGGAGAGAAGTAAGGAAGACGAAGCCATTCGCGAACTGGGTCCCAGTTTTTCACCCAGGGATCACCAGAAAAGGCAACCATCGCACGTTTGTTGAAGAAGGGCGGAGCCGAGCACGATGGTGACAATAGGGAGGAAGAGAGAGAGAAATACTCACCTCGCCGAGAAACCATGCGACCAAGTAGCCAAAGACAATGGTTTCGTTCGTCTCATGATCGTTTGGGGGCGTGGGGATGCCAGCGAGGTTCCATAGATCGCCCTTCCACTCGTCGAGGCGATGGTACTGGCTGCCGGTGTCGAAGAGAAGGACGTGAGGGGCGCCCTCGATGAGCCAGCGGCCGTAGAGGGCCTTGACGCCTGTAGCGCGCATGGCTTCGAGGGCGGCTGCGATGTGGGGATCGGAGGGCTCCTCTGCCTCGACCTCCATCGGGGCGGTCTTGTAGGAGAGGGGCCCGATGAGGGTGTACCTGTCGCCAAACTCGGAGACGGTGACGGGGACCTTTGTCTTGATGACGGTGTAGATGCCGCCGACTTTGTTTGCGACCTCCCATGCACACTCGAAGAGGACGGGGTTGTGAACGTCCCGTCTTTCGTCGGCCATGAGGGTGAGCGAATGGGGGAGATGGGGATGAGTACGAAAAAGAGTGGCGAGGACGACGACGATGACGACGACGACGACGACGACGAGGGTGTGGAGAAGGTGGAGAGGGCGGAGAGGGAGAGGGACGGAGGGTCGTGTTGAGAATGGGGCTGGACGCGCTGACATCACGATTCCCATGCCCCAGATCACGTGGAATGCTCACGGGGTCTCCCGCCGCCGACGCAGCACCGCCACCCGCCAGGCACGCGCAGGGCCCATCAGATCCGACCCATAAGTTACGAGCGCGCGAGGACCCCTGACAATTCAGCCAAATGTATGTTTGGCCAAAAGGGTCCACTACAGGACAAATTTTTGGGCCTACGGCGCTACACGCCGCCTCACTACCGTAGGAAAAACATACGTTTGGCCGAATTGTCAGGGGTCCCAGCACGCGCACCCGTTCCACAATCGACCCCAAAACACGGCCCCTACAAACGTCTGATCTGCAAAAATAGGTTTATTAGTCCAGCACTCGTCTCCTCTCCTCCCCATCAAAAAGCAGATGCGTCTGCAATGCCCCGCGTCCTCATCCAGACCAACGTCAACGGAGTGAGCCCCACCCTCTGTCATAGTCTCGGGTCCTGAACGTTGGCACTGACCCCCCTCGGTTCATTTTGCCAAGAATATCACTCCTTATTCAATCGCGGGCATCGCTGCACTGCTGGTAAGCCTGTCAACCCCTCGCGCCTGACGCGTCTGACGTCCCGCGTAACTGATCCCCCCGCTCGATTTCGCCGTCCAGGTCTATGATTACATTTGCACCCTCGACCAGGAAGTACGTCCTATCCCTGACCGCGCCCCTTCCTCGTATCCGTACCGCCCGAATAGCGCCCTCCTCTCGCGACTCACTTTTTTTCATTTTCCGGATCGCTAGATCGAGTTTGTCTGGTCAGGGCCCTGGTCTCTGGGAAAATTCCTCTTCCTCGCCAATCGCTACTCGCCGTTCATAGACACCTTCATCTCCCTCCACCGTAAGCAATCCCTCTTCCGTCCACTGCGCGCCCATCGCTACAATGAATTCTTTGCGTCAGTCCTCACCAGCTTCGAGTCCCCTGAGGTAAACTTATTTCATATCTTGCGGGAAGTGATTGAAACTCATCCCCATCCCCAATAGCACTGTCTAGCCCAGTTCAAAGTCGTCGCATGTTCGTCCTTCCGTCTTCTTCCCATCTCTGCTTCGGTCCCTAACTATGTGCGCATGAAGGGCTGATCACTCTAGGCACCTTGCTCTCCGAGGGTGCGTCGGTCCCCTTGTCGGTTGTATCTTCGACAGCGTCTTGACTTCATGGGGTGCACTGCCCACAGCCATCCTGATGCTCCGGACATACGCCATCTGGGACCGCAAGCGCTGGGTCCAGGTCCTCCTCCTCTGCATCCTGCTCCTTGTCTTCCCCGCCGCGATCGCCGTCACCCACATCGAGGTCGCCTCTTTCGAATGTGCGTTTGCGCGTTCGTCTCCTGGTATGTGTTGGTACGGACTGAGTTTTCACGCGCGCAGACGGCCCCTCTCCACACCCCACGATCCCGGGATGCACGCTCAAAAAGGCCAGCAGGATCATCTACATCGCCTACGTCCTGCTCATGGTCTCCGAAACCGGTCAGTCTCGCCTGCTCCGCAAGTCGCCTCTCGCTGACCCAGCGACAGTCATCGTCGCCCTCACGGGCATCAGGGCCATCCAGCACCGTAAGTCGCGTCCCTCACGCGTCGATTCCTCTCCGCAGCCCTCGGCTGATGGCTGCCGTCAAATACAGTGCGAGCGACGCGGTCGCCCCTGGTCGTTGCTCTATACCGAGACGGTGCGTGGGCCCTCTCCCGCCACAGCACCCTCTCGCCACGCGCTGAACTGAGCCTTCACCGTCCCCATCACCTCTAGGCATACTCTTCTACGGCTATCTGTTCGGTGAGCACTATCAGCCCTGCGCCCGCTCGCCATGTGATATTCACAGAGCACGCGTTTGTCGTGTTGTTGTCGTGCCACCGGTCTTGTAGCCATCACGGCCATGAACGTGATCGTCCCCGTAGCCGCGCCGGTACGTCGCGCCCCTCCCGCCCCTCACTTTCATCGAGACAATAGCTCACACGATCCCCGCCTAACAGGTCGAGTTCTCCAACTGGCTCGCAACGTGAGTCTCCTCCTCACGCCCGCCCCGCCGACTCCTCTCACCCGTCCCGCCCCGTCCCTCCGCGACCCAGCCCCCAGCGCGTCCTGCACAGCATCATGTGTACCCGCGTCCTCCTCTTCATCTTCCGCGCGCGCTACGCGGGGTCGCATCCCCGCAGCGCCTCCGCCTCCGCCTCCCCCCACGCCTACGCCGCGCCCGCGGGCGCTACCGGCAGCGCGCGCACGGACTCGGACGCAGCGGAGCTCACGTCCTTCGCGAAGCTCACGACGATGTTCTCGACGGTGTGGGGGCCCGGCGAGGGCGCGCCGGACGGGCTCGGCGCGGGCACGCGCGTCGGCTCCTCCTCCTCCGAGGAAGGGGAGGGCGAGCTGGGCAGCGAGCAGTGGAGGCGGCGGCGGCTGCGAGGGGCGGGGGAGGGGGACGTCGAGGAGGAGATCGAGATGGAGGTTAGGAGTGAGCGCGTGCGCGGCGCCGAGGAGGATTATGAGCGGGGCCAGGGGCGCCCGAGCACGAACGCGCCGGGGGGCAGCATCGAGACGACGCGCGCGCTGCTCGGCCGCGGCGAGGAAGAGGCGCAGGACGCCATTGCTACGATCGGACGCACGCGCTCCCGATAAAAGGCCCGCAAGGCGTGGAAACGACCCGTCTCACGTTCACGTTCATGTTTTACGTTTCTTTGACGATATTTCTTTGAGATGGAGATGCGGTGCGGCGGGAGCGCAGGATATACCTAGGCAGATAGGCAGGCTGTGTAGCGAATATTTAACATTAAGTATGCGACGAGTGTATTGGTACGACGTGGTTGCTCGCTCGCACTCGTGCGAGCAGAAGTGGATCGCGTCGGGCCTGAATTTTTTGTTTTTTGGTGGGTGTCTTGCACTGAGGTGGCGCACGTATGTGTTTTGCGTACGGTATGCACATCGAGGTAGATGGGGGTGGGTGAGTGCGAGCGGGAGAAGCTAGCGAGTGCGAGCGGCCAGCGATGCCTCTACATGTCCCGCTTCTTCTTCGCGGATTTTTCGCCTGTGATGTCCCACTTGCCGAAGAGGAGGCTGGACGGGGAGGAGAAGGGGTAAGCAGAAGCCAAAACGGGACCAGGAAATACCCACTCGAAGGCAGACATGATGGTCCATTTCCGATTGTCAGCCTCGAGGAAGACGAGGGAGCGAGGTCCATAAAAGACCTAGTCGTTCGTTAAACAAAATTGATAGGCTCCTTGAGGGACCATAGGGGTCTACGCACCTCGTCGTCGACCTCATGCTGCTTGCGGGGCAGGCAGTGCAAGAACTTCCAGTCAGCCTTGGCCCCGCCCTCTTTGCAAAGCGCCTCAGTGACCTGGTACCCATGGAAATCCTTCAATCGCTGCTCTTTCTCTGCTTCCTGGCCCATCGAGATCCTATGAACAGAGGATGACCATCCGCCGTCAACATCCAGCGCGCCGAAAAACACTCACCACGTATCCGTCACGACGACGTCCGCGCCCTGTACCGCCTCGCGCGGGTCGGAGCCCCACCAGATCTTCTTGTCACACCCGAGCTCTTTGACGCGGTCCCACACGGGCGCGGGGCACTGGTACATCGCCTGCGGGGGCGTCGCGACGCGCAGCGAGTGCCCGAGGCGGGGGTACGCGACGAGCATGTCGTGCAGCACGTTCGCGGAGTCGCCGACGTACGCGACCGTGAGCGGACGCAGCGTCGGGAGCGGCTTGAAGTGGAACTTTTCGGACTCGGAGGGGGACGCGGCGGAGGCGGCGGAAGCGGGCTCGAAGAGGTGCGCGTGCTCGTGGAGGGTGAGGAGGTCCGCGAGGATCTGCGTCGGGTGCCAGAGAGAGGACAGCGCGTTGAGAACGGGCACGGGGGAGTGCTTTGCGAGCTCCTGTGGTAACGTGACGCCGGTCGAGTCATATCCTGCTGTGAGAGAGACACGCGGGCGGGGGGCGACGCACCTCGATCTCAGAGTGTTCGCCGACGCGGGCGAAGATGCCCTGGCACATGCCGCCGATGACGCGCGCGGTGTCGCGCGGGGACTCGTTCACGCCGAGCTGGATGTCCTCGCGGCCGAGGAACAGCGCGCGGCCGCCGAGCAGCACCGACGCGGTCTCTGCGGCGACGCGGGTGCGGGTGCTGCGTTTCGAGAAGATCAGCGCGATAGACTTGTTGAAGAGCGACTGGGACGGCATGCGCAGGCGCGTGCGCTTGCCGCCCGTGTACGGCGCCTGCGGGGCGAGCCAGGGCGTGGAGACCTGCTTGAGGTAGTAGGCGTGAGAGATGGCGCGAGTGATCTGGGGACCGGTAAGGTCAGCGAGGGTCATCAGGTGGGGAACGGCGGCCATCGTGAGTGTGTGCGAGCTCGACGAAGAGGACAGCGGCAAGCAGGTTTCGAGCTGTTTCAAGGCTTTGACTCAACCAGGCAGGTGGGAATTTTCAGGTCAGCTGGCTAGCATGCGCCTTCGCTTAGCCGTGTCATAACTCGACCCTTGCATGCCTCTTCTTCATCAAAAATCGAGCGTTGCGCGCACATCATATAAGTGAACGCCTTCTGACAGCTTTCATTCTTTTGGTTCTTCCAGGCAAAACTCTGCCCGTTTTTTTCTGGGTTGCCTCAATCTGATGCGAATGCCGTCTCGGCAGTCTCTGCGCGGTACGTATGAGGCTTTCACCGCGTCCGTTCTTTGTCGGAAGCCGAAGCCTGCGTGTGAGCAGCGTACTCAAAATTACGGCCTGGTACACCTCCGGCGTTGATTAGAATATCGTCGCATTCCAACCAGCCGCTCACGTCCGTCACACCATCACTACCGTCTATAGAGCGGTCATTCCGTCTCGCGTGCCGCTCTCCCCATTTCCATCCGATTGGTCGTAGGTCGGTTCAGAAATAGTCCTCATCATTCACGTCTCCTCGAGCATGTGAACGGTGCCTCTTCGGCGCTCGTCTGTCGGACTGGACCCTGCTTGACGAGGTATTTAAGGCCTCAGGTCAACGCACAGATGCATCCCCGCACCGTCTGCATCATGAAGACCATCTTTGCTCATACTGCACTCGTCGTGTCCTTTATCCTTGGCGCTGCGGCCGCCTCAGTTGTTGGTACGCAAGCAGTCGTTCGCGTTTTCATGCGTCGCGTCTTACCCGTGAATTTGAAGACATCCCGGTTGATGGGCCGGGTCGTGTCCCAAACCCTGCACGCTGCCCCAATGCGCAACTGGTCGACACCAAGTACATCGACGTGGCTGGGGACAAGGTCACGTACGCGACTTATTCCTGCGACCACGGCGACGCTGCCCCCACGTCCTCGGACGCGCTCGCAAGCCGCGGCATGTCGTCTCTGACCACCTTGGCAACGAGAGACGCGACCGAATGCACGGAGACGCCCAACTGCCGATGCGGACAGACATGTGAGTTGCCCTGTCGCGTCTGTGCGCACGTTAGACTGAATTTTGACGTGCAAATCGCAGGTGTCGCGACGTGCAACGCGAACACGGTCAATGCGCCGACGCTCTCGAACTGTCAGACCCTCACTCAGGCTCTCAAGATTGTAGGCACCAACAACGGTAAGTACCCACTCGCTCGCACGCACGCCTCTACCTTGTTCCAACGCGCGTACTCCTCGATGCAGGCATCGGCCAGACCTTCTTTGTCGATCCCGGTAACTCTGTCTTGTTCTTCTTCGGCGACTGTGGCTTCGAGTGGGACAACCTCAACAAACAGACGCAGATCGAGTACTGCTGGGATGATTTCGTCAGTGCTTCCCTATATCCGTAGCCCTCTCCTATTACGCGCTGACGACGATAAACAGGCAAACACCGAGACGACGCTCTACACCGTCTGTTTGGGTCAAAGCAGCAACAACAAGGGTGGATCGTGCCTGTCGGTCACTGATGACTGGCAGCTCTCGTACGTCTTTCCTACCATTCGCATATCAGATCTATCGAATTGATAAATCTGCCTTCGGGCTCTCAGATTCGATTTCGTTTAAAAGTCTAAATTGGCTCCTTGGGTCGCGCTTCCAAGTATCTCATTGGGATATTGTTCTTGATGGATGAAGCTTCAGTAATTGTAATTCTGCTTGATGGCCAGATATAAAGACAAGAAAATTTAGTGAGCAAAAGCGGGACTCCTGCAAAGCACCTTTGTTTAAACTGTAAGACTCGGCGTAAACTCGGGATGTCAGCGACGAGCTCCGAGCGATTTCTCGGTGTCTGACGATCCATTTTGACGATCATGTTCGATAGTTTTCTCGGTGTGAAACCTCAGAAAACCCTCAGGAGGCCCGATGCCTTTTTGGCGCTGAATAAGGACCAAGGCTAGTCAACAGCGATACCGCAAGAAACTGACCTAAAAATGTATAAGCACATAAATCGGATATTGCCGATGCTACATTTCCGGTATCGAGATCGAACCAAAGTCCAATCTCAGCCCTTTCCATTAGCATACGGATACAACGTTGGTGTGATTTTGGGGTCATTTCCGTCGGCACCAGGATCGGACATATTCATTCACCACCAATGACTTCGTACAACCATCGCACAGCTTCTGGTTCCGCATCGCTCGGGACAACGACTGAATTCGAGATCTTGAGAGCTTCACACAAGTTCCTGCGTGAAGATGACGCGGAAAATCTGGACTGGAACGAGCAGTTGGCGAGGAAATATTACTCCAGTCTCTTTCGCGAGTTCGCATTGTGCGATTTGAAGCACTACAAGACAGGGAATGTGAGTGCTTCATCTCGTTGTACATTGCCGTCCCGTCCTCATGGCCGAATGCTCCGTTCAGTTTGCGCTTCGATGGCGAACAGAAGGGGAGGTGCTCTCTGGCGCCGGCGAGACTACGTGCGGAAATTCGCGCTGTCGGCATCATGCCCCTCCAGATCATGACCCAGACAGTATTCCCTCGACCTCACTGAAGACCCTCGAGCTCCCTTTTGCATATGAGGAACACGGAGAAATGAAAAGCGCCCTGGTCAAAGTGGTCTTGTGTGACAAATGTTGCAAGAAGTTGATGTGGAAGCGAAACAAAGAGAAAGAGGAAATCATGAAGTTGGCTTCGTCGTCCTCTTCGAAAGAGGCAGAGCGCGCGAAGGAACGCAAGCCACCACAGGATCCTTCAGCAAGGGGTGATTGGGATGAACGTCCGGTCCATCGAGAAGATCAGATAGGCGACAGAATCGGGGGAGAGGAGGAAGAGAAAGAGTCAGGTCGACAATTATATCGACATGGACGACGCTCTCGCTCGCAGTCACCAACAGAGAAATCTGCCTCACATCGCTCCCATCGAAGGCGGTCTCGATCACCTCGAAGTCGTAAGATTTAGAAGGGTTTAGGTGTGTCTGTCTTCCTTGATCTTGCATAATGCTCATCTGAGTCAAGCTCGAAAGCGTTGGTTGTTGAAGTGAATATCAGATGATGCACACATCCTTCATGTGCTCACTACATGATAGCATAGACGACGTCCGCGAACGATATCATGGTCATTGATCATTTTTCGGCTCCCAAGCGCCTTTTTGTTATATGTCAAGGCATCTTATTACCGTTTGTACGATAACAATCGATAGGAGTATATGATACAGAGATGATCTTCAGATGAATTAAGGCAGGACATCCCAAATTGCCAGAAATCGAAGTTTCTGATATTCACATCCTAATCTGTCACAGCATTGACACGACGATCTTTAATGCCACACAACCTTTATTACTGGGAGGTATGGCCGCAACCCCCACCTGACATACAACAAGCGCGAACATCAAACTTTTCGTTCTTCTCGTACATCCTGCATCCTAGACACCTTAAATAATGCACTATGCGGATCCATTAGCAGATGTGACAACGGCTGCAGCAACATCTTCTCCTGGAAGGGTGGCAGCCGCGGCCGTAGTCTCGGGCTTATTGGCGTTCTTGCCCTTCCCAGGCGGTGGGGGGTGGTAGACCTTTTCCTGATCGCGCACGAGCAAGACTACTCAGCAAAAAAAACCTTTGTATATGCTATAACGCGCACCTTTTTCTTTTTGGCTGGCTTTGCATTCGGGTCTGGGTACGCTAGTTTCTCCACTTTTTGCCACTCTTCATCCTCCGAGAAAGCCTTGCGTATCGGCTCCAAGAGGCTGATGATCGCATCAGCGACCGCAGACTTCAAATCCTTTGGATGGAGAGCCTTTTCTTCAAACGCCTTCTTCATCTCCTGGAATGACGCGTAATGGCTCGACCCGCCAAACTTCTCGTCTCGATAGACGGAGAATACCGTGCCCTCCGGCGCGCCCTTGCCCACGAACGGCTTCTGTTCACCGAGCACGTCTTTAGAAACGCCCTCCTCAGGGTCGGCGCCGACCTGGCCTCGCGCGCGCTCGAGGCGCAGCTCGCTGATGGGAATGAGCACGGCATCGACGAACGCGAGTACACCGTTGTCCTCGATATTACCCTCTTCGCAAAAGGCCTTCTTGATCTTTTTCCGCACGGCATCGGGCGGGTCAAGAAAGTCGATCTTGGAATCAGGGTCGGAGGAAGACATCTTGCCCCCCGCGAGTCCCGGGACCATTGCATTCATGAGGTGCGCGCGCTTGGCGTAGCCGAGACGGGGGAGGTAGAGTTCTGCAAAGGTGAAGATTTTGCGCTGAGGTAGAGTGATGAGAGTGTGATGGGTTTGCCGCCAAATGATTCACAGTGAGAGATGCCCACCTGGTCGACGCCACCAAACTGGAAATCTACGTCCAGGTATTGTTCGTCGAGAGCTTGAAGGCCAGGATAGAGCAGCCCGCTCAGCAATGGGCTCTCTACTTGTTTCACCACCTCCGCACCGGCCTTCTTCGCATCGTGCTCGGTGACGGTCGCGCAGAGCTTATAATTGTCGAGATTGTACTCTCTCGTGAGCTGGTAAGATGAACCCTCGACGAAAACCAGCTTCGAGATGGGGATCCCAAGAGATTTGAAGACAGCGATGAGGAGGAACTGGTAGTATTTGGTCCTGTGAGTGACAAGCTCGAGTGGAGCTTTAAGATTGTCGAGAAAGGCGTGAACATCTGTGTGCGATCACATCAGATGAGATCACAAGTTCCTATGAGACACCGAAGTGGAATGACCTCCAAGTTACTTACCCGCAAGTAATATTTTGACCTCGACACCTGCCCGCAAGAAATCCGCGATCTTGGCCAAAGGCACGAAATAGCCTATGTGCGCTATACAGACACAAGGTTGTCAATTCTTTGGGTTACTCTCCAAACCCTAGCGCCCATGAACTCACGTCTGCCAGTAGGAGCAGTTCCTGCCTAGCACTAAGCATTAAATTGACGCATATATGAAGTAACTCGACGTACCCCAGTAGCATTTTGGTGTCTTGCCCTGCTCAAGAATGCTTTTTATGGATTCGCCTCCAAGTACCTCCTGTAACCGTCTTGTAATCAGATGGAATCGCTCCTCGGGAGGTGCTTGGTGCTCCATGAAGCTTGAGGTGTCGGGTCGCAGCAGGTGTTCGTCAAGCTGGGTGACTCGATCTGGCGCTCTCGGCAATCGCCAGCATTGCTATTACCTGCGATTACTCTACGCTTTCCAATAAGAAACATTTTTGTTGGTGAGATATCTCAGATTCACACCCGTTACGATTCTTTTCGGGGGAGTACATACTGGGTACATAGGGGTACATCGACTTATGGGTAATCATTCCCGGGTCTACAAATTCATGGCTATGGCACACGAAGATATCTGGAGATATTGACTGATATTGGCCCCCGTCTAGTCTCATGTACTCGTGCCCACGAAAAGTGTTTGAACAGGTAACTGTGACATGTCACATCAGGAAAAGCGCGCAGATCTTCCATGGCCGGACACGGCCTGGGAAGGCTATGTAAGCGGGGGGTGGTGACACGGCCTCGCCAGGCGCCGCCAGTCTTGTAAGAGTCGAGAAGGGTAACATGAAAATGGCCATCATGGCGAGATTTGGTCAGTCTGACGAGATCTGGCCAGTCTGGCCAGTCTCGGCAGCTCATGTCAGATTCCTCCACACTGGGCAGGTCATTCAAGAATAGATATATCATGAATGTCATTGTCAATTTTTGCAGGCTCCACATTCTCATGTCTGATCCACTCGGACTGGCAAGCTCGTTTATAAAATTCGATGTCCTTGTCATTATACACTAGCTATACTAATACACAGGAGTTTGAAAGACATACAATGCATGCCGTTACAGATCAGGGGAAATGCATAGTATCTAGGAAGCGCGTAACAGCTGCATCCTTGTCGGGCGCTTCGCTGAAGATTCAGGACGAGTTTTTGGGCGTTTCATCTCAGCGCCAGCTGGAGGGTCATCTGCAGGCTTGCGCTTGGGTCATGGCCTCGGCTTCGGGCGAGAGGTGACACCAGAGCTGCTGGCGACTGGCGGGCATGTCAAATGGCAGCTAGGGGATGTGTGAGGAGACGAGTTGGTCCACATAGTAGACAAAGATGCTGCCTGAGGGCCAGGTGAAGACAACGGAGTCAGGGGATCCAGCACAAAAGACACTGTCTTCGCAGGGAGCGGAGTGACTGGGCACGCGGGAGCTAAAGAATCCAAATTGTCTTGAGCCATCTTGATGGTTGGTGAAGCAGGCGCAGGTGGAGTTTGTGTGTTGGCACTCGACTCAGATATAGCAGCAAGTGCAGGTGCAGGTCATGTGTCGGCACTTGATTCAGATACAGCAGGTGCAGGCACAGGTTGTGTATCAGCACTCGATTCAGATGCAGCAGGAACAGAGTCTGTTTAGAACCACGATCATATCAGTATTGCCATAATTGAATTACATGAAGGAGAATACTTGTTGCTCGGCACAACTCGCGTTCCTCACGCCGCACAGCAAAAAAATCTGCATCGGTCATTTCATGGTCTTTGGGGGACTTTTCAGTGGTTTGAAGGTCTTTATCAGTGTAAAAGATTTTCCTGTAATGATTGAGCATCAGGCAGGTATAAAAAAAGAGACTACATGCTTGTTCCAATATTGAAGAGTGTCCTTGGCCCAGTCTGGATCATTCTCGAATGCAGCAATGATATTGTCGACAAATGCACGGTAATTGAAGCCATCACTGCCCTCGGTGTCCCAGCTCTTTGTCGAGCTCAGGGCAAATTGTGTCTGCAATAGAAATAAGTATGGCAATGGTAGTGTTCACTTGACGTACATGTGCGGCAGCGTAAGCAATTAGCATTGGCGTCATGCGCTAGATGCCAAGCTTTCGGGCATTGCTGCGGGGGTTGATTGTGCCACTTATCCTATCGACGGACAACGGGCACGTGTATAACGTTTGGGCAACCTGAAATGACTGGTTAGCAAGATTAGTGACTTAGAATGAAACTTACGTGGATGAGAATATGCCCATGCGCAAATCTTTCATATGGCTGGAGGCAATTATACAAATCGGGATCTTGGTACATGAATGCCGGCATCAGATCCGCGCTGATGCTCAGCTGTCCATCTTTCAGTTTGCAAAAGGTTCTATAAATGATGTTAGCGAGTATACTTTTGCGAGATGCAAACTTACCCATCAGCATCTTTTTTCCATTCACTGACCCAGCATGCAGGCATCAGATAGAATGCTGTTTGGGGGTGATCAAACCCTCTTCCAGTCTTTGTGACTTCAGAGAGCGGAGGGACAAGGCCAGCATTGAGGAGCTTTGGAATGAATCTGAGGATCCGGCCTTTGATGGTGTTGGTGTCGTCACTGCGTCCTTGTGCACCAGCCTTATTCATCTGTAAAGCTATGGTCAACGTATGCGCGCATATAGTGACCTCTCAAAACAAAATGAGCGCATATATCCACTTGCCGTCTCGAGTGCCTTGTTTGCAAGGTCACCATTGCCCGGCTGTTTGGCCAATTGGCCCAACTGCGGGACATAGCTCACGATTGCGTTGTATATGCGCCGGTACTGGGCCTTCTCTTTGTTAGATCTGGGGCACAATGGAAAGGTCAGAAGAAGACAAAGGTCATGATGAAGACCTACACTTCTCCAGCCATCAAGGCATGGAGTTCGGTGGAGTTGTCAGTGCTTCTGGACAAGCAGTTGATGCCATGCCAAAAAGCTTGTTCGAGGGGTCGGACAGGGTCTATACCCTTCCAGGCCCAACAACCAGCATGCTCGTAGATCTTCAGGTCAAATTCAGACACCCTGTGGCATGTGAGATGACAGCCATGATCAAAAGATAACAAACTGACTGAGCATTCATGTGCCTGTGGGTCTTCGTGATCGTTGCCTGCTTGGATGCTGTTGGGTTGTTGCCTAACAATGACTCTTCAATGACTAACTCTACATCGGAGGAGTGATCAGTATCAGATATGACAATGGGGCGAGCCTTGCGAGCGAGACTCGACGTGATGGAGAACGTGAGCGAGACGCGTTTCAAGCGCCAACAATGCGACACTCCTTCAAATGCGGAGCCAGAGGTTCGGCGCTGGCCAAGCTTTGTCTCAGATGCCAAAGGTACTGAATAGATATGATAATGGGATACACGACCGAGCAGGCAGGATATCTCCTGCAATTTCTTCCATCATAAGGGTAAGAGTAATCTACATAAGATTCACGCCCCCAAGGCATCACTGGCGGATTGGCTGAAACGAACCAGCGCGATTCAGCGCGTCACAAACAGAAGAAAGACAAGGGGCTGTGCCGCCTTGAGGCCTGGCTCCAGCCCAGAGGTTGCACAACAAGGTGGAGGGAAACCTGCACTGACTGTTTGCTGTCACGCGTGAGGATGGGAAAGTGTCTATAAGCAACGGTAAAGGTGATGCTACGTATTACAACGGCACTGACCCAGCTGCAACAGATCCTTCTTCTGCGGACTCCCATTGAATTCCTCCCACGTTGTGCTAGTCGAACGGCCTGTGCTCCAGCCTTCTGCCAAGTTTGCTCTGTAGGAACTGTTGCTCGGCACATCCGCAACGCTTGCAGCAGACAATATTGACGCATTACTTTTTGAGGTTGGCGTTCCATTGGCCCATGCCTGTGTGCGGTGTATGTATGAGCGATAAGGCGGGGGGGAAGACACGTAGCACTCACTTGCCACCCGAGTTGAGGCCCTTAAGGCCGTTGGCAGCACCCATTCTGACTCCAAGCATGTTGCCAGTGGGATGAGACGATTTCCTCTGGCCTTGCAGCACCTCAATAGGAAATGACGTGTGGTGAGCGGCTAAGGAAGGCAAGGTGCAAAAAGCAAACGAAAGCGAACATTGCCCAGAGGACCTCGAGCATGAGCAGTGCAACACCCCCCATGCCCGGATGCCAGATGTACTCAGGGCCGCGGAAGTACACAGTGGCGAGGGTGTCCATGATCTGCAGCAGCGCATGCGGTGGGCCCCAGGCATTTGGCAGGTGCGGGTGCCGCGTGAGGGTCATCGATAGATGGGCTCTGTGCGGGGTGCTGCTCAGTGATGTAAGGCAAGGTGGGAGGGCCACGTTGTGGACGAGCGAATGTGGAGATGCACCTTGTCGAAGTGGGTTTTCACCTGGAGCTCGACACACGCACTCTCACTGGTGATGAGGCACCCACCGACAATGCTACCCTGGATTAATATCTCACCAGGCTTGCCGACGACGACACCCTTGGGATCCGCACAATTGAAGGGCTCATCCGGGACCTCGATGACATCAATGTTGACTTATCGGTGACGAGCTTGTTGTCGCCTTTCCATGCAAGGCCGACGGCCACGCAGACCTTGTAGCGGACACGTGCGAGGCCGGAGGAGAAGTTGGTCATGGACAGGGAGGTGTGTGGGATGGGGAGGTGCAAGAGGAAGGTGGTGAGCCCATGGCGGGCGGGGTAGCAGTGAGCGGGGAGCAGGAGCTCGCCTGCAAGCGGGTGAGGGAGGACGGCATTGGAGGATGGCAGGCCAGGGTTCTAGAAGAACCTTTGGGTGTGTAGGAAGGTGGAGGTGGCCAAGTGGTCCTGCGAGGTGAGCTCTGCATGAACGACTCAGACGTGGGTGGGCAGACAGACAAACGGGTGACTCACCATCTCTCTCTTCTCCATTATCGCATTCCTTGCTCTCCTACACTGGCAAGCGTGGATGGTGCAGGCTTGAACTTGCTCAGCGAGCTTGCAAGAGGGTCCTGGGAGGTCCTAGAGCCGCCACTGCATCGTCTTGAGCACCTTGTCATCACTGGTCAAGTCTAGTCAAAATTTGGCGTCAACCTGGAGAGCGGTCGTTGGACATGGTATGAATGCTGTGGGGGTGGGGTATCTGGCCACTTCCCTTATGGGTGCAGCTACGTGTGGTACCCTACCAAAGAGAGAGAGAGGTAAGTCGCATCGTTGACAGTGCAAGTGGACATACAAACAAATGCAAATACTTACCTCGTCATGAATCACATTTACAGCCCTCGCTCAGTGTTCAGCCCTCGATACATTATCTCAATGGCTCCCCATCTCTGCCAGGGATGCAGGCACGATGACTTCAAATCCGAAAAGGGCCTCAAATGGCATATCAGGTCTTGCATGGCCTATTTGGAATATGTCGAGGGTATCATCACCCAAAAACGCACATGGGATGAGGAAACCACTGCTGATCAAGTCACAAAGTGCGCATGTGTTGAAGATGGCAGAGACAAGGGAGAAGGGAGCTCACAACAGGTGGTGTGGGATCTCGATGTAAGTATACATACTTTGCGGATGGACGCACAAGCTCACCTTTTCTCAATCCAAAGAACGATATGTCTGTGGATGTAGAGAATCAGAGAATCCACATTTCAGATCTACCCCAGCCTCTCTCTCAAGCCCCAGATTCATCAACTCGCTCAGGCCATTCTGGACGTGCTGTGCGTTTCCCTTGGCAATTTGACGACTTTGTGCCAGTCGCACCGACTCCCTTGGCGCATATTCCAAATATAACTCGCGCATGGAATCCTAGCGTTGCAGATGCAACATTGATTCTGCCGCCACCGCCTTCTGCAGAACAATTGCACCCCTCCACTTTGACTCCAGAGCCCCCGAAGCCTATCGTCACGAAGCCAAATGGTTTTGGACTCTTCCGTCGCTACCCGACACAGCCAACAATTGATCCAGAATCTGCATTTTCACTTGACAGTGTCTGTGACACTCCGACTCTTGCTCAGACTAATCAAATGGCCACTTCGCGTGGCCCCGAGACAAACTCTGGGATCAATGGTTCGAAAGACTGTTTTTTTCCATTCTCAAACTACAGCTCAGCCAAAATTGCTGGCTGGCACTACTCTGGGTCTTCTGATAATCTATTGGTGAGACAAATTGATTGGTAGAGGCATTTCGCGATCCTCGATTTGATGTGAAGGAGCTTGTGAAATTCAACCTCAACCAAGAAAATGAGCGCCTTGACCATTATCTTAATGACATTGACAATCCGTTCTCAGGCGAGGATGGATGGCTCAAGGCGTCTGTAAAAATCCGGTTGCCCAAGACGGGCAAAAAGTTCCTGGGCGAGTCGGCTGCCCCTTAGTTTGAGGTGAAAGACATCTATCACCGCTGTCTCATCGACATCATCAAAGGAACCCTGTCAGATCCGGTCGCGCAAACATTCCACATGACCCCCTTTGAACAATTCTGGGTCACAGACGATGGCAAACGTGAGCGGGTGTATTCTGAGATCTACTCCTCGGATGTGATGCTTGAGGCCCACAAGGAGGTCTGCGCGCTGCCACATGAACCCAGTGACGATCTCGAATGTGTTGTCGTCCCATTGATGGCCTGGTCCGATTCAACACATCTTGCAAGCTTTGGGGATGCATCGCTCTGGCCGATCTACGTCTCGTTCGGAAACCAATCAAAGTATGTTCGTGGAAAGCCAACATCTCACGCATGCCATCATCTGGCCTACATTCCTTCGGTATGTTTCTACACTCACGACACACTATTTTCCGCTCAATTTTGTCCAGCTTCCCAGCCAGATTCAGGAATATTACAGAAAGGTCTACGGAGAAACAGCATCTTCAAAGGTTATCACTCACTGCAAGCGCGAACTCATGCAAAAAATCTGGGAGCACTTACTAGATGAAGAATTCATGAAGGCGCACAAGCACAGAATCAAGATTCTATGCAGCGACAATGTTTGGCACCTTTTTTTCCCGCGATTCCTGACATACTCTGCAGACTATCCAGAGAAGTAAGTCTTCACATGGTCTACAATATTTGTTGATGATGAACATACTTCTAGAGTCCTCCTCACCACAATTAAGTACCTTGGAACCTGTCCATGTCCTCAGTGCCTTGTCGAGAAGAGCGAGATCTCACAAATGGGCTCCAAGTTGGATATGCGGCGGCGTGAAGCCATCCGCCTCGACACCCCTATCTGACGTATTGAATTAGAAACTGCACGTAAAATCATCTTTCAGAATGGAGTTCCTGTCGACAGTAAGAGAGTCGACAAGGTCCTGGGCAATCACTCTCTTACTCCGACACAGGTGCTTCATCTCATAGAACATCTTTGGTTATTTGCTCATTTTTCATTTTGTGTACAGAATATATTTTCGCACCGATTCCATCAATCTGGATCAAATTTCTTCTGGATGTTTGTCGTTGATCTCTTGCATGAATTTGAACTCGGCGTTTGGAAAGCCACATTTACTCACCTGATCCGTATCTTGTACACTGAGGGTGGTGACCAGGTTCAGCACTTGGATGAGCGGTATGTTTGTTACGTACTCGTGTTTGGTGGATATTAACAAATCATAGATACCGATGGGTTCCAACATTCGGTGTAGACGCCATCCGAAGATTTCATAACAATGCATCTGCCATGAAGAAACCAGCTGCACGAGACTTCGAAGATCTTATTCAGGTACATGTTCATGCATGCTCTCTCAGTTTATACAGTGTTTATATATTTCTGCAGTGTGCCATTCCTTGTTTTGACAGCCTGCTACCTGCACCCCACCATGCCATTGTTATGGACCTGCTTTTTGCTCTTGCAACATGGCATGCTTATGCTAAGCTGCGGCTCCACACTGACTCAACATTGATATCTCTTGAGTTGGCAACAACAGCACTCGGCCAACACATGCGCAAATTCAAAGCTACTACCTGCGCATCCTATAAGACAATGGAGCTTCCAGGAGAAGAAACTCGCCGTGTACGATGGCAAGTTGCCAAGGCCACAAACCAACAAAAGAAAACAACGGCACTCAGTGCAAAGAAGAAAAAACTCACACAGCCAGGAAAACGACGGAAGGACTTCAATATTTCCACATACAAGAATCACGCGCTTGGGCATTACGCCAAGACAATCCGGCTCTTTGGTACGACAGATTCATATACATCGCAAGTCATAAGTTAGCCTCTTTTTTGAAGCATCTTGGCTGACTTGTTACGAGCAGGGAGAACTTCAGCACCGCCACTCAAAGCGCCGCTTCAAAAGGACAAACAAAAACCAGTTCACGAAGCAGCTCGCACAACATGAGAGCCGAGAACGTGTTGTGCGCAAAGTAAATGAATGCATGATGGCCTCCAGTCAACCCCTCCCGGCCCCTGCTGGTAAGAAGTTGACTGCTCGTGGTGATGCCCTCCTGTGCACACGGCCAGAAATACACCATCATATTGCTGAGTCTGTCAAAGAGTATGACTACATCACCCCTTGGCTTACCGGGAACCTAGGGGACCCTGCACTCAAGGTATGCATGTATAGTTCCCGATCGACATTCTCACCTCTTACAAGCTTTTTTTTCTAAAGGAATTTCTTCCGCGTCTTCGGGACCACCTGCTTGCATGCTTACTAGGCAAAATTTGGGACGGTGACGAGCACAGCTTCACAGATGCAGAGCGGAGACAAATTCTATTCGATAATGACCGCCTTTACTGACACAGCACTGTACGGATCAACTACACGACATATGATCTACGTTGAGCCCAGGATTCCATCAACACACACAGTCATGCCGATATCATGCTACTGTCGCATGAAGATGACAGTGATGCAACCCCTCCGCACCCCTACTGGTATGCCCGTGTCATTGGCATCTACCATGTCTTCGTCACGCACCCGACCCTGTCGCCTGAACCTAGACGGCTTGATTTCCTTTGGGTCCGCTGGTTCGGCCGCGATATGGGCTTGCCAAGTGGATAGGCCGCGAGACGCCCACATCGTGTTGGCTTTGTCGATAGCAACGACCCGAGCGCATTTGGTTTTGTTAATCCTCAAGATGTGATCCGCTGATACGCTAGAGGTGGCTCTCAGTGCCGAGCACAACACCAAAACAACCTCTAATGCAGGGGTGCTAGAGCTAGTATCTGATACACAAGGAATTGTTAGTGACAACTTTAGAAATCGATGGCGTACTGAGAAGCAGCGAGGAGTGTGAGATTATAGTGCCCGAACGGTTTCAGGACTACTACACAACACCAACCAAATGTTCGGTCGGTCGTGTCGGCGATTCGGTCGGTAACGAGAAGGTAGTGTCGCGACCAACAACTACATGCTTCAAGAGCCACACGGGACTCTGACAATATACGAGGGAGGACGAGGGGTACGAGCGAAGAGACGAGTACAAACGCGAACAAGGCCGAACGACGAGGATGACAAGTTTTTGGGAGCCGATGAAGATGATTTTGATGGTTGAGACGAGTGCGAGTGAGCTCTGAACTGTGGGGTGCGAAAGCTGGTTTATTCCAGAGTTGTATGTAGGTTTTTATAGTAAACAGCACCCCTAAGTAAAATATCGAACCTGAAATGAGAGTAGATGTTGAATGGGCGCCAAGCCTTAGCAATCAGAGAAGATAAGAAGGTAGGTGAGATGTCCATATGGGTTCCAAAGGTGATAAGGTAAAAGGTAATCAGTGATGTCGAAATCCTGAACGTTCGGGATCCGTCGCCCGAGTGTAGGTAGCAGGAACAGGCGTTGGAGAATCAATGAAAAATAAAGGAGAGGTATCGTACGACCAGGGTGGCCAAGCAATGGTGCAAGATCGCGTTTGACCGACCATGCGGAAGTCAGGAAGATAAGCGATAAGGACCGACTGACTCACGGAGGACATCAGCCGATACGGAATACTGGCTCCGATCTCGTAAACACCTATCGTAACACTCCTGTGCAGTCATGGTAAGTACGTGAAGTGTGGGCAAACTGACCCAAGTGCTGCCGAATCGTCCTTCGGTGGCTTGTCGTCGGTCGGGTAGGGACCGACCGTGTTTGGTAAAAGTTGGCGTCTTCGGTGCTTGTCTAGCGCTGTTCGGTATCTCCCCAAAGCTTCCCGAATACCTCCCTCAGACCCTAGCGCGGGTGCATGCTCATCACCGCGGTGTTCATATGATCCCGGGATTTGCTTACGGTCACACGTCCAAACTTTTAGCGCATTCAATTGCTAGAAAACATGAAGAAAACAAACCTGACAGGAATGATGACGAAGAAGACCCTGAATGGATGTATCAAAATGAGTATGACGAGCGCTGCGAAGAGACCGACTACCTTTTTTATTATGTCGGAATGTACGCATTTCTTATTCATCTTGTGAGTCATGACTGACAGGCACCAGGTTTGCCGACTGTGATATGTTTATGAGGTTCCGCGGTGGCGGAATAGGCCATAGAGGTACACGCAGTGTTGACAAGTACCTCCAACAGGATACGTACACCCTTAACCCCGAGGATCTCACCGAAGAGCACAAGGCACCTTTGAATGGCCCGAGCAACACGAACGCCGCCACGGTCAGCACTGCCGAAGCCAACGTAGCGTCAAACGACACGCACATGAGCACTGCCAATGCCACAGCGACATTATACGTGGACATGCTGTCAACAGAGGGTGATGCTGACGGTGTTGCCAACAAAGGAGGGGGGGTTTTAGACAGCGAGGACTCGGGTATGCCAGAGGATCCTGAGAACATATCAAAAGGTAAGAGCCGTGAAACAGCGGGGGAAAGCGACACCCACGATGATGACAAGGACGAGGACGAGGAAGAGGACAAGGGCAAACATGAAGGCGAGTCCGAGTCCAGGTCTGAAGATGAGTCCGAGTCTGAGTCCGAGTCCGATGATGGGAGCGGCTCAGAGGATGCTGCAGACAAGGGATCAGAGAGCGGGGACACTGACGACGAGGCCGATGACAAGGCCATTCGAGACCATGAAGGCTACGGCCCACTGTAGGTCACCTAACTTGTCGCCTGTGCTTGTTTTTGTTGTGCGTCGATAGAACTGCATGGCCTAGTAGTTGTTTTCACACGAGGGTAGCTGTAGCAAGCTGGTTGGAGCCATAAAAGCCTCGCATTTCGTAGCTATACTGTACTTGTACCGACCAGTACGAGACTGCGTAGAGACGTCAACTGGGGAAGCCTGGGGAGAGCTCAAAAAACATACCTGGGCTGACAAGCCCATGTAAGCCCATGTCGGGATTCGCCGGCCTCGCCAGGCTTCGCCAGATTTAGGCGCTTTTCCTGATGCATGTCTCCTAGTTTCCAACTGTCTCTTGAGAGCAATTATGAATGGATCAACAATTTGATAGTCTTTATGGAGAGCTAGGAATGTCTTTTATACAATGCAGTAGTTAAAATCTTGTATGCCAGCCTTTTGCTGCCTGAACTTATGCAACTCTCTCTGGCATCTTCCAAGTACTCTTTTATACCCAAGCCTCCACCTTGTCTTCAGCCCTTCTCACTCATGGTTGCAGGTGGGAATTTCAGCTTGATCAGTGGACCTTTCATACCATGTGCAATACACCTCCATACCATGATGGATTTATGGCCACTCTTGAAGGTTGGCTGTATAGTCTTGGAAAGAAATTCTTTACCTGGTGATCTTATCACTCTTAGCATCTAGGAAACCACCCCCTTGTATTAGCTCTGGATTATATCTAATAGTGTCTAAAAGTATCTAAAAGTGTTAATAGCATCTAAAAGTGTCTAATTTTCTAATTGGGAGCAATATATTGTGAGCATTGGATTGGATTTGAAGATTGGGAACCACCTTTTTCTATGGCTAAAAAGATAGTTTCTAATTTCATGATATTAGCACTAATTCCATACCAAGAAGTCTTTAATTAGCAGCAGAAAATAGTAAGTACTACTGCTCTATTAGTGAGAAGGTAAAGATATGGCACATTTTATGCTATTTCAGCACATTACTCTCCTTTATGTATACCTGCACCATCATCTTGTAGCTCTTTTGCTGAATTTCTAGCTGTCTTGACAAGGGACATGGAAAGAGAGGAATGTGCATTGATGCTCCTAGCCACTTTGTTGGCACCTTAGTAGCTGCCATGGGGGACTATGAAGACCTTGGTACCTTGGCCTTGTACACAAGATTATCAAAGTTATTATTGTCAGCTAATGCCTGCGACTGGTCAATATAGGACATAATATGCAGGTTGGGCTTAGAGATGTGCTATATGCAGCCTTGTAGACCTTGTCTATTAGTACAGTGGTCATTACTATCTTATATAGCATACAATCATCATTGCCATTGATATTACAATTTTTAGCACCATCCATATTGTTCGTTGCCTTGTTATACAAAAGATGCTCAAACTTGGTGTTTTCCTCTAGCCATTGGGCTGTGGAAAAGACAGTCATGTTGGTATATGGTGCCAGAATGATATATTTGCCTACTATGTAGGAAATATGTGTACCAAGCATATTAAGATTATTTCCAATAATCTTGTGCTTATTTATACATAGGCATGCTATACATACACCCTTGTTTCCACCCTCTACCTTGCTAGTGGCTATTTGGAAAACCTCTCTCTCTTATTAAATCTTAATTATTGATAATCATTAATGATACTAATTTGAGCTAATTATGACTAATTATTCATAATCATGTTTTTGATTAAATTTGCAAATTAAGATAGCATTGTTTATACTAGTAGAGTCCCATTGAATATTATACTCAATCATAGTTTTATTCTAAATCCAAATTATGTAAGTGCCATAATTTGTTTTTACCCTAAATAAAGTGTATTATTTATTTTCCATTGGTTTATTATCACTTTAGCTGGTGTTTAAACTAAATCCTAAAAGACCTGACTTTCTGGGTATTTATTGACCTGTTTATTTATAAGACAGAGAAAAGATAAATATTGAATAAAATCTGAGATGTTGAGATTGCCTATATTATGTCTACTTATTTAGATTACCAAGTTAATATATTAGACCTTATAGCTTAGTAGCTTAGAGCATTCATCTTAGGTGCTTATATATGTGAGGTTGTTGGTTCAACTCTGGCAAAAGGCAAGTTTGTTATAAGGTATATTCTGTGTTTAGGTATTCAACTAGTGCTCTGATAAACATGACTCTATAAGAAGGCTATGAGAACTGTAATGCTTGATTTATCATTATTTTTCCGAAATTTCAAGCTATAATCAATCCTAATGATTCCTAATTTAGGAAAATTATGTCTTATTAGAACAGGTTTAGGGGGGGGGGGTAAGCAAATAATCTCTAATCCTAATCATTATTAATTATGCATAAATAGAACTAATTAGAGCATAATACAAGAGAGTGACCCCCCATATAACTCCTATGTCCTAGCCTCTCTCCTAACTCCAACTTTGCCTCATTAGTCCAGATAACCTCATTCCAATCCCTTGTCATATTCTCCTTTGCCCAAATGAGACATTTCCAGACAGCTGCTAGTAATAGGAAGGGCTTGCAACATGCAACTTGGTGGTGATAGCTAGCAGAAGTTGCTATAGTATAAACTTGTCAGGATGTTACATGTTCAACATGCTCAGAAATGATGGAATAAGAGTCCAGATGGTGTATACAGATCTTATGAAGGACCCTGCACTATGTGCAGCCGTTAACAATATGTGGTTGGCCAGATCAAGGGAGACTGTGTCAGGTATGGAATTGGTTCTTGTAAGTGGCAGTATAATGGCATGCTCCAACAGAAGCACCAGTCAAGGAAGCAATTTTTCAATATGAGTATCCAAGATCATGCAAAGCAAGGTTTCAACCTCTTTTTGAGGGTGTAAACTCAGTGGTTCTAGCAGGAGGCATGAATTTCTTAAGACTACTGAGGCTTAGCAACTTATATAGAAGCTTCATGTGACAGTGTTCAAACACTTTTCGTGAGCACGAGTACACGATCCAATCCAATCCTACTTCTTTGAATTGAGCTCGGACGATCTTGGAAAATAGTTAGCATGGGAACAAATGATGGCAGATAGCTGGTTGCATGGCGCTGGCCGTAATCAGTTTCCACTTGTTTTCACCCATCACAATACATGAAGTAAACTCTTGCATGCAAGCTCCAAAAAGTGTCGATCTTCCGCCTCATTTACGTCCCCACTCCATCCAACATTGTGGGCATCATTTTAGAATCCATGGTACAATGTACCTAGACGTACCTGTGCTGATGGTCATTCTACGAAAGGAAAGGCGTTGACAACCGCAACAGAGTATCTGACTGTACTGAAAGAGTTACAACTCTCCGCGGAACCGATTTTGCCTTTTTCTCAAAGTCACCATGTTTCAGCTTGCTAAACTTACCCATGATGAACGTCACCTTCAAGCCGGCATCAAGAATGGACGGACCCTCTGGATAAAATATTCTTTTCAAGGTCAAGGATAGGCAAGCTGTCGAACGTGTCTTAAGACGGAGACCCTGTGGCTTCCAAACGATATAGCTATACGATACGTCGCCTGTCCATGAATAGTACACATACCATTCAGTAACCCACGGAGGGCATCCAACACCGAGATCATGCGCTGTACTCCACGGAAACGAATGTGAATAGCACGGGAGCACACATCAGGCAGCTGCAACTAGAGCTGACACTTCCTTGTACCCTTTGAAGCCCATGCATAGCCAGTAACCTTCACTGGATTCGGCTCGGCTCGCACCAGGCTTGATATAGAGCACATCGTGGAAATTAGGGTTCAGATACACTTGTCGGAACTCCTGTAGGATCGGATGTGCAAAATGTTTCAATCTTGGAAAAGCAGTCAGCACCCTTAGAAAAGAAGAGAATAACAAGAGACAAACAAAAGCACGCCACCACGTTTTCTTCCTATGCTCTCCGCCGTTCTCAGATGCTGACTAGCAAACGCCCATACCGCTTCACAGATGTCCAGACTGGCCTGGGTATCTCGAATTTTATTACCGGACATGTTCGCAGCCATATCCGACAAGATGACATCTGCCTTGCCTTCCTTGTTCGCCTTCGCCTTGAGGATTTCCTGAACAAGAGATCCGGCTTCTGGCGATAGGAAGTCCAACTGCATAGAGTGCACACCCGGAATTGGCTGCATGCGCAGCTTGTCGATAGCGACTACCACCCCCCGGCCCGTACTCTCTGTACCTCTCGTCTCCTCTGGCAGAGCATAAGCCTCTCCGGTACTCCACGATCCATCCGCCTGAAGCTCGACCTCTTCGATCCGTTTCAGCCCCCACTTGTCTGCGGCATCATCCACACGCGGACTGCTTCCCACATCCCATGGACTTGACGCTTCTGCGTTATGTCCATCAGACCAGCCCATAAACCCTGCGATGACCTGGCTCCAACCTCCAGGAGCGGCTCCCAGATCAACCACCGCATGTACATCAGAGCGGCGCAAGAAGCGTGAATACTTGTCGTCAATCTCTAATAGCTTGAAGGCAGAGCGTGACCGGTAGTTCTCTGGGTTCGAAAGACGTTGTCGGACATATGGGTCATCAAAATGGCGCGAGAGCCAGAATTTGGAAGAAGGGGCAGCATTTTTCCCTTTGCAAAGGGCGAGTGTTGGTCTGAAGGGCATAGAAAGTGGCTGCAAGTAACACTGCGCCACCGTGTTGGCTTCGGTTCACACCGTCCACCGGACCGGAGCCACCGTACCGCTACTTACCGTCGACACTCCGACTGCGGCGCTCTCTCCCCCTCTCCAAACTCTGGCTGCAAATGACATCCCAGGCCGCATTATATCCTGGCTACAAGCAGGTACAGTCATTTGATATAGACGAGAAGTACACATGCGGAGAAACCGGGGAGGTAGAAGAGGAAGTATCATACGTGACGTTGGACTTGGGCAATGTAGAACCAACACTTGTGCCCAGCAGTACCACCTGTCGTTTCACTGTGCGTGGTCTCTTCATATTGATTGGCAACTAGATGATCCGAACAGAAGTGAATTTATTTTCAAGTAGGGACTCGACACCTCCACTCCCTTCTTACAGCTTTCGGGTACAATCTTCAAGGGTAGACATCAGTCTTTACTAGGCACCGAGCTTCTTTTCACCGAAGAGAAAGGTGACTATCTGAGACGATCCATATCACCATTTATTTTCACCTTGCTGACGCTCACACGGCTCCACGCTCCAGGTGATCGAGACTACAGCAGGAAATTGATCGTTCATGTCGCAAATACCGAACAACGTATTCATTTCAAAGAGGTCGAGCTTCGACAAAAGACATCCAGTCAAACAATTGATCCACATCGTGGACAGCGTGGGCGGACCGCAGACGGAACCGATGCTTCTACAGTCAAGTCTCATGGTGTAGACATCATGACGGGGAGTACGAGCGAAGCGCCTGCTGATGCTCCACTGCGTGGCCGTAAGGCCAGGGGAACAAATGTGAATCGAGGAGTGGGAACTGGCACAGGAGATGCACGCGTCGGTGACCGTCATGTGTCGGAAGCATGATGCGGTATCGTCACGTTGCTCAGCAGCCAGAACATTGATGTCACGATACACATGTTTCTATTATCACAGGTTAGGCATTGGTATTTTTGAGGGGGCAGCATAGTGCAGAGGAATACTCTCGCTAGGGTGCATGACTGCGAGTAGTTGTCACCACAAACTGTACATGTAAGTAATGTGTAATTTTCTCGACTCTGTATTTTTATTGCTCTCAAGGTGATACACATTCGTTCTATTTTTAAGGGGAAATACGAGTTCCTTGTGAAAGGTCAGTCTCGCAATCAGCAGGGACTCGCAATGCGTATAACATCTGGAAAGCGTCGCACAAACTTGTCTTTCCGCGTCATGTTGTATTCCTTCTTTAGATGTATGAGGTATTAACGCAAACACCCATTTTTCACAACTCAAGTACGGTTCCGGAAGCAACACCCACAAATAGCTTCAATACATGGCAGGGGGACCAATGATTTGGAAGATCCGTGATCCATTTGTTCTGATACTCCGTCCCTACTCCGTGGCCTTGTAGGAGACTCCACAGCCCAGATTTGAACATGGGTTGCCCGGCGATACCAGGCTGCCTATTTTTGAAAATCCGCTCCCATACGCCGAGGAACTGTCACGAAGCAGCGACAAGTAGAGCGCATGTAAATTTTAAAACAAGCAATATAAGAAATGAGTCGTCGTGGAGTAAGTCTTTTTGAAATTGATTGATGCCGCCTTGACACAAAATGGCCTTGTATAGTCACAATCCAGGTTGCTTCTCTTTCCGGCCGCTCGGCAAGCAGAGCAAAGAAGTTGAGAGTCCATAATCGTTCTCTCATCCTCATTCTTTGCTTTAAAAATCGGAGAATGGGTCCAGGGAGATCATTCGCATAAAAGATACAATCCGCGCAGAGGTGTGAAATGATATAGGGGTTTTTGATTGATATTCCATGCTTCCAAACTCTCTATCCGACATCATGGACGGCTGTGGCAACCGCCGACGTATGTTTAGAGGCTGAGGTCGACGGGGACGCAGCCGATAGCCACTACGCCGTCTGTAGAAGTATCATGATTTAGCAATCAATATAGTTGACGTGAAAAAAATTAATTTTATACGCTTACTGTAGCTATTATCCTCGCAGCATACGGGAGATGCATCGCTACTCAACTAGTCAGTACATAGCACAGCAGATAAACAAGAAACCGAAAGACGTACCAGGAGGCACCACTGCCTACGCCGATGACAGAGATCGGGGTGCAAGTCAGCCCAACCGGAATGTTGAGGTCTTGAACGACGATGCCGAGCAGGCCCAGCTCGTTTGCGGCGGCTGGGCTTCCAGCACTCTGCACAGAATCGCAACACTGTACAGGAGCTGTGTCACACTGGCTGGCAGGTTCCGTACGCTTAGTAGGGCTCGCAGATGCGAGAGTGATGAGGGCGATGACAGGAATAAGAGCGAGTATGGAGAACATGTTTGGAGTGTTAGAATAGTTGAATAGCGTGCGATTGTGTTCGACTGAGGAATCTGCATGGATGAATGAAGGCTTTATATACTTTTAGATGGCCTGCGACATCTTCCTTTCTGTTTGCGCAAATTTCGCGCATGCTATATATGACGTACCAAACGGCGAAGCAACTTATTGTATGGGCAGCAATGCTCGACAACACTAGCGGTTCCGTGTCGTAGGGCTACATCAAAGTATGGGTAACACGGAGCCCAATCGCATTGTCCCTCATGATCCTGCAGACAGGGACAATCAGAACGGTGGAGAGGGTTAAATCGAATGCCGTGCACCTCTCCCCGTATCCTCTCATTCTGGAAAACCGTCTCCTCGTTCGAGAAGGCTTGCGGGAACTAGAGACAATTTTAGAGAAGTAGGACACTTCTTTCACCGGGACCCAGGAAAAAACAACAACGCATAGGTACTGACATGTTGAGCGCAGCCCCACAGTATTCAATAACAGTGATCAGAGACGAGAGGGGAATTAAGTCCCGAAGAAGAGACACCACCTTACATACTGTCGTGAGGTATAGGCTCGTTATCAGATGACCACGATGAACATCGCAAAGGAGAACATTAAATGTCTAGACTGCAAGGGAGGTAGAACGGTGACTCAAGTGGTCCAAATCCGGGTGGCTGAATATATGCTAGGTGGGTAAAATTAAATATTTGCGTTCAAAAGTCTTGGTCATGGGACGAAGGAGCGTCTGCGTGGCCCTGGCTTCTGTGTGGTCACAGCGTCCAACTCCGAGGACACATACAAATCTAGAGATGAAATTGACGGCCGACGAGCGAATCCATGGGAAGGCAAAGGAGTTTCTCAGTAAATCGCTGCAGCACCGCAAAAGTTCCTCGAGCTAGGCTTGGATGGGGCGAAATATTGAATAGAGGGGAAGGTATTGGCATCACCAAACTGATTCGGTATGTTGCACCCGGATAGAACCAGACTCAGCGCGATCATCGATATTTGCCCCGTCTGATATCTGTAATACGATTGGAGGTGTTGAGTCAAAACGGAAGAGGTCCGCGGGAAGAGAGCAGTACGTATCAGATCTCCTCGATCGATTCAGCAAACTTATTTGAATTTATCTGTGAAAAACAGCTTACGGTGGTTTCGAGAACGTCCCAACTGCGATGGATACCGTGATGCAGAGAACATACCGTCACCTGTGGAGTGCCATGTCCTCAGAGTTTGAAAGGCCAAAATAGGGTATTCCAAGTATTCTCTACTTAGAAACTAGCAGATGACAGTGATGTGACACGGCACAGCAACACGGCGTCATGCATAAAGCGTGGAGCTGACGATTTTAAACACCCTTGTGATCGACAATCATGAGCGATCGACCCTCAAAAAAATAGGACTCGCACGGGCTCAAAGGAGATTGTGCGATTATCATCGGCACCTGACATTCAACGTTTGCTACAATCAACGGAGACTTGCCTTTGGGTTATGTGTGCTGTGCTAATTGACTTTCGCCGGAGCAAAGAATTACTCAGTGTCCATCACCGTCATCATAAACTGCTATGTAGCGGGCCACTCACCATTTGTTCTAGATGTTCGCTACATCAGGGAACCTAGACCTCACGGATCATGCAGCACTGAAGTAGATGCGGTCTCGAACGTTCTTCGAACTTCTTGCGATGAAAATTTCCGCATGCCTGGATGCTCCACCAAATATGAATGTCATACCGGAAGGGCATCGCAAAGTCTAATTATTCCACTACATTCTGTAGAATGTCTACAGTGTGTGATGCTGACCCTTAGTTCAGATGGTCAGAGAGCGGTGCAATCGGTGGAACCTCACCCCAATCTGGCAGCTGAGTCCTGCTCACAGGATCTTGGATTTCGTAGGCTAAGTTGAGGTTTGTGGAGTAGCTTTTCCTCTTGCAGAAAAACTTCGACGTCGTATGAGACGTAGGGGGACCAGGCCCTCCAATAGCATGAACAGTAGTAATCTTACTCGATCCTCATGACGGCCACCGGGCGTTCCCTGTCCCGACGCGACAAAGACATAACTGCATGTTTGGTGCCATTAGGGACAAAGATATTTTCAACGATGAAAGGAGCGACCTGAAGTAGCGTTCAAAAGGTACGATCTGCCATAATATTTGATGGGCGGACCTGTAATTCAGCTTTCGCGAATCGGTAACATATGTGATGTCACCCATTGCATAGGAGCCTTCGGTAATGAGCACTCTTCAAGCGCACGAAGCCTGGCTTCACTCGGACATATGAAATTTCCTGCGCGAGGGTAAGTTAATAGTGAGATTTTCTGGCAGATTCCCTGCTCTATAAAGTGAGCTTGTCCGCCTACCGTCTCTTCAGTCATTTCACCGACCCTCGATCATTGAAATGTTTGCCAGATCCTCTCTTCTTGTTGTGACTATCTTCGCCGCAATTAGCTTTGCAGCCGCCTGGGGCTCGCCGCCGACCCCGACCATCACCGTAACAGTGGCCCCCCAGCCGACGACGACAAGTCCGGCCAGCCAATGCAACACCGGCCCCGTGCAATGCTGCGATAGCACCACAACGGCTGGCGCACCGGATGCTGCGGATGTCCTGTCTCTCCTCGGCGTTGTCGTACAGGATCTTGACGTGGTCGTCGGCCTCTCCTGCTCCCCGATATCTGTTGTCGGTCTTGGGAGTGGTGCCAGTTGGTGAGCAATCTTTCACGCGAAACGGGAGAGATTGAAGCCATTGATAACAACCATCTCTAGCGCCGCTGATCCCGTCTGCTGCGAAGACAATAACTTCAGTAAAGCTTATTTCTGATGAGTCTCCGAGTTTGAACTGACCTTCGCCTCGCCAGATGGCCTCATCTCCATTGGCTGTTCCCCCGTCAATCTCGGCCTTTGAGCTCACAGAAGTGGCCGAAGGAGAAGGTTGTGACATTCATGACGAAGTTATGTATGGAGTCAGTGAAGGAAAGGAGGGTGGTTGGTTGATCTTCTGGGTAGCCAGCATTATGTTGTCCGCTCTGTTGAACTTGTGCAAATGCATTCAGTAGGCTCGGTTATGTAGTAAGAAGCGAGTCTGGTTCGAAATCGGGAGGTCACAAATGAATCGCTGATTGGGGTAGAATTGGACCAAGATCTGAGGTCAATGGCAGCATCTGCAATCCGTTGAATCGATGAGAAATGAGAGATGAAGGGGCAAGTTCCCAGTTGTTTGCCGCAATCTTCGCTGAGCGGAAATTGAACCAGCGTCCAAACGCCACCAAGACCAAATATATGCAAATATTAATTGCAAGTCCGTGTTCTTAGCCCAAATCGTTCAACAGTGTTCTCCCTGTCGCTGTCGTCGTCGCCTCCTCCTTGAACAACATGGCTGCCCTTTCCTCTGACGGTATCGGTATCGCTAACTTGCCTAACCAGGTACGACGCAGATGATCTTGTAGACTTTCATATACTAATCTGATTATTTACCGTCTTGTAGAGGCACAAGATCGTAGCCAAACATGGTGCACACTTCACGATCATGGTTGTCGGTGAGTGCGCGCAACCTGCCCATTAACATTCCCGATCCTGAACGGTTTCAAGGCGAGTCTGGTCTCGGAAAGACCACACTCATAAACACGCTGTTTTCCACCGAGCTGTCGCCAGCGAAGAACTACAGTCGCCGTCATTATAAGCAGCTCGACAAACTCACGGAGGTCGAGATCATCAAGGCCGAACTTGAAGAGAAGCAGTTCAAGGTCAAGCTGACTGTGATAGACACGCCAGGGTTTGGCGACTACGTCAATAACCGTGACTCTTGGTCTCCTATAGTCGACTTCATTGACGACCAGCATGAGGCCTACATGATCCAGGAACAGCAGCCTCAGAGAAGTGAGAAAAGCGATCTACGGGTTCATGCATGCTTGTACTTCATCAGGCCTACCGGGCACACGTGAGTATCAATTGTTCGCTCTTTACTGCACCCTTTGAAGTAGATGAGTATTCTTACAGCTTGAAGCCTCTTGACATTGAGATCATGAAGCGTCTTGGAACCCGCGTCAATCTCATTCCAGTCATTGCGAAAGCCGATACGCTCACTCAAAATGACTTGATCACATTCAAGCAGAGAGTTTGTCGTTTTGGTAGACATTTGGTCCATTCAAGCTCTGAATTCTTTCCAGATCCGTGACGTGATCGCTGCGCAGAATATCCGCATCTATCAGCCTCCCATTGAGGCAGATGATGAGGCTGGTGCTGAGCACGCTCGTATGCTGCTGGAGGCTATCCCATTCTCCATCATTGGTTCGACCGAGGATGTCCAGACACCAGATGGCCGCGTCGTCAAGGGTCGCGAGTACCTGTGGGGGGTTGCTGAGGGTTAGTGCCAGACGCCAATACCTATTTATAGCTCACAATCTTCCCACAGTGGAGAACGAGAACCATTGTGATTTCCGCAAGCTCCGCTCTTTGCTCATCCGTACATACATGCTAGACCTCATCTCGACGACGGAAGAACTGCACTACGAGAACTACCGGCAGCAGCAGATGGAGACTCGCAAGTTCGGCGAGCGAAAGGTCAAGAAGTTCAATAACCCCAAATTCCAGGAGGAAGAGGAGCAGCTCAGGAAGCGCTTCACTGAGCAGGTCAAAGCTGAGGAAGCCCGTTTCAGGCAATGGGAGCAACACGTTCGTTCTATCTCTGTATCCTTTCCCGATTGTGCGATATGTTGACGCTTCTTGACAGCTCATCACTGAACGCGACCGACTTAATAAAGACTTGGAGATGGCCCACAGCACCATCAAGCAGCTGGAGGCTGAATTGGATAACATGCAAGTCAACTATGGCAGGGGTAGCGGCCGTAGATGATTTAATATACCTTGGGCCTCGCTTCCCGAAAAGACACTCCTTGACGTCTTCACATATACCCAAATGTCGTCCCTCCTTTGCCGTCTTGTTCTACTTCTTGCGGGTCTCATTTTTCGAACCCTTTTATTTAGTAGGTTCTGGACTACTTAAGTAATTCGAATAGCAGTCGATTGCGTAGTCTTGTAATTGATGCTGTTGTTGGGATTTCACTATTTTCTCAGAAAAGTTGATTGCCGTAAATGGAAGTATACAGCTGTCCTCGAAAGGTGTCACTAACTCCCTACCTTTGACATCCAACTCGCATTCCGTGCTCACCGTCACAAGCAAGAATTTTAGTCTTCCTCGTACCTAACACAGGTCATCACCGCTGTGCTAGACGCCATTCTCTCTGGGCATTGAAGGCGGGTGACCGTCGCGTTGTGCGTCAACTCCGCTTTGTGCCCGTCTAATGCTCATAGGTCTATTTTGAACTCGTTTAGGACGGGTTAACGACATGGCGTTCAACATTCGTCGCAGGAACTTGACCCGGGTGGTCCTAGCTTTGGGTTTTGCTTTGGTTGTGCGATTCTTCGTTGTGTCATCCACACCGTCGTATTCGCCAAATGACCATGAGATCCAAGGCAGTAATATGCTAGACCTGGTGTCACGTCCAGATAACGTCCTGGACGTGCGAAGGTACAAATTCTTGCAGTCGAGAGTAGGAAGAGACGAAAAGCCGGACTTGTTGGGGGATATCGTGACGAACGGAGTGAAAGACTTCTGGGAAAGGTTCCAGAAACCATAGTGAGCGCCTTCACTTTTTGTGTCCCAAGCATGCTGAAGTTTTCCTCGGTGTGAAGTATCGTGGGGAAGGACACCGCGCACATGGATGCTCAGAACGTCGTGACTTCCATAGAGCAGCTTTTTTCCTTAAATGGCTGGGTCGCGGCCCTCTGTCCTACACTCACCCGCCCATTCGGACAAAACAAACATGAGCACGCATACGACGACATCATCAGCAAAAACCATCTGTACTATATCGGCATCGTCATACACTCTGCCGACCACTTCCTCGTCGACCAGCTTGCCGTTATTGTCCAGCTCGCCAAACGTCTTGGTCCCTCTAATCTTTTTGTCTCTATGCTCGACTATGACTCGACAGACTCTACCGCGACACTGACTGACTTGTCTGAAGCCGTCTTGACGCTACTTGGCGTGCCGTTCAGAATACGGAAAGTCCCTGGAATGACCGAGGACCCCAACACGGCCTACTATCCATTGGAGGAAGCGCATATGAGGAATCTTGCTTTGGAGCCATTGAAGGAACTGTATCAAAAGCGGAACATCAAGTTCCATCGAGTGATTTGGCTGAAGGGATTTACATGCCCCAATGATATATTCGAGACACTCAAAATCAGCGAGGCCAACGAGGCAGCCATGGTATGCGGGATGGATTGGGCGGAGCATAACGGCTTCTTCATTTTTTCTGATCGGTACGTTGTTGCATGTTTCACAGTTTGCGCCTTGTGCAGGAAATTGACTATATGGCGAATAGGTGGAGAACGCGCGACATCAATGGAGACCAGTTCAGACAGTCTAAATCATCCTCAAAACCAGATGCGGTCCCGCCAAGGGATGCGGTTGGCTCCCAACGATACTCACAGCATCTTCCTTTCCAAGTGTTCTGTTGCGAGTCGGGGACGCACGTCGTCGACCCTGCTCAGTCGTATTACGAGGGGATATTTTATCGTTCGGGTACAGATTTCCACAACGTTTCCGGCGTATCACCGCTCAACGACCGAGCGCCTGACGCCCCGTGCTTGGACAGCAGCCAAGCTTGGTTCTGCAGGGATCTGTGGACACATAAGGCCAACGAGGGCATGAAGGAGGTGGACGCTGGGTCGGAGGCCATCAGGAGGAAGAAACGGGCGGTGCATCTCGATGTTCAAGAGGATAGACGAAGAGCGGTTGAGGATGAAGTTAAGGAAGGGCCTGCGCATCGGCAGCCCGCTGAGGCGGATCCAGATGCGAACGCTGGCTCCGACTACGATGCCATGCCCGACTCGGATGTTCCTCTCGAGGCCGCACCTGCTAAGTTCTCGATACCCAACTCGGTATTCAGACCTGCACGAATCTTGGTCAATCCGCGGTGTGTGACGACGTATGCCGGCGTCAGTCATACGCAGCTCGCCTTGGACTTGTTTGGCCCGGAGAGGGACAGTACCGGGCCTGAAGGCGTAGGGAAGTATGTGCTGGATGATTGGGAGGGTGCACCGGAGAGCTTTGTGTGTCAAGAGCAGCGGTGCGTCGAGCATTTTATTTTTATTTCGCATCGGTCCTGAAATTGGCTGGAACTCATAGACAAACTGGGGGACGCAAGGCGACAAAGACCCAGCGTCGGCTCGGGTTCTCGATCCACGAGGAGTTAGAGAGAGCTCCATGACATTGGTGAAACTGTGTATCTCGTAACATTCCATAATTAGTTTCTCGCTATCGATACAGTCAAACCTTCGCTCTGTGCGCAAGAAAGCAATCTATCAGCTGCATGTGAACTTGTCGTATGAGACTGAGGCCTCGCCTGGAGCGATAAGATAAGATCGTGCAGGAAATTGTCGCGCGAATAGCCGAAGGAGACTGACTCGAGGTCGAATGCTCCGTCTGCGTCTGCTGCATCGATCGCTATCCCTTTATCCTCGCGTGCGCCATAGATTCATGTCCACACCTGCTCACGCCTCATCGCAGCCGGCTCCTTCTCCTGAGGTGTCGGCCTCCTCAGATGCCCCGATCCCCACGAAGAGTGCAGGTATGACTTATACGACGTGATCGAGTCTTCATCGCGTCGACTGAGCGTCCAACAGCCAAAAAGGAGGCAAAGCGCCTCGAGAAGGAGGCGAAGCTCGCTGCTAAGGTAAAGAAAGTCGTCGCAAACACCCCCGCCGGTGAGAAGAAAGCCAAGGTCGAGAAGGAGAAGCAGCAGCAAGAGGAGGCATTCGTGAATACGACCCCCAAAGGAGAGAAAAAGGGTGAGTTGATGTTTCTTTGAGCGTAACATAATTGCTGACACTATCTAGATGTGTCTCAACCTATGGCCAGCGGATACAATCCCATTGCTGTCGAGTCTGCTTGGTACGATTGGTGGCAAGCGCAGGGTTTCTTTGAACCTCAGCTGGATGCGAACGGTGGGCCGAAGCCTGAAGGCCTCTTTGTGATCCCTGCACCTCCACCCAACGTCACCGGTAGCTTGCACATTGGCCACGCGCTGACCACGGCCATCCAGGACTGTTTGATTCGTTGGTGAGTAATGCATCGACACAGTGGTGTATTCTCTGGAGATGAATCAATGTGAGTATGTGAATTTGTGCTCATAATAAATCATCGGCGCAGGAATCGAATGCTAGGAAAGACAACGTTGTTTGTACCAGGATTCGATCACGCAGGAATATCCACTCAATCCGTTGTTGAAAAGCGTCTGTTCAAGTCAACAGGACAGACGAGACATGACCTTGGCCGCGAAAAGTTCTTGGAAACCGTCATGGACTGGAAGAACGAGTGAGTATAGCATTTCTTTCTCATTATTTGAAATTAATTTGGTCGACAGTTATCAGGGCCGCATCACCGAACAGCTATGTAGACTTGGAGGCAGTTACGACTGGAGTCGTGTTGCCTTTACGATGAATGAGGTGAGACCTCGGAATGGTTGATAGGTCTGTGTGAGACTGAAACTCTTGCAGCAATTATCAAAAGCGGTCATCGAGAACTTCTGTAGATTACACGAGGAGGGAATTATCTACCGTGCCAACCGCCTTGTCAACTGGTGCGTCAGACTCAATACTACGCTCTCCAATCTTGAGGTATACATTCTGCATCTGTTCGATTGGAGTAGATTGATATCAGCGGTTCCAGGTTGACCAGAAACAGCTCGACGGGCGTACGCTGTTGAGCGTACCAGGGTACGATCCCAAGGAGAAATTTGAGTTCGGTGTGATCACGTCTTTTGCGTATCCCATAGAGAATTCGGGTGCGTGAGAGTTCCTCTTGGCCACGCAGCATTAATTGACGAATTGGCATATAGATGAAAAGATCATAGTCGCAACGACACGTCCCGAAACCATGCTTGGGGACACAGCTATCGCTGTTCATCCAAACGATCCGCGATACGAGGTTATTCGTGATCATACGCTCTCTCAAAAATCTACTGACAGTATATTCCTCTATAGCATCTCCATGGCAAGTTCGCTGTGCACCCTTTCGTCAATCGTCGTATCCCCATTGTAACGGATGACATCATCGTTGATATGGAGTTCGGAACGGGCGCGGTCAAAATCACACCTGCTCATGATCCGAATGATTATGAGGTTGGGACGAGGCACAATCTGGAATTCATAAACATCTTGAACGATGATGGCACGTTCAATGCTAACGCGGGAGAGAAATTCCAGGTGAGCACCGTCTTTTGATCATTACTTTGCACGATGCGAAGATGTCACCGTGTCAGGGCATGAAACGCTTCCACGCGAGAGTTGCTGTCGTCAAGGCTCTTCAGGATGCTGGCCTATACATCGAAACGAAAGACAACCCCATGCAGATCCCTTTGTGTAGGTATGTTGATGTGGACAGCTTCGCAGGTCAGCGCTTCATACAGTAACGACGCTCTAGTAAATCCGGTGATATCATCGAACCTCTACTCAAACCTCAGTGGTGGCTAAGCTGCCAGCCGCTGGCCGAGGAGGCAATCAAAGTGAGCGAGTAATGCATCGAGTAATGATCCAGCAATGGCCGATCTAATTGCGAATGTTCCAGCGTACCAAGGCTGGCGAATTGAACATCACACCGAAAACATCGGAGGCAGAATGGTATCGATGGTTGGAGAACATCCAAGATTGGTGCATCTCACGTCAGCTTTGGTGGGGACATCGCTGCCCAGCGTACCTCGTCCGCATTGAAGGGCAGGGGCAGGACGTAGGTTTATCAACACTCTGCAACGACACATCTAATACCATTTTCAGGCGAACGATGGGAAGAATTGGGTGGTGGGCCGGAATCTACAAGAGGCCGAAGAACGTGCGAGAAAGCTCGCTGGTGGCGCCAAATTCACCCTTGAGCAAGATGAGGACGTCCTCGATACCTGGTTTTCCTCCGGATTATGGCCATTCTCTATCATGGGCTGGCCAGACAAAGTAGGATTTCTTTTGCCTGTCGATTCTACTCCTAATTCACAGTTCGACACCAGACCCCCGACTTTGAGAGATTCTACCCGTCTTCCGTACTCGAGACTGGGTGGGACATCCTGTTCTTCTGGGTAGCCCGCATGGTAATGCTTGGCCTTCGCTTGACTGGTAAAATGCCCTTCAAGGAAGTCTACTGCCACGCCATGATTCGTGATGCGCACGGCCGCAAGATGTCAAAGTCGCTCGGAAACGTGATTGATCCTTTGGATGTCATCCAAGGTCTCCCTCTGGAGGAACTCCATCTGAAATTATACGAGGGAAATTTAGATGAAAAGGAGATCGCGAAAGCGAAGGCCGGGCAGAAGAAGGATTTCCCGAAGGGCATACCTCAGTGTGGTACGGATGCCCTGAGATTCGCATTGTGCGCATACAGTGGCGGAGGTCAGTGATCTAAAATGGGTTTCTTGTCAAGTCACCCGCTTAATTGGTCCGTCTCTTCAAAGGCCGGGATATCAATTTGGAAATTTTGCGCGTGGAAGGCTACCGCAAATTCTGCAACAAAATCTTCAATGCTACGAAGTTCGCCATGTTGAAGCTTGACTCTTCATTCGTACCAGAACCTTCTGCCAAGGTGCGTGGATCTTGCGATCTCGTGATTAGTGACTACATCCCTCAAAACCCGTAATTTAGCCTACAGGCAATGAAAGCCTGGTCGAGAAGTGGATCCTACACAAACTCAATATCGCTGCTGATGAAATCAACAAACAATTGACGGAGCGTAATTTCATGGCGGCGACCACGTCTGCCCACAACTTCTGGTTGTATGAGATGTGTGACATTTATATCGTGAGTTTCAAAGAATCGATTCATTAAATCCTGAACCATCGACGACCTATATTTCAGGAAGCAATGAAACCGATGACGGAGCCGTCCGCGTCAGCAAAAGCTCGCATCTCGGCTCAGCAGACGTTGTATACCTGCTTGGACCACGGTCTACGCCTCCTCCACCCCTTTATGCCCTTCGTCACGGAGGAGCTTTGGCAACGCCTCCCTCGCAGGCCCAATGACTCGACGCCCTCGATCATGTTGTCTTCATACCCTGTCTATGTGAGTGCTCGAGGCTGCTTATATTTCCCGCTCACTTACACCGGAATAGGATGAGAGAGCTGTGTTCAGTGACGCTGTCAAGGAGTTTGATCTCGTGTTCAGCGTGATTCGTACAAGTCGGTCGCTTGCTGCGTCTTACAACCTCCAGTCCGATATCCAAGGTGCGTGAACTAGCCGGCATCATCCCCTTCAATGCGCGCTCACACATATCATGCAGTATTCGTTCACGTTCAGAGCGAAGCAGAAGCAACGCTGATCGAGTCACAAATACCGACCATCATCACGCTGATCAAGGGCTGCAAGGCCGTTGAAGTCGTCCGCACGCTGGACGCTATTCCTGCTGGCTGTGGATCCAGTTCCCTCACCGCGAGCGTCGCCGTCCACATACTCGTCCGAGTGAGTCGCTGACCAATGTTCGTCATCCCAATTTCTAAGCTGAAAGCCTTGAAGGGTCTGATCGACATCGCTGCGGAGATCGCAAAATGCGAGAAGAAACTCGACCTCGCACGTCTGAATTTGGACAAGATCCGGAAGATCCAGTCCCGAGCCGAGTACGAGGAAACCATCCCAGAAAACGTCAGGTTGCTCAACGAAGACAAGGTATATGTAAACAAACATATGGCTTTTTTCACCATATTGACGCCAGCTTCTCTCTCTCATCAGAGAAAAATATACGAGGCAGAAATTGCTACGATTGAGCTGTCCAAGGAGATGTTTGCTAAGCTATAATAAGATGTACTCGATGTTACATTCAATATAACGTTACGTGATGGAATGGGGCCGTAGGGTTGTGGACCTTTCGGCCAGCTTATACACTGGCTAGAAACTCATTACAGGCTACGGTCTGTGACTTGGACTTGCCCCTTACACGGAGGATCAAAGGCAGACCAGCTGTGTGTAGAAAACCATTTAGAGTGTGGGGTATTAGATAGAAGTAGAAATAAGATATGCCGTCTGGGTCTTGCAACTAGCACACGGTGATCCATCTACAACGCACAAAATACGATTATATTCCCGAACACATCTCGAGCACATCAATTTTTGGTAAACTTCTACATCATCACAACCCTCCCGATATAGGCAGATACAGGCAAGGCAAAGAGAGCATGGCACAGCAAGTCCACGGCGGGAAAAATGCACGTTAGGACAACGACGAAACGACAGCAGAGCAGAAACAGGGCATGGCATGGCAGGAAAGAGATCACGGCAAAACAGGACAGGACGAGGACGGATAGCAGACAGACGCCAGGAGGGACGGAGTCCAGCGAGGATGGAGGATACAACGAGGGCTTGACGAGAGAGGCCACGTCACGACGCGAGCAGAGAAGACGGGGAGCATCGAGGACCGAGCATCGAGCACGAGCGCCGAGCATGGAATCACCAAGAACGCGAGGCTTGCGGACCCGAAACATCGAAGACAGCTAGAAGAATATTAGAATAAAAAGAGACGAAGAGTCTCTTGGATCACGTTATTGAGGTCATCGGGAAACGAAAAAGGGATTGGAGGAACCCATTCAAGGTCGAGACCGCGTCGTTTCATCGGCGAGTCGCGCATAAACGTCGTCATGCACAAAAACATCGCTCTCGCCGTCAATTGTTGAGCCGTGGTGGCATGCCGCGGCGTGCTTCCACCTTTGTGGGTGCATGCGCATCATGTCGAATCGAAGAGCATGAAGTTGGTTTTGAGATTGTGCGTCGAGTGGCACATTCATATTCGAGTTGACAGAAGTCGGGCGTACGCAGGCATTCGTGTATTGATGAAGAAACCAAGGCGAAAGGGGTAAGAATGCCTGAGATAAGTCAGCTCGCGGCACGAGGACCAAGAGCACGCACCAATATATTTCTTTCACCTGCCCACACCAGCGAACGCATCAGCACAACTCAGCCCGCCAAAGCAAGACAAGAAAACAAGAACCCACCTTCGGCTCAACGTCCTTCACTCCTTCTACGGCGACCCACTGTCGACACCGATGACACCGTGCTTCGCGCAACGTAGCACGCTCATGTTTCCCTGGATTCGGGCGCACGTGAGTGCGGAAGGCCGTTGGGGGTGAAAAAGGTAGACCGGTCGTGGGGGAGATGCCTGGAAGCCATGAGCAAGGGAAGCAAAAAGAACGTGGAAAGGAAACAGCGCACCGTGGTAGTACTGCATATGGTAGCTGCAGCGAAAGGGTCAAAAAAGCGACACAATTACGATGAAAAAGACTCTGCATCAAGCCAGGTCATCAGCTTTACTTCAACGGTAACGAGGATAAAGATAAGAAGCGAGAAGCCGAAGAATGAGCAGAAATAGAGAGATGAAAAGAGAATCATGTGACTGGCATTTGGGAATTGATGGTAAAGGATGGATGTAGGAATGGGAAAGAAAACTTAGGCGCACCACTTGAACGCGGAGAACTTCATGCTTAGCCATGCAACACGGCCCTCACCACCTCGTGCTACGGGCTCTACACACACGGGACACACACCCACCTTATCGCGCCCACGCCCGCGGACGAATCGTGGTGTGTATAGGTCGCACGACGTGCGTGGCGCGTTATACGTTGCACCAGGGTGGCGCTGGAGGGTCGGGCTGAGCCAAAAGGATATAAAAAAAACAGGATTAATATACGAGATAGGGATATGAAGAGAGAGCATACACGCGAGAGCCTATTTCAAGCGCAGACGGAAGAGGGAAGCGGCGGTAAAAGAGGAGAAATGTAGGATCAAGCGGGATGTGGGAGGGGAATGTTCGGCGGGGATACCACTCGTTTTGCGACCCGCTCCCGGGATGTGGGGCAGAACAGGGAGAAAGTGGCGACGGAGGAAGGGGAGAAAAAGTCGAGTTGGCGTTGTGATTTGAAGAAGGGGAGGCCAGAGGTGTAGCGAGAGCCGAAGACGGTGCGAAGGCGGCAGATGGAGTGGGGGTGGCGAGGCGGGGCTTTTTGGAGCGGGTAGAATAAGTAACAGTAGTGGAGCGGCGTTTTCGAGGTGCAGTTGCAACTATCTAATCAAATTGTACGAGCATCCGCTTTACTTTGAGGAAGAGCGAAAATGAACTAGTGTAAAACTAACCTGCGGAGGCTGGTTCTCCTTGTCATGCACGTTGCGCATTCTCCCGGACCGTAGACGTCCATGAATAGGAATGGGAGTGGGCTTGGGGACGACTGCTCTGGCGCGGGCACGTTTGATGAGGGGTAGGCCAGAGTCAGAATCAGAATTCATATCTGAGCTTGAAACGTCGGAGGCGGCGTCCGAGGTAGAGAAGAAATTGGAGTCCGAGGAGGAGAGTGCAGAGAGCGGAGAGCTATGGTTGAATATACAAGGCAATTCTTGGGAGGTGCGAGTAGCAGGAGTGGATGCAGAACCAGAGGCACGGCTCCAGCGGATGGGAGATACTGGCTCAGGCGTTGTCATGATAGACGAGACGCGGGGGAGCGATGAGGTAGGAGGGGCCGGGGACGAGGAGGTGAAAATCGAGGGTGACGCGCGACGCGCGTGAAGAAGGCGATCCATGAAAGGCGTGCCTTGGACACGCGTGGGCGAGGAAAAATCGAATGCGTAGGCGTCCGAGGCTTCAATATCGATATCGGAGGCATAAGAGTCGCCAGAGGTGCCCGAACTGATCAGGGAGAGGCCGCGCGGGGCGGGGCTGCCGGGGTTGAGCGTGGGCCTTCGTTTGGACGAGTGCGTAGGATTGTAGGTGTGGACGCGAAGACGAGACGGTGAACGGGCGAGGCGGGGACGGTGGGGCGGTGCATGCTCAATGGGAGAAATGCCGGGAGAAGGCGCGAGAGCATGACTGCGGGCGGCAGGCGACAGCAGGAAGGCAAGACTGGGTGTCGCCAATGCGCAGGTTTCTAAAGGCGGTGAGAATGTGAAAGCAGGAGAGCGGGAGAGAGCGGCTGTCGAGGGGAGGGGTGAGGGCGAGGCAAACATGTCTGGGTATAATTGGGACCGCGGGAGGATCTCGTTGTGGGTAACTTCATCGACGTTGGACATCGTGAAGAAGGCGGTGTCGTTGTCAATTGGGGATGCGCGTTGTGCAAGGAAAAAGGAGGGCGGAGATGCAGGCGGGCGACATGGGAGGCCTAGTATGGGAGGACTGGTCGAACGCGGCTGGATTGTATGCGCGTGTGGGGAGTGCCAGTGTGGGTTCAAGTCGCGCCAGGTGAGTTGTGAGCTGTATAATCGGCGGTCAGGATGCTCAGGAAGGTCGCTGTATGGCGTGTTTTCGTGAAGCGAAAAAACGGGGGCGCGCTGGTGCGTCGGCAGTGGGGGCAGGTCGGATGGGGATAGCCATTGATCGAGGACCCTACAATACGCAGCTCAGCAAGAAAGAAATAGTTATGCGGTGGAGAGACGTACGCGGAAGACGTTGAGGACGACGTTGAGGACATTGTGGGGGTGAAGAGACAAGTTCGACGTCATGACCTTCTCCCACTGGATTGGTTTCCCACGCTTTATAGCATGCTTGAACTTGCTTGAACTCAGCAAATTATCGCCTCACGCTCGCAGAGAATGGTACGGATGTAAGGGTGCGTTATCCGCGATCGATACGGGGATGGAAAGGAATATACGGAAGGGTATATATGCCGCTCACGAGACATCTAAGACATACACTATGTATGTACGTACGTATGCCTAAGTACTTCAACACAGCATAACATTTGCGACGTGACTATGGGAAACATTCAGGGGGGGAAGGAGGTATAGAGAATCACAAGACCCAACGGGGAAAATGGCAGTCCAACACTGACCAAACTGGAACACTACGAGTGAAAAGACAGGAGGAGGCTGTAAACGATAGGCAGATACGCAATGGCGTAGTACAGCGAGTCAGACAACAACAACAAGGCGGGACTGTTTACAGTGAAAAGCTATGACGACAAGTAGGGCGTGAAAAATCGTGGGCAGGGATTGGTTACAGCAACAGACCCGCGAGGGCAGCGAGCCCGCACGCACCCAGAGCGTGGAGCGTTCCGGGAGCAGAGGTGAGCGAGAGCCGGATCGCGAGTGAGGCGGAGGAGGAGCGGGGCGCGCTCGAAGTGGAAGAAGTGGAGGATGCGGAGCCAGATGCGGAGCTACCTGTTCCCGTCGCGGAGGCAGAGCCAGAGCCAGATCCGGATGACGCGGTCGGAGCTGGGGTGGCTGTAAGAAGATGCAACGCGTGAGTGATGGGGATGAAGCGAGGAGAAGAAGTAAAAGTAAAAGGAGACTTACTGCCGGCGGGCTTGACGTCGAAGTCGGTACTGTTGGCATATACCTGGGTCAAGTTGGTCGAGTTGACGAAAACGACCTGATAGTTTGATCCTGGACGAAGAGTGACATTCGTCGTCGTAAAAGACTAAGGACAGCAGTGTCGTCAGCAAATTGAACATGAGGCGCGAACCAATCGAGATTGTACAAAGAAAAAAATAGAACTTACTGCCTGGGAGACATTGACGGACTCGGCGATTGAGAATGCGCCGTTGAGTGTCGTGTTATCCTTGTTGGTGACAATGATCGAGACGGGGTTGGGGTCACCCGCACCGAAAGACCAGGTGATAGTGTTGCTCGTGTTCTGCACCCTGTTCCCCGCCGCCGCCATACACCATGAGTAACTGAGCAGACAATCAGCCCAGAAAAGGTTGAAAGGAGACGCACCAGTACGCGGAAGACGAGGGCCCGGTAATGCTGATCTCGGCTGTGCCAAAATCCAAATTAGTCCCAATGACGATTCAAAAGTGGTTCGAAGCGAAGGGAGATAGAGACATGGGCGTGCACAACGTCCACTCAACCACGACGACACGTGTGGAACGTGTGCAATGGAAGAGCCTGCCTCTCGCGCAGAGACTTACCAAACGCGAGGACGGGAAAGAGCGAGAGTGCGGCGAGAGCGAGGCGCATGATGATCTCTAGATGTCGATCGAGGAAAGGACAGCGAAGACGAGCGGGAGGAGAGGGGGGAGAGAGAAGAGGAGGAGAGGGAGCAAAGAGGGAACGTTGAACGTCGAAGGAGAAGAGAAAGCTGACGGTGGGAACGCGAACCGCACAGAAGACGTCAGGACCGCGTAAATACAAACGTAAATACAATGACTGGTTTTGGCCTCAATGCTGCGATATATGCTCGACGCCGCTGCCCGATGGCCCTTGCACATGCCGTTCGAAGTTCACGAGAATTGGAAGCCGCGCTCAAGATGGAGTATGCCGAGGATCCCAAACCATCATCCTGAAGCCCGTATCTGTGCAGAGAGACCAAAGTGAGAGACTTCAAGATGATACATCGCACTACACCACATTGTACACTTTCCTACTCTACGAGATGTCCATCGCCTCTGCCTGCGGCTGGCCTACCGGCGTGACCTCCTCGGATACGATGAGACTTCTGACCTTCTCAGCCGTCCATGCGGTCGTCCCCCGACGGAATCCATATGTCCTCTCCTTGACGGCACGCTCGTTGGGCTTGACGAAGTTGCGTAGTGTCTCGGTACGCGTGGCGGTAATGACGCACGCGTCAACGTTGGATCCGGAGCCCAGATCATTGAAAATACCAGCAGACACTGCGGCAGTGACGAGCGCAAGGGCGTCTTCTCGCTGATCAAGATCAATGATTCAGAGAGCGAAAGACAATCGGGTGAGGACTTCAACCGTGGTCGGGTATGCGCGATTGAACAGACGGAATTACGGACCTCCATGTCAGGCCGCCACTGCGACTCGAAGACCGCCATAGCGGCAAGACTGCCAGAGCCCATAGTGACATACGGCAGTTTGTCTGTCGATCCGTGCGGATGGATCGTGAACAGATGTGGACCTGTGGGATCTACACCTCCAAGGACAAGTGCGGCGCCGATTTGACCGTGGTGTCTGCAGGACGGGACCAGCTTAACGGATCTGGGTTGACATGGGCAACAGGGAGTAGAGACGACGCACCGGAAGAGTCTTTGCTTCAGCATGGTCATGGCAGTCACGACGCGCGGCTGTCTGCCGGTGGTAAGAGCATGCAGCTCCATGTTCGATGAGATGAGGGCGGTGATAAATTCAGTGTCAGCCGCGGTCCCCGCACCGCAGCATCGGATGTTGTCTGTGATGTAGTGGATCTATGTAACATACGCGTTAGCTCCCCGTCGGAAATGCTAGTTGCACGAGCTGTTAGAGAGAGTGGATGTAAAAACCTTTTCGCAGTTCTTATCCGCAACGATCTCGCCCTCTGTTGCGCGCGTGTCGGCGCCGAGAACGATTCCATCCTTGAACAAGCAGCCCACGATCGTCGTGCCTGTGCTCGTAGCTTTCGGCACCTTCACGCCCTTTCCCTGTAAGAAGTCATTCCTGCCATGTCGTTAGCCTCCATCGCCGTGCAGTTAGCATAGATACACACCTCACTTGGTTCGAAAAGTCGAAACCTGCGGAGCGGTATACAGAGGTCATCGTGTGTGGATGGAGGGGAGATGAAGGGATACGCGTCGCGCCTCCCTGAAGGGGCCAGCTTACGTCATAGAGCACACACACAGCCTTTGGGCAGCGTTCGCCGTTGACCTGAACGCTTTCTTGTACGATCACTCGCTCTCTCACCACACCATCACTCTCTCCCACGAGCAACGCAAACGCACCATGGAAGGCTGGAACAAACTTCAAACAAGCATCGCTGGCCTCAACATTGGCCAATCGGCCAATCGCTTCGCCAAGGGCTTCAACTCGAGCGTGCAAGCCACCAGGGAGCGCCTCGGACAGATTTCTGCAGAGGAGATCACTGAGCTGCCGCAGGGTAGACGTCAAATGTCTCATTTATTCCTTCCATAGCGCTAATATTACATCTCACATGGCTCAGAATACAAGGACCTTGAGGCTCGGGTCGATGCCCTCCGCCAGTCTCACCTGACCTTGCTTAAGTGCGCTATCTCTCAATTTCTTTTCCCCGCGTTTATATAGATTGTGTTCGAAATCCCTAGGGTCACTAAGGTTTACGAATCCGAGTCCTACGACTATCCCACCCAAATACAAGAGTCCCTCACTGAACTCGGAACTACTATTGGACATGGCCTGACCAACTTCGCTGCCACCAATCTCAAGGGAACCAACCTCCCCGCCCCCGCCCCCATCGTTGCCCCTGAACATCAACACAAGACACTCCCGCATGCCTTGGGGCGTTCGGCCACCCAGGCCGCGACATCACTCCAGGCCGCGGCCGGCGCGGACGACAAACTCGCACGGGGCCTAACCGAATATGCGAGCGCATGGCAGAAGATCGCTGATGCTAGGGTCTCCCAGGACGCGGCAATTCAGGCAGGGTTCTTGCAGCCCTGGCAGACGACTTTAACGGCCTCGATCGCCGTTGCGATGAAGGCGCGCCAGGCGGTGCGCGTGAGCCGCCTCGAGCTTGATGCTGCCAAACAGACGTGAGTACTTTTTTCTACGGATACTCAGTTACATTTTTATTTCCTTGCCGCTTGTGTTCCGAACCGCCGGGAGTGTTCCGTGTTAACACCGTTCATAAAACAACGATCATAAACTGATGCATATGTGGGGGCGCGCACAGGCTCAAGAATGCCAACCCTGCGAAGCAAGAGCAGGCTCGATTAGAAGTCGAAAATGCCGAGGACGACCTCGTGCAGAAGACTGAAGTGGCCATCACGCTCATGAAAGCCGTCCTTGACAACGTACGCCCTTTTTTCCCTTCCGCTTTCATTGTGTAACACGTCCATCCACCAGCCCGAGCCGATAAAGAACCTCAACGAGCTTGCCAAGGCCCAGGTCTGCTGTCTGCTCTTGTGCGGCTCAACAATGTTACTGACGGTGCACCTGTGCAGTTGACTTTTTACGCTACCGCTGCCGAGTCTCTTGTAGCTGTGCAAGGTGAAATTGAAGAGCTCAGTGTCGCTGCAGAAGGCGAATACAGGTACACTTCTGCTTGTTCCGTAGAATCGTTCGCTGACGCCGCCTAATCAGAAAGTCCCGTGATCACTGAGGTTCCTCTGAATTAAGGCACCTCCCCACCTATCCTTGAACTTCATGATCATCACCCATTTTTGTTTGTGCCATGCCCTTATGGTTTTTCCCTGTTATGCTATATGCAATTTTGAGCATGTCTAATTTGGATTGATTTGTGCTTGATTTGAGTTTTATGACTTGGACAAAATTCAAGCTTTTTAGGGTCTGGTCAGCAATATATAACATTTTGTATCAATTGATGGCAAATCTTATATAAATGCCACAATTGTCAGCAATTGTCCACAGTTGGCAAGTGATCTCTTATTAGCAATTGTTAGCAATTGATGTCAATTAGACACTGTTAGCAAGATGCAATAATTGCTGGCAATCTGTTCTTAATCTTATTGCTAATAATTGTCCACAATTATCCACAACCATAATTGTCTTTTGATTCTGCCCAATCTTAATAGCACATCTGCTCTTTAACCTTTCTTGGATCTTGTTGGATCTTGTCTGATATTGTTATACCCTACTACTCTATCTCCAAGTCATATTAGGGTGCACTATGCCATGCCACCCATGGCCCTAGCTAATTGTCAGCAATTATTGGATATTGTTGGGTCTAGGGCTGGGTTATAGACTTGGAGATTGTTGGCAAATATTGACAATTGTTGAGTGTTTAGGAAGAGTTTTCAATGGGTTAAAATTTTATAAGTCTAGTAAAATAAAATTAGTAAATTGGCAGTTAGATAAGTTAGGCTCAATTACAGCAATTTAAGACAATTTTGTTTGGGAGCTATGGTGAATTGCCAACAGATACTAGGAATTACCAGCAAATTCTGCCAATTGTTAGCAATTGTCAACAATATCCAATAATTGATGGCACTTGGCGGGAATTGCTAAGATTTGTTGAAAAATAGGTGATATTGATGTAAAAGTTTTGATTTTTGTCCAGGTTAGTTTCTTATAGAGTTTGTTATAAGTCTAATAAGATAGTAAATGAACATATTGATATTATACATCATAGTTAATGACTCTCATAGGTATTCTTACCTTTCTTTTCTTTTCTTAACATCATCTATGCATTAGTTAGGCTAACCCAGGTTTATATATTATTATACTAATAGCCAATACAAACTAAATTAGACAAGATATGTTGTCTCTAAACCCTAGAAATAAATATTTTAAAAGGCATAATTCAAAGAGATGGAATATAGTGAGTAAGAGGGAGAGTATTATATGCTAGGTGTTATGATCACATTCTGTCGGGCCTTAACGGCGGTCTATTCCGACACGATCATCACAAATATCAAGCGGCCTCACAAGGTGAGGCGTACAACAAGGTACAGATAATAACCTTGGTCATCCACTCCCAATGGATCACCTTATCGTTGGTCGAGTATCACGAGCCATATTGCGCCGGGCATAGAATGCCGCCTTACAAACTACTCACACACCGGGCATCAAGCTCCTAGTCTTTCCTGGCCGGAAGGAGACGAACGGAGAAGCACAAGAGTAGTCATTATTGAGAGAGACGACTTAGAGAATACCTACGGATACATATACGGTATTCTCATGCCCTATTTCCTAAAGTAGTATAAAAGGCCCATAGAGTAGGCTGAGGTTCTTCAGTCTATTCTCTTTGTTCTCCTGTATCTTCACATACAGGACTCTTCATTGCTACATCACAATATACCTCTGGCTCCTGTGCTACACGTACAGTCGAGACCATCGTTCCACACAACCTCTTTGAGCGACCTAGGGAAGAACCTCCTACTCTTGGGATTACCGAACAAGCAGTTCGTAACACTAGAATAGACTCTTCTGCCCCTACCTTGCTCGCACTAGCTTGCTGCCACACTCTCTCTCATAACCTTGCTCAGTGGGGATATAGACCCCCATTGAGGAAGTGTTACTGCACACACTCTGGAGCAAGACCTAGGCCAGGAATATCCACCTGGCACTAGACGTATAAATAACCAACTCCGTCACAACAATTGCCCTATCCGGCGCGAAGGGGAATTTTGGGTCTATGAAGACAATAACAGATTCGCCCCTCCGAATTACGATAACTGCTCATACCAAAACGGGTGTTACTACTTCACTCTTGAAGACGGAACAGAAGAAGAGGACATTTGGAATGAAGTAGAGAGCCAGTGGGAACTAGCACCCCAATACAGGGAACCAGTGCCGGTAATCCCCAAAGACTCGGAGCAGGAAGAAACAACTTCACAATCAGACTCCGACTCATCACCAGACCAAACACCGATCAACACCCGAAACCAACCGCTCGCCGAAATGTCGGGACAAGCTTCGACTTCTACAGACCCCCCTTCTGCGACAGTACAACCCGGGAGAGGAAAGGTCAAACTCCCAGACAATTACACAGGCAACCGCATTGAATCCCAGAAATTCATGCTCCAATGCCTCCTTCTTTTTGTGCTCTCATGCATGAGATATGGCACGGCAGGAGCTTGGGCTGAGAACTTCCTCCTCAAATTAGTAGGAGCGGACCCTCCCACTGATCTAGGTACCTGGAGGGACTTTTTAACAAAGTTCAAACTCCAATTCAGGGAGACGGGCAAGACCGATAAAGCGCGAAGCGCACTCATGGCCTTCTCCCAAGGACGAATGACGGTTGATGAATACTCCAACCAATTCATCCTCATTGCTGCCGATGCCGACATCTCCGACAAGGAGCAAGTCCCTTACTTCCAATGCGGGTTAGACCCGCTTGTCATGGACAAAATATATGACAAGGAAGTTCAGCCAAAGGACACCATTCAGGATTGGATTAACACAGCCTGCGAAATAGATGGATGACTCAGAGCCAGATCTGCTCAAAAGGCCATCCTCGCAAACTCCACCTCCTTTCGCAGCAACTACTTAAACCGTTTTCACTCCCAACCAGCTATCTGCTATAACTCCACAAACACCCCGCGAAAAATGAATAACCAGGTGGTTGACATGGACATCGACGCTACTAGAAAGCATAATGCCGAAAGTCAAAAGAGAAAATTTGACGGCAAGCGAACCACCTCTTATTCAAACTGTGGAAAGATAGGGCACTCTAGTGCTAACTGCTGGTCGGCCCGTAGAGGCGTTCGCCCAATTCGAGGAAACTCGAAGAGATGCATGGGTACGACAGGGAGAGGAAACCGCGCAGTCGATTTGGAGGGAGAAGACGACACATCCGCTATGGGAAACCAAGCAGGAATATATCAAGGAATGGAGACGGAGGATGCTCATCGCAATGACCAGCAGGTACCACAACCTGGTCCTTCGATGGAACATCCGTACTCTACCCCATCCGGATAACCCCAAACGGACCATCAGCGACGCGTCATGTCGCCTGACGGATGACGGGGAAACGGAGGCATCAGTCATTCTGCTTGAATCGGAGCAGTGCTAGGAGAATTAGGAGAGGATGAAGCAAGAGAAGTGATTTTGGGACACGCGGAGCGTTTTTCCTAACCTCTCCCTCACCAGTGAAGGAGAGAGGTCAAGGAAGGCCCAAGTTTGACGCCAACACATGTATTCGTATTGGAGCAATGAATGACCGTATCATCACCCCCATACACCTAAACGTGAAGATATCAAACAGGGACCAATATGCTAGAGCAAGGGTGACCATCGACTCAGCATGCGAGGGGGTTATAGTAAACGAAACATGGGTCAGGAAACACCGCTTCCCCACCTATACACTCAACAACCCCATTCGCGTCCGGAACGTCGATGACACCATTAACAAAGCAGGTCTCATCCGATATGCCTTGGATGTAAACTTCACCATTCGAGACATCCGTGGACGAATGCACATCAAGCACGTCCAGATGTTTATCTCCAACCTAGGAAAAGACGACCTCATCCTAGGAACAGATTGGTTGAAATACCACGATCCCTCCATCGAGTGGAGGCAACGTGAAGTGCACTTTGATCGGTGCCCCCAGAAATGCCAACAACCACATGGGTTCACTAGGGCAAGGGAAGAACCGCAAAACAATAGGCGGTTATCAGACGTGGAGCCACGGCATAAACCACACATTAGCGAGCGCGAAAAACAGTGCCTAGAACATCTCCGAAGATTATTGGAAGATGTCGGACTCCACAATCATAGCAGAATGTTTGGTGCCCGACTACGAGCATACCTCAAGAGGAAATGGCTCCTACAGGACATAAGGAAATACGCAGAAGAGAAATGAAAGGCTCAAGCCAAGCCATCTCTTTCACCAAACAGGGTAGAACCTGATCTCCTAGATAAAATCTCAGGAAAACAGGCCATAAAGGAACCAGTTATTCGGAAAATGGCTCCCAAACCGTCAGGATTTGCCAGCTTCGACCAGGACTTGGAGGACAAAATTGTCATCACTAATCTAAAGGAAAGAGTCCCCAAAGCGCATCACGAATTATTGGACATCTTCAGCAAACGAAAGTCGCAGCGACTCCTAGAGCACACTTATTGGGACCACGCCATAGATCTGAAACCGACCTTCAAACCTCAAGTACCAAAAATCTATGCCTTGAGCCCAGAAAAACATGATGAACTAGGAAAATTCATCAAGGAACATCTCACTCGGGGGACCATCTGTCGATCCACCTCGCAAACAGCAGCCCCATTTTTCTTTATAGGGAAGAAAGATGGAAAACTGCGCCCGGTACAGGACTACCGCCATTTGAACTCATACACCATCCCAAATGTGTGCCCCCTTCCGTTAATCCAAGAACTGTTGGACGTGATCAAAGGGGCCACCATTTTCAGCAAATTGGATGTACGATGGGGATACAACAACATACGAATCAAAAAGGGTGACGAGTGGAAGGCAGCTTTCATCACTCCGCTGGGCTCTTACGAACCCACGGTGATGTTCTTCAGCCTCACCAACTCACCAGCCACCTTCCAAGCCATGATGAACATGATCTTTAGAGAACTCATCACAGCATGGAAAATAACCGTATATATGGACGACATCCTCATTTTTTCCAAAAACATGGTGGAACACATTCAGGTCCTGAACCAAGTTTTCCAGATCTTACGCAACAACGACCTCTATTTGAAGCCAGAAAAATGCGAGTTTTATAAAGAGAAGCTCCAATATCTGGGATACACAATTTCAAAAGACCATGTCGCCATGGAAGACTCGAAGGTGGACACTATACAAGATTGGCCAGTCCCATGCACCGTCCGAGATATTTGCTCCTTTTTAGGTCTAGGAAATTTCTACAGGTGTTTCATCGATAAGTTTTCCCTTATCGCATGCCCTCTGCACGACCTCACCAAAAAGGATGCAAAATGGAACTGGACTTCGAAGTGCCAGGAAGCTTTTGAACGATTAAAAAGGGCGTTTATCAGTAAACCCGTTCTAAATTACCCGGACCCCATGCATCCATATCGACTAGTAACGGATGCCTCACTAATTGCTTACGGAGCTACCCTCCTGCAAGAAGGAAAAGATGGCGACTGGCATCCAGTTGCATTCCTTTCCGGGTCATTTTCACTAGCAGAATGGAATTACGACGTCTACGATCGCGAACTCCTGGCTATCATAAAAGTGTTGGAGCACTGGAACCATTACCTCAAAGGCGCACGACACCCATTCGAGATCTGGACAGATCACAAGAACCTGGAACACTTCCAAACGGCACGAGACCTGTCACAATGACACGCCCGTTGGAGCCTCTATTTGAGCAGATTCGACTTCAGACTCAGCTATAAAGCAGGGTCAACGAATCATTCCGATGCTCTGTCCAGGCATCCAGATCTAAGTGAGGGGGTGGAATCTGACAACAAAGCTCAAATTTTGCTCCTAGCCAACCTTTTTAACAAATCCGACGAAACACTGGTGGAACCATCTCCGACACGGCATATTAAGTCCATGGAAATCGCATCCTCAGACCTCATCTCCCTCATCCGACTCTCAAAATCAGAACATGACGCCCTGACAAGGGTAGCCCTCACCAAACTCTTGCGAGTAGGGCCACAAGGAATAAGAGGATTACTGGGACATTGGACACACGAAGACGGAATCACCAGACGAAACGGCCATATATGCGTCCCAAAAGACGATGCCATTCAAAGACTTATTGTCAAGACGCATCACGACGCACCCGCAGTAGGACATCCGGGGAGAGCCAAAACACTGGAAATGGTACAACGACACTATTGGTGGCAAAACATGACAAAATTCGTTCATGAATACATGGACGGATGTGCCGTATGTCAATCGACCAAGAACTTGACACACAAGACACACCCTCCTATCCATCCTTTGGAAACCACCAATGTCCCTTGGCAATTCATCTCGACAGACTTTGTCACGGACCTACCCGAAAGCAAAGGGTTTGATTCGATCAACGTGGTGGTGGACCAAGGTCTGTCCAAAGGCATAGTCATTACCCCATGCAAGAAAACGATCACGGCAGAAGAAACAACCGTGCTTTTCCAGAATAACGTTTTCAATCGACACAGGTTGCCGACCAAAATAGTATCTGATCGCGGTCCTCAATTTGCAGCCAAGTTCACCCGAGAACTCTGGAAGTGGCTAGGAATCACCGCTGCTCTCAGCACGGCTTATCATCCCCAGACGGATGGAGAGACAGAACAGGTAAACCAGGAGATCGAACAGTTCCTGAGAACGTTCTGCAATTACCACCAAGACAACTGGGTGGACCTGCTGCCGTTTGCCAAATTCTCGCACAACACGCAGAAGCATTTGACCACCGGAAAATCTCCTTTTGAAGTACTATACGGGTTCAATCCCCCTATTCAGCCGACACCGCGTTGGGGACAAAGGTACCTGCGGTAGCTGAATGCATTAAGGTAATCACAGAAGTCCAGGAAGAAGCCGCAGCCAGTCTACAAATAGCCAGCAATTACGCCAAAGACCAGGATCTTCACAGGAAACTCCCCCAGTGGAAAGAAGGAGACCAAGTATGGTTAGAAGGAACCCATATCCGGACGACCCATCCAAAACTCAAGCTCGCCCCTAGGAGATATGGACCCTTCAAAATACTGGCGAAAATGGGAAGCCTGGCATATAGACTTCAAATTCCCCAACATTGGAGGATCCACCTGGTGTTCCACGCCGCAACACTCACCAAGTATAGGGAAACCGGGGCACACAGGGAAAACTTTGCAAGACCATTACTGGAGGTATTGAATGATGAAGAGCATTACAAAGTGGAAATGATCGTGGATTCAAAAAGACAAGGACGGGGAACCAAGTATTTGGTCAAGTGGGTGGGATACCCCAAGGCAGACAACACCTGGGAACCCTACACTCTCCTAAAAGGAACAGCAGAAGAAGCCATGAAAAAGTTTCATGACCAATACCCTGACAAACCTCGCCCGGGAGCACCCTGAAAAAACGGAGGAAAGACTATAAAAGAGCGACAAGAAAGCTCTAACGGATCATTCTCCCCCACTTCTCTCAAGTTCACTTTTCCTTCACCCAAATGCTCCTCCACGAAGACCACGATGCTTCATCACCATCCAGAAACTCCTCCCCCGATGTCGTCCTTATGGTGTCCAATCCAGATGTCGGACGAGTGGACAGAGGAACCAGTCCTCACCGAGGCGATGCTGAACGAATTGACAGAGGAACCAGTCCTCACCACCCAGAGCCTGCCGTCGTCACCCTCACTCCACACCTCAATAACTTCTCAGATGACGACGCCGAGGATTACGCCAAGTTCAAGGAAAGAGAAAGAATCCGCCGATCGTCACCCAAGGGGCCCCCACGAGATGCATCACGGAATGAAAACCCTGATGACAGAAACCTACCGGGCTCTGATGAAGTACCAATGGGAGTTCCACCTCCTACTACGATCGCGGCGAGCACTAGAGCTGCAGGTCCCTTGGGACTACGAGCAAGAACAGCGGCTCAACTCCCAAGCCATGGAGAAACTGAACCGATACCAGTTATACAGGGAGCTGCACCTCCGCCAGTATCAGTTAGTGGACAGGTTCCCCGCCCCATGGGAAGAACTACCCTTGGTACAGATCCTCACTCCGGAGAATTGGAGCGACACGTGGACGCGCTCCTCCAGCGAAACACTATCTCCACGGTAATACAAATGGCCACAGCCATGGCCCTACAACGACTCGCTAACTTCGCTGCAGGGCAATCTGGGAACAAGAATAGCGACATACCTCGACGACTGGCTAGTGCCAGTCTCCAGATCAGAGGGCTTGCACTCCAAACCGATCCTGACATGGCCTCTTGGTACAAACACAACGACGGACGACCACGAGCTCTCCTCATCCATCCCAACGAATTCTCCTAGTATGTCAACAGAGAGCTCCTTCCAGCTCTCCTCTTCACCGGAGAACTGGGCGCCATCCAACCAAGTAGAACCAACCCTTTCCACGTTGTCACTTGGAACGTCCCACGTCCCGGAGAACATCCCACGTCCCGGAGAACGTCCCACGCCTGTATTAAATCCAAGAAGGTCTCCGCACACGGTCGTGGAATGCTCTCCACCGAGACAATGAGAGACTCATACAGCGCATAGCAATCCCGCGACCTTCTCCTCTCACTGAATACAAAATTTTCCCCTATCCCATGGGGGTACCGATGAGGAGGAACCGCCCGTCTATCGAAGAAATGAAGGAAGAAGGAGTCGGGGAACCCAGGCAACCTTCCACCGCAGAACAACTATTAACCTTCCACCGCAGAACAACTATTGGCGGGAGTGTTTGACACCGGCCTAGAACGCCTCCTACTAGTACTCGATTTCGTACAGACGAGGGACAGAATAACCAAAGTAGCCGCAGAACTCGCCGCGCTGATTCGGAGGCTAGAAGAAATTGCTCTTGGACTCAATCCGAGCTCAATGCATGGAATGCTCTAGATGATCCCGGAAATTATGATGATGCCGATCCTTATTACTGACCTGATGAAGAAGGCGATGGCTACCAAGGACCCTATGATTACTAGGGAGGATTAACTGCGGAGCAAGAAAGGGGGTAAAGAAGTTGAGGAACTCTTTCCCCACTAGGGTCCGAAATGACCTAAAACTAGAATCGTCCGTAACGACGTAAAACTAGGTTCGTCCCTCAAGACGTTAAACTGTACAACCTCGTCCGAAAGAGACGTTAAACTACCCCACGTCCGGAATGACGTCTAAACTATCGGACCTGCATGTCTTAAAACTGTGAAAAGATAAGAAGGCAGGGGAAGTACCTGACCATCCATCCTGGTTCAAATGATGGAACGAATCAAGGACAACAGCGGGCATAATTCCACGTACGACCTATGGCGGAACTCTTCTACATCCTCGCTGTCAAAGAGTTAATTTGACAGATGCACCAAGCGTCCCATTTGGATCCTCAGTTTTACAGGGTTTTTTCCGCATTAGGGAACCCTCTACATGACAAATATCTACTCGTAGGTGTTGACAAGCCGGCTCTTCGCCTTGGTACAGCGAAGTGCCCATACATAACCGGTTGCAAGTCCGAAGCCAAGAATTATGATGCATAACTCATTAAGTGAACCCTCACAGTCAAGGTCTGACCGGTGTTTTGGGACGTCCCACTTTGGATCTCCCGTTTTACAGTATCATTTCCACATTAGGGGATCCTACAGCTGGCGCATGAGATAAGTAGAGTCCTGGCTACCTCTGCTTACACAAGCTTCCTCCAAGGAATGCGAGGCCATAAAACACATCCGGAACAATGTAAAACTACCAAAGGCTTGGTCCGCAATGACTATAAACTACTAGGGTCCGCAATGACGTTAAACTAATCCTCGTCTGAGATGACGTAAAACTACCATTAACCCAAGGAGTGTGGTTGTATTCTGGTGAAGCGCGGATTTTCAGGAGGATCCGCATTGCAGAACCCTGCCTGTAAGAGGTCGAAGCACTTCAATATTCACTTGCTTTTTGGTAAAAGAATATCGGGTTGACTTGGTTCAAATCCAAGCGAGGGGTCTGGGGACATGGAAGAGCAAGCATCTCTTCATGGCGTGCTCAGTCTAGTCCTGGAGTTGAAGTACAAGAAATTCCACTCCAAGACCTAGTCAGGAGGCAACTAGGACATGTGCCTCGAGTCAAAAATATAGTGGGAAGGAACTAGAACATGCGACTCTCCTTGGCTCATATTGTGGAAGAACGACAAAAGCGAGCCACTCATTTGGAGAAGTCTATTCCGCCGATCGTCTGCAATGACGAAAAACTACGGAGTGTCCGAAACGACATTAAACTATCGTCCCTCAGCCTTAGGGATTGTTCAAGGCCATTTTTGATGTGAAAATGGCATTGACGTCCACAATGACGGTAAACTACGGGCATCCAAAACGATGTAAAACTACCGTCCCTTCGTTCTAGGGATCATGGGCTGCGCCTCAGTGTGGGGACACCCCATAGTCCGAAATGACTTTAAACTACTTGTCCCTTCAAGCATAGGGATTGTGCGTGGCGATCTTGACAAGATACCACGTGTCCGCGATAATGTTAAACTAGTGCCCCTGGACCTAGGGGTTGTCATTGATGTCTATACCCCTGGACACCAATACGTCCACAATGACGGTAAACTACTTGCTCCTTACCGTATAGGAGTTGTGGTTAATGGCCACGACCTTGGCCACTAACTGTCCACAATGACGTTAAACTACTTGCTCCTTACTGCATGGGAGTTGTGATTGGCCACCCTGGTGCTGATCGTCCGCAATGACATTAAACTATGTGCTCCTTACCAAATAGGAGTTGTGGTTGTTGACCACGACCCTGGTCATCAACCGTCCGAGATGACGTTAAACTATTTGTCCCTTTTGGTACAGGGACCATCGGTCGACATCATTTTTGACAAAAATGTGTCGACGACGTCCGAAATGACGGTAAACTACCTTCATCCTTGGGAGGAAAAGCCTATCGTGACTTGAGGGACATAGTCAGACGATAGACCGCCTACCTCACAGTGTTAAACTGAGTGGTCTCATAATATTGAGACGTTATAAGTTATCCGGTTTGATATAGTATAAACTGTCCCCATCATGCCTCAGTAGAATCTGCAGGATAAAGTCTGGTCTAGGGCCCTATGCACATAACCAATGAATGGTCCGGCGTGCAGAAACATCTTTCCCCACAGATATTCCATGTTGATGATGAAGAAGGTCCGCAATGACCTAGAAGTAAACTACTAGGCAGCGCAGGGCGCCTTAATGACATCCGAAACAATGTAAAACTACTGTCATCCGCAACGACGTAAAACTAGGTCTTCGTCCGCAACAACGATAAACTACGGAATGTCCGGCAAGATGTTTAAACTGCATTGTGGATATATCTCGCAACCCGAACAATATATCAGCTGTGGTCTTGAGATCTATTCGTGCATGTGAATGGGCCGATTTGGAGAAGGAGTCAGACTCCTCCTTGCTCCTCACGGTGCCCTTCTAGTCTAATTCTCTTCACATCCTTGCCTCGAACCCAACACTACACGTGGTATTCCCCACCATAGGCCCACGTTTGTGACAAACAAACTCTGGACGCCGTAAACTGCCTCACCGGAGATGAGTCCACCGTATGGGGACAATACTGCTTGGGATTTGGCTAGCAACCTCACCGGAGATGAGCTCACCGTATGGGAGCGATACTGCTTGGGACGACGATAGGGTAGCCTGGAAAAGTAGGCCTAAGCCTTGATAAAGCGATCAACCTACTTGTCCGTGGGCATGCTTTGTCGTCAAGAGGAACTAACAAGTCATGAGGATAGACGACTATCCTGGAAACACTGAGGTTTGGCCCTCGGAGAAGGAAGAAGAAGAACCTGATGACACAAATTGGAACCCACATGCTAGAGTTTCTATTCATCCAGACACCATTCGCATTCATACGCCTTTCTTGACACCTGTCCGGAGACCGACCGGACTGACATCCTGGCTTGAGAACCCAGGAAAGATCACAACAACCGAGGGGTGAAGAAAGAACATCCTAGTGGCCCAGGGAGTGGTACCCCTGCGTTATGGCCGAGAAACAAACAGCTCAACGGAGATGGAAAACTCCTAGAGGATCAAACGATGTAAGTCGGTCTTCCTCCCAGAAAACGAAGTCATATCCCGGAAGTCGCATCCGGAGACCAGTTTTTGGATCAAGAAAGCAAATCGTATATGGAGTGGCGATGAAGCACAAAGCGCTGTCCTACCAGGTGAATAGGACGTAGAAAGGGGGTATTGTTATGATCACGTTCTGTCGGGCCTTAATGGCGGTCAATTCCGACACGATCATCACAAATATCAAGCGGCCTCACAAGGTGAGGCGTACAACAAGGTATAGATAATAACCTTGGTCATCCACTCCCAATGGATCACCTTATCGTTGGTCAAGTATCATGAGCCATATTGCGCCGGGCATAGAATGCCGCCTTACAAACTACTCACACACCGGGCATCAAGCTCCTAGTCTTTCCTGGCCAGAAGGAGACGAACGGAGAAGCACAAGAGTAGTTGTTATTGAGAGAGACGACTTAGAGAATACCTACAGATACATATACGGTATTCTCACGCCCTATTTTCTAAAGTAGTATAAAAGGCCTATAGAGTAGGCTGAGGTTCTTCAGTCTATTCTCTTCGTTCTCCTGTATCTTCACATACAGGACTCTTCATTGCTACATCACAATATACCTCTGGCTCCTGTGCTACACGTACAGTCGAGACCATCGTTCCACATAACCTCTTTGAGTGACCTAGGGAAGAACCTCCTACTCTTGGGGTTACCGAACGAGCAGTTCATAACACTAGGCACTAAGGAGGATTTTACAAAATAACAGGTTCAAATATAGTAGTTTCATTTATAATAAGGGAAAAAGAAAGAAAATAAGGAGCTAAGGAATAAGGTAGTAAGATAAGGCTCTTTAAGCTATTCTTATAAATATATAAATATATACCTGATTGAAGGAAAAAATAAGTATATGTGGTTGAAGGAAAGTATCAGTATTAAGAGAATATATACTGGCTGCTAGCCATAGAGATATCTAATTCCATACTACTTATTCATTGGATTGCACATTATTATGGTAAAGAATGGTTTTGCTTTTAGATATAATTAGGGTTTTCTGTTTTTCCAGATATACCTAGTGTTTATTTAATTATTGTTCCAGATAATACCTTTGGGTATTTAAGGCTCTAACTATTTAGTTTATACATGATATTTTTAAGTAAATAGTTGTAAATAGTAACTAGATAGTATATATATAGTATGTATATGGTCTAATTGGTCTGTGCCTCAGAGAGTGTACATAAAGTTTGTAGGCAAAATTAGCACTCTCTAAAGAGAGTGCCACAGGCATT